CATCATAGATTAGATCTTCTAACCATTTCTTGGTGGCGTGTTTCATTTGGAAGAAATTTAATTTATGTATGTTGTATTTTTCGTTTATTATGTTGTATAAACGAGGTGCTAGAAAATTATACCGTTTTCTTGCCAATGAACTTTTTACTACTGGTAATTTACATATGTTTCTTCTTTTATTTGTGTCAATGGTAATAATACCATTACAATGGAAGTACTTACTTAATGACACTCATTCGCATAAACCTCAAGGATGTTTACGGCAGTCCAAGAATTACTTTAAGTATGAGCACGTAGTTTCAATGAGGTGAGTTTTTGAAGCTCCTCCCCAAGAACAAATACAATAATCAATGATACAATGACAAAGAGCTTTGTATGTTTTTGTCAGGAGCTCTAAGCTAGCGACTTGCCTCAATTTTTTGAAGACGTATATTAGCCTCCTGACACGCCCAGCTAATTTGGTTATGTGATTACCCCACTTTAATTTATCATCTAATACAACGCCCAAATATTTAATATTATTAGCTTTTTCTATGACAGAGCAATTACAACTTTTGGAGATTATGCTATTCGAGATTCTATTACATGGAGTGGAGGTCTTGAGTGTGCTGTTTTATGGAATGCTAAATATTTCGTTTTTTTGGTATTTACTGTAAGTAAATTATTTTCTAACCATTTCGTTACTTCCATAAGACCACTTTCTACTAGTTTTTAACTAAATCCCAAGTTTTTCCATGAAATAGTATAACCGTATCGTCGGCAAACATGAGTAGATCTGCATTTGTTAGCTCCATTTTACATATTTCGTTTATATATATTAAAAATAGGGTTGGACCTATAGTGCTCCCTTGAGGAATTCCCATATACGAAAACATGACATTGATATATTTCTACATTTTAAAGAACAGCGATTTTAGTTCTAAATGATCTCTGACTACCTCATAATAATGGGCGATAATTATGATATTAATTGTAGACTTTGACGTCGTGAGTTTATTGCCCATGTGTGTTGCAAACATCGACATTTAGCCAGATTTTACAGGCGCCCCAGGTTATGCAAATTGCAATCTAAATTATGGACAGAGTGACCAGTATATGACTAATTCATTCCAATCATCAAAATATTGTAAAGTCACTGCCTAAACTTTTAAATTCCGCCACAAGACTAATGTCAACGCCGACACTAATTGTCTAACACTAGCATGATAATTGCCAGTGATATTTCATCATATGACACAGCATGTCGCGGCTGAAAATTCAGTTTTCATCTACTTAATGGCAAACTCATCGTTTGCAAATATAATAGTAATTCAGTTAGTCGTTACGTGTGAACCAAAATGGTACATAGAACGGCGCCGTGTTTGAATAGTTGGATATAATATAAAATGGATTTTCCACAACTCCTTGCATTGTTGTAGCTGTAGACAACAGGCCCTTATCTCAAATATGAATCTTCACATCTGTAGAGAATAAGGAAATGCGCAGCGGACATCAACCACGGTTTCAGGTAACCCATTTTTTTATTGAAACTTTCGGAAACGGTAACTTAGAGTGTTACAAATAGTATAAATATTCCAAATCATCGTTTCGTATGCTCATTTTTGATATATTATTACTTTATGATATACTGATACGTTTAACTTACTACTGTGCGTGATGATTAGTATAAACAGACAGTGTTTTAGTTTGTATTGAAATTTAAAGCAGATGTGGTATAGTTTATTGCTAAACGTTGCTTAATTATGCTAGGTATTTTGGTTTGCACAACAGACAACAGCCGCAAACGTTGGTTTAACTAACATATTTGTTTAAGTATTAGACAATTTGTTTCAGTTTATTATATGTCTTATTTTTTCTCTGTATATACTTAAGCTTACCCAATAAGTAAATAAACTTTTTGTTAAAAAAAATAAAAACAGCATTAGTAGCCACTATCGCCGCGACCGCGACGCCGCGATTTTATTACCATTATTTCCCCGTGATGTCATCCACAAGAACTTTATGAAATTAACATTTTTCTAACCTACTACCAATAGCACTCTGATAAAAAAGTTCCCCACTTTGAGATATTTCTTTTTACTTAGTTCTATCTGCGTTCTTTGCTAGATGGTTACGTCTCGATTTAGGTTAGATCGAGAAACCGCATCTTATCCAAGAGCATACAGCTGTAATGTAGCTACACTATTATACAATTCCTGCAATAAACGATTATTTATTTAATGTCACTATAAAAATATGATATGTAAATATACAAAAGTATTCTACAGTTCTTGGCAGGTTTCTTCGATTTCTAAGATTCAAACAAAATTTTCACTCAAAACAAATTTTTAAGATGAGCTCGATATCTGAGAAGGGCTGGAATTCTAGAATATATGCTTACATCTGCTTTTATGCACTTATTGCAATGTAACCAAAGATTCAGCGCATTCATTTATATGTACGATCGAGTTCCAGTTGACGGTAGTATTATACTTATGAAGTATCAAAAGTTTGTCAATTCTGTCTGTTCTGGTTGTTATGACTATCCCAAGCTGTAACCGAAAATATGTTCTCGAGGCACAGGCATATAATTTTTTCGAACTGAATACCCATATTGTAACAACTACTGCCTCCTACGAATCATTACGGAAATATCATTTACTCATTGTCACATTAGGAGAGAAAATTTCACATCCCACATATAGCTCATCAAAAGTTTTCACCTTTTTTCTGTAATCATAATCTTGTTTATGAATTTATTCCATTCTAAACTCTCCACTATGACCGCAAAGCAAACAAGCTAAACGTTAAGTCTCCGAGTGTCGGATCGCAAATTAAACCACAAGTTCATTTTGGAGACCGCAAAAATGACGGCGACTCACTGACGGCTAAATAAATAGTATTGTGAAAGGAGGTTAGATCGTTATGGGATTTAAACGATTACACAAGCAGAAAGTAATCTCAGTATTGTGGACGTTAGAATTTCTGCGGTCGATCATGTGTTCACTAAAACTTCACTTAATGATGAAAGCTTATGAACGTAGATTCCCAGTGTTCCAAAATAATTTAAATTTCAACCACAAATCTATATACATGTCTCTTAGAGATGAAAGTGTAAACAAATCCAGCAGCGTTGCAATTAGTTGAATGCAACAAACCAACTTTCTTTTCTTTTTATAACTTTCACCGTATGGGAAAATTAATTATTAACAAGTTTAGGAATACTTTTATGTATTTTTTTTGCAAATTTTAATCTAAATTCAAACGGGAACATTTTAGTTACATGATTTTAGCTTATTTTTATATTCATTATACTCGAGCAACTAAAGTTCAAATCCCAATGCCAGAACCAGTCGGCACTTAAATTTCTAAAATAGTTAATTTTAAGTACTGACTTATCACGTGATTAAGTGGTGAAGGAAAAAATTGTTATGAAATAAGCTCCATGTTCTTAAACTTTGTGCTTTTACCCGTAAATGTTCCAGCTCTATGGCTAACGAAGTGTTCATTATTTCTTTTTTATACTATAGGTATTATAAACCAAAACGAAAATTTTAAACTTTCAAGTGCGAACGTTTTAATCTTTCCTTGTATTACGTTTTGTTTATTTTTACGAAATATCTTGAAAACACTTAGAGTGATAGGTTCTTACAGATTTGCGGTTAGGAATCTTTTTGAACCTCAATTACTTGGTATTGTTAGTCAGCCGCATGTTCGCATTCATGAATTATTTCACCTATTCATGGGTCACACTCGCTTTGAGGGAATTTCCTAGCGTTTTTTTTGAATACTTCTTACCAATACCTATACTATCTAAAGGTATAGGTAGGGTCGGCGACCTTCTTGTTGTTTGTTCGTTAAAAATGTACCATTAAGCAACAATTTTTTAATTTATGTTATTACAGCCTGTAGACTATATAAAGCTTCATCGGTCACAATTATCCAACATTTATTATAACATTTATATGCCGTCATGAGTGTTATAGTGTGTCTGCCACTTTACTTTATGTTTTTCTTACCCTATTCTTGGGCAACGAATGCAACTTAAGTCTAGGACTGAAAGCGGTTTAGCGATAAAGAAACGGTAACCTTTTTTGTTCCTTTCCAAAGATCTCGTAGCCATACCAATCAATTAACAACGTTTACGACTTATATATATTCATACATAGTTGCATAACACTAGCTCACGTAAAAATAATCAAAAGGTTAAATGGGAGCACGTGCATAAATACTAATTGACGCCTGTGAGTCCGGCCTCCCGTTCGTTGTAATACGTTCACTGGCCTTAGCGGCGCGTGAGGTGTTTCGCGACACCACAAGTGCGTGAGTCAGCTCGGGTCAAGGTGAGTGAAAGAGGCCTGCAGCCGGCGAAAGTGGCGCGTCAGCTGTTACGTCAAACGAGGCCCGTGCCTCCTCGCATTCCACTCCACTGCCTGCCACCCACGCCGTGCACGCTACGTGTGCAAGTTCACGCGTCCAGCGTTTACTGTAACGGTAATAATGCTCCTCCTTTTTAAGACGTTTTCGTTGACTCGCTTTCCTGAGGAAGCTTGGTATATTAATATTTTTCATTTGTTCTTACGTGTAGCCAGTGCTTCATCCTATTATTTTGGTAGAAAAATAAAACAAGTAAAAACCTGCACTGTCGTCATTAATCTTTGAAAAACAAAAAAAAATGTCTAACTCGTATTCTTAAGAAATACCTATTTTAAATGACTGTACCACAAATGTATGATGTAAATGTAGTGGAAGTAAAGAAATGATTTGAATTCTTTAATTCAATTCAGTGGTGATAAGTTTCACAAGATTGTTTTTTTATCATGGAAACAAAGGTGGCTTCATTTCCATGTTCGAAAAATACTTAACCTTGGTATCCATCAATAGGCTCGTTCGGTCGGGGAAGTACACAGACTCAGAGAAGGCTACAATGATAGTCGATAGACTTTCACAGTTTGTCTGATAAGTAAAGTTTAAAGTCAAGACCGCTTGCTCGACTGCCTCATTAAAAATAGTTTTGCGTAATGAATTTCATAACGACCACGTTCCTACCGTGTGCGTGGCATCGCTTAAGGCTGTTGGAGGGTGAGTCAGCGGGCTACCCCGCTGAGTCACGCACCCCCCCCCCCCCCCCGAGCCCCGCCAAAGCTCACCTCTCACAACCCTTGCGCAATCTTGAAGGCGCTCACATTTTGTCATGCGTTTCGCCACTCGTACGGCCGACTTGCGGGACCTGCGCGAAGTTCAAGTGTGCACGTGACGTCATCGGCCTTTGGTGACGAGTTCGAAATTTAAATAGGGAAATGTTCGTTGTCACAGGTCGTGTCGTCTGTTTGATTGAAAAAGTACTTGGTATTCCGGTAAAGATTATTTTAATACTGCCTTTCAAGAACTTGTATAAACTTTTTACTTAACCCATAACAATATGCAAATAGCTATCATGAATTAATAAGGTGTCATTGAAATATAATAAAAAAAAAGCGGGAGCTATTAACTACTTTTATACGTCTCAAGCGTTTAAGTCTAATACAAGAGAATTGCGGCATCATCTTGCCGGTCAGTCCTATCAATGCTTTCGCCATAAGCAATTATTTTCAAGCGATACCTTACTATGCATAATATTTATTTAATAATAGATATTCTTTATTTTAAATATTAGTAAACAACTAACATTATTAATTATTATAGTTGCAGGAATGTTGCAATAAACCTTGCCTTACCCTACGTATATAATTCTTGCCGTGTAATGTAAACAACGCCTAATGAGGTCTTTGATCTGAGAAAATAAATATAACAATTAAAAACGTTATACAACTTTTCATCATAACAACGAAATCAATTCGGAAAGGTGGAACGTATTGCCCGGTGCGTGGAGTGGTGATTCCCCGCACGCGCCGCCGCCGGTTCATGGCTGTCGACGAAGCGACGAAATATTCGATGCGGCATTTTAATTGGTTTCGACTTTAATAGAACTAATATAATGGCATGACCAACATAATTTTGATAATTGCAATGAAATTATTTATATTAAACTCCCAATCGAATCGTTATGTACTACTGTTACAGGGTTTTAGGGTCACTAAAGGTTACTTCCTTTATAAAATAAAAATATATAAAAGTGCAAAAACAAACAGACGATCAGACAGAAGTGGGTTTAAGTAAATGTTTTATTTAAACCGACTTTAAATAAGAAAAAGTCAAACGATAAAATTATAAACGTTGATGGAGTATCCGCATGGAGTCATTTTATTTAGTTCCGAAAACTTGTCGCCAATGTCAAGGATGCGCGAATAAAGAGTCTCTATGGCAGAGTAACCTTATCTACAGTCGTAGAGTCGTAAATTAGCGCATCCATCGCTCGGCGGTCGCGGCACATGTGGGGCGCGTGCCAAGGCCGACGAGCAATCAGCTCATCGCCTCGCCAGTTAAGTGGGCACACGACCGGTCCTCAGCCGTTCGATCGCTTTAATTGCTCGCTAGTTGCGACCCGCGTCTCCATCCGCGGTCTCTGATATTGGTAGTGCGAGCTTTATAATCCTTGAAGGGAAATGGTTCGTACACTAAACTACAATAAAGGACAATTTTTTTCGAACAAAAATTATCCATTTTATAGTAATAACTTCAAATTAAAATGTGGTCCACTTTACATTTTAATACGCTATTATATCTTTATTAGATTTTATTTTTTGAATATTGCATTAAGAAAAAAATATTTTACGATTTAGAAAACTAGCTTGTGTAACATTATTAAAACATTTTCTATTTGAGATAAATTGAGAAGTAAATTAAATCAGAATTTTTAGGGTTCCGTAACCAAAGGGTGTGTGGCTGTCCATCTGTCATCGGGCTGTATCTCATGAACCGTGATAGTTAGACAGTTGAAATTTTACAAATGATGTATTTCTGTTGCCACTATAAGAACTAATACTAAAAAACAGAGTAAAAGAATTGAATTCAAGTGGAGCTCCCATAAGACAAACATGTTTTGCCGTTATATAGATAATGGTACGGAACACTTCGTGTGCGAGTCCGACTCGCACTTGGCCGATTTTTATAATTTCCCTATTTGAGTTCCGTGTTTTCTGTTCCGAATATTTTATAACCTTGTAACAAATGTACCCGCGCAAACAAACCGTACAAAGTAGTAAAGATTTCTATGATGGGTTTTTGTATTACGATTTGATTTATCAAAAATGAAGCCGTTATGATATCACGGAAGACTTTTAATCTTGATGTAAAAACGCTGTTAGAAAACAGGTTTAATTCTATCAAAATCCCCAAGACCAATCATTGTATTACAGAATATGGAATAAATTATAACGAAATATTATCTTGTATCTATACTTACTTATATATATATATATATATATATATATATATATATATATATATATATATATATATATATATATATATATATATATATATATATATTAATTGTGCTTCAATCACTGCCGGCCCTACCTTATCAAGGTTGAGCGAGACTTTCTTTCAACGCCTTTAATTGGTGCTTTTACTTTGCATAAATTATAATTTCGCTTCATGTTAAATAAATAATAATAACCATTTTTTTTCAAACAATTTATTACAAACATCAACATGTTGAATTCAAATTAAATCAAGTAGCTGTAGTTATTATACCCCTACTTTTATAACATTGAAAAAGTTTCTACTGCCACGTAATTAAATGGAACTTTTGTTTCAAATTGAATTAGTCGCTCAATAATTACGATTTTAGCGCCCCTTGCTCTACCCCTGGGCTAGAGTTGCCTACAATTCAGACACTAATACGGAGATGGACTCGTCGCCTAACTACCTATCGCGGTAAATTTTTTTCCCAAATACGTTAATGACAAAAATGTAAATTTTATAATAATTTTTTTAACAATGATCTAATTGCTGACAATGATTACATTGTAATTAGGAGAGTAGAGTACCAGATTCCTAATTACATATAAGTATGTCATTTTGTAGAAATAAAACTTGTTCGCTTCTTTTTGATTTCTGCAATAACTTATTGGATTGACAAAAATCCTGTAGAAAAAAAGCAAAATTGTCCCAGAGAAACAGAATAAATATTTGAATTATCGGAAGCTTACGTTTTACATTATATACACTGGTGTTTTTTCAGTAGAGTAGTACAGTAGACATTGAAGGCCATTAAATCACCCTTAACAGATATTTATTACAAAGCTCAAAATAAACTTTTAAGTTTTAGTGGCTTTCCATTTTATTGACAATATTTTACATAGATAAATAACGCATACGAGAAGCAGTGCCACGAACCAAACTATTCTATTTACTCACTTGGTAATAAAACACCTCACAATTATGAAGTGTCAAGATAAATAGCAAAACACATTTGCTTTTAAATAAACAAAATTTAATAGTTATCCGAACTACGACATTTTCGAAATTGGTGTGCGTACGTACACCAATTTCGAAAATGTCGTAGTTAACTGCGTAAAATTAAACAGAATTTTAATAACGTGTCTGTAACGTGAATATAATATATATAATATACGTGAATATAGTCTGCAATGGTTTATTTTATATATTACTAGCTGCTGCCCGCGACTACGTCTGCGTAGATGGGTGAAAATTTAGGGTTGTATGTATTTTTGTATGCTGTGTCAAAAAAAATAGAAACAAAAAGTTTTATATAAAAAATAAAAAAATAAATTTAGGGGTGGACTACTCCTAACATTTAGGGGGATGAAAAATAGATGTTGGCCGATTCTCATAGATACCGGATAAGCACAAAAAATTTCATCAAAATCGGTCAAGCCGTTTCGGAGGAGTATGGCAACGAAAACTGTGACACGAGAATTTTATATATTAGATAAATACAGTTAATCGTTCAAATATTAAAGGTGACAGGTGACAAGAGAGCTGGTTCTTTTCTCGCTTAAAGGTTAAGCATAAATTCAGCGAGGAAATGCAGCTAGCTTTCTTGGCACCATGCCGTGTGGATTAGGTTTATTAGATAATATGTAATTTTAGATAGATTTAATCTTGTAAATATTAGATCAATAAACTGTATGATATGTATGTATGATAGGTATGATATGTATGTATGTACTGTATGATAGGTATGATATTTTAAATAATTTTAATAAAATCGAGGTTAACATCAATTTCCGCACACTCCGTTCTTCAGGACGTGCAACGGCAATTCCTAAGCCCTGATGTTTCCCGGACATCTCGCAACAACTGTTTACGGTACCAGTTGAGTTGAGAGAATCGGGTTCGATTAAATTAAAGTAATTATTCACGTTGTTGTTTTTACAATCATTATAAAACAGTTCCCACGTTTTTTGATCCTTACAAGTGCACAGTGGCCGCTTTTGCGAGATATTCGAGTGTTGCCATGTTACGATAAAAACTTAATCGTATTAGACTGTTCATGTATGGAAAAGGAGGTGTTTTTTTATGTCAAAAGTTGCCAAGCGAGCAGGCGGTTCACCTGATGTTAAGTCAATACCGCCACCCATGGACTAGCACGCAACTGCTACACCCGAGGGATGCAGATGCGTTGACAACCTTTTGAACATTGGGCTCCGGCTACCTCTCTCACCAGACGAAACGCGAAGGTATTTGTCATACTTCCACTTTACGCCGGTCTTCTGTGAGGTGCCCTCGGGTGTAGCAGATGTCCATGGGCGGCGGTATTCACTTAACATCAGGTGAACCGTCTACTCGTTTGGCAACTTTCCACATAGTAAAAAAAAACTAAAATATAGGAACATACACGGTTTATGCAAAACTAATTTGTAATACAATTCTTTACTTTAAGGAGTGCATAGTCTACACCCTCATTTTCATTTATCTTTTCATTATGACATCAAGACATTGTTACTATGCTTTTGTTGCTAGGGTCCCCTTATCGATAACGTAAATATGTCGTTTATTAGCAGACATAAAATAGAGCCTTTGCTCCGAATCCCACAGATAGAAATCTTAGTTGTATCTTAATTCGAGAATTTGAACACGATCTGTGATATGTGGCTTGTTGGTTGTCAGTAATTATTTTTTTAAACTAACGCCTCTCTTGCTAGGCTCCAGCGCCAGGGTCGTAGTTTCGATGTCCACACGGATACAAAGTATTTGTACGACCTGAGTTTGGAGATCTGGGTGTTTGTTCACAAGGAGGATTGACATCACGCAGGCGATCTTAAAGGCGTACCCAATACAAACACCTTTAAAATGGTCTAAGAATGATTTGATTATTCTAAGAATTATACCCCAAACCGGTACTAATTATAATAGCGTGACGGTCCAAGTCGAGGCTCCCTCGGGACCCCTCCAACTTAGTCACCCATAATCGAGGAACAGGGTCCAAGCTAGACGCCGTCAGCGCCCTCCCATGTCAAGCACGGTGGATCTGTAAAGGCCTCATCAAGGTCAACATTGGACGATCCAACCAAAAAAAATAAAAAATCTACTACTCTATATACTAATCTAATATATCTGTTATGACTCGCCTTTTTTTCGCAGTAAGTAATAATTACGAAATATTTAGCAATGGATCATATCATGGATAATTAGCCGAGCAGAAAAAAAATCTGACTTAGCAGGTACACGATTTTTTTTTCTTTTTTTTTTGGGCTGGATGAGCCACTGTTGGCCTTAGGGGCCTTTACAGTTCCGACGGGCGCGAGGCGCCTAGCCTGAACCTCGGCGTACTATAATTATGCGTTATGGTGACTAAGCTCGAGGGCTCCCGGGGGAGCCTCGGCTCGGGCCGTCACGCTATTATTGTTACCGGTTTGGGAGGCCGCCAAGCTCTTAGGGCGCTTTGGCGGGCGCTCCATGGAGTGATCAGGCTCAAGGGTCCCCGAGAGGGGACATCGGCTTGGGCTGTCACTCAGCACGCGTTTAGCATTCCGATTCGAGGGTGCCCGAGAGGGCCGGACCTCGGCTCGATCGGTAGCTATTATCTGACTGGGGGTACACGATGCGAAGTCCCAGCGACGAGGTAAATAATAATTCGGCTTCTGCACGGTGTTTGCACGTCTATTTCAGTAGGTAGCAAAGAGCTGGCGATGTTAAGTGACAACCATTGACATTTGCAACACCCACAAGGTTGCAGATGCGTTGCCACCTTATAATAAAGTGGGCTCCGGCTATCACACTCACCATACATTACACTTCCCCCAGTCTTCTGTGAGATCGTGGTACTTATCCGGATGGACCTGCCCATTAGTGCAACAGCGAAGACTGTTCAGCGAAGAAGTTTGCTTTTTAATATTAAATAATAAAAATCTAGAGATGAACAAACACGAGATAATCATCATATCAAACATCAGATATCATAGATAAATAATACCTAAAACAAATGTCATCGTTCAATTCCAAAATGTTGGTTGGCACCTTTTCGTATGCGAAGTTACTGCTGCATTGCTATCCTTAAGAAGGGCGGTTACATCACTTACTAAGCAAATCACAGAAGTATGAAAGAAGTACTTGTCCTTCGTCATCTATATGAGGTCGTAGTAGTTCCTTGTACACGTAGCATAGCCCTACCACAGTAAGAATATTTGCCAATAACAGGTGATAACTATGTTTTGTTTGTATTGTATTTATTATATGTGTATTTTTTTGTTGTTTTTATGGACGTGAACAGTCGGATAAACACAAGTCATTGGTGGCTCAAAATTGCTCCCTGAATCCGCCAGCAACTCTGTGCGTTTTCAACAAGTAAATAGGTTAAATGATATTGCATTAGATCCGTTTAATTTTCAAGAGGAGTCTTGTTTCTATTAGTAAGCTTTCGCTGATGCATAGATTTAATGACAGTCGATTGCTGACTGAAATTCCTGAATGTTGCCTTCAACGCGATATAAATTTGAACGTTGTTTAACTGTACGAACAGAATTTTTAACGAGGATCAAAATATTAGCAAAAAACGAATAAAATCGATTCAAATGCTCTGAAGTTATTCGCAGTCTTTTCCAAATAGCAAAAATAGCGGTTCATTAGTTTTGGTCTGTAAGTACATACATTATAATGTAAATTATTGATCTTCTATCTAAACTTTAAATTAAAACTAATTAACAAACTACACGCAAAAAGCATCATATACAGAATATTAAAAGCTCTAATTGCATGGTATGTCAAAAATAGTTTGTAATAGTTTGTTATGGCTGAATGAAAATGATCCAAAATGGCTGAACAGGCGTGCTTCTGGCTTTGCCCACGTGAGATCAATCCCCAAACAGAATAAGTATTAGTTTTACTTTGCTATCGCAATAAATTAATGCAACTGGTCCTGTTCGTATTGGTAAATTCGTAATGAAAGCTCAATAAAATCATGAAAGGTACTTTATTATGTTGTACAATAAATGTCACGTATGTACGTAGCCAAGTCAGTTGTATTTCCCCTGAACACACGAATTAGTTACAATTTAACACTTAATCATTTTAACCATAAAGTAGAACAGCAGGGAGTTTTTAATATTTTTCCGGTGCAAAAATAAATCAATAATCGACTCTACAGTCCTTATCAGGGAATGTATGTAACGTAACGCAACCGTCCAACAATAAAACGACCTAACGCAACACAAACGCGACGCGTCACACTCTATTCACTTGCGGCCAAATCAAAACCGGCTTATTCGGATGCCTTCTACGTGTACATAAGTATTTCGTCTCGCTGAGCTTGATCGGGCGCCACCAGGAAATCTAATGCGACGCATATGTTTGCACAGTTTATTACCGAGTCGTTATCGCTCGTACAATGTTACAACGCGCAATTATTTTGCGTTATCCAAGGAACCTTGCTGGGATAGAAATTCACGGCGTAAATTTATTCATAGCGCCTTGCCTTTGCTTGGCAATTGCGTGTGTGAAACTGGGGGATTTATAAAGGTTAAATTAAATGCTCGAAAGAAGTTTGTAAACAAATTTATTGATTCGGAACATTCCGCGTAATTATATGTTATTTTTAATTTTTCTATAACTTTATTCTGAAGTACACAAACTAGAATACGTAAACTAGAGAACGTTCACAATTTTTGTAAACAAGTATTTAAAAGTCCAATATACAACATTTAATGCAGAATTCATTATCACAAAAATTTATTTTCTGACGGCTTTCTTTTTGTTGACTACGTTTCTCGGAGGCTAACTCCAAGACTTGATGGAAAGGGCCGCTAAGCGTCAGTTCCATTGCGGATACTGAGCGTCTGTTGACCCGCCTCGTTAGCGGCACCTAGCCTCGTGCCGCAGTTTAAGTTCGTAACACTCGAACCTTTACGCTTCACGAGAACACTTAATACACGGCCAGTTTTTTATGAAATTTTCGTTTTGTATTTTTGTATTCACACATTTGTCACCAACAACAAACACGTACAAACTCGATGACCGTTTCAAGTAACACATCCGTAAGTTCCCCTCAAACTTTCACTACCACCGCGATACGAACTCGACGAAGCTCGGAAGCACTTTTGCGCGGCGCGTGCGGGTTCAGCCTGGGGCGCCCTCTCTGAGGTGGCGACGAGAGGCGGCGGCGATCGCCCCACTGGGGCGAGGATCGGCGCCGTGCCGTTTGACGCGTGGCGCGTGTAAGCTCGGCGCACGACGGCGGCGCTCTGATCGAGAGCATGGTGCGGCGGCCGCCCGCGCCCCTACCGCCGCCTAGCGACGCGCTTAAATACGTCGCACTCGGGCGCCTCTCACCATTCGCAATCTCGCCTTCCCGCCGCAATGAAGCAGCTCGTGCTCGCCATCACGGCGCTCGCCGCCCTCGCCCTCGGGCGCGCCATGCCCTCCCACCTGCACCACCACCGGCCGCGCACCGTGGACCTCGCCGACGCGCTCAACCGCACCGTGTGCCCCATCGTGGTCGAGGTGGACGAGGACCCCGAGCGCGTGCCGCGCCGCATCAAGATGATGAAGTGCGCCCCCGACCCCAACAAGTGGTGCATGCAGCAGAAGATCCCCCAGCACGAGTGCTGCGAGCACAACCACAACAACCACAAGATGGAGTGCGTGGAGATGCACGACACGGTGCTGGTGCAGTACCCGGGCAGCGGCAGCACGCGCACCTTCGACGTGGCGGTGGGCTGCTCGTGCATGGTGGGCCAGGGCCCGCGCGCCACCACGGTGCCCTCGGGGCCCACGTAGCCGCGCCCCACGCAGCCCCCGCGGCGGACCCCACAGTTCCTATCGCTCCCCACAGAGCCCGCCATCTAACTCTTAACTCATCGCCGCGTGACTGAGACCGAGTGCTCGTGTTGTGAAGTTTCTATTTATTTATTTATTGAACTAGTTTCGTAAGTGTTGTCCGGTTGTGAGTTGCGCCGCACCGCTGCGGCCGTGCGGCCACCAGAGGCCATTCCTTGTGATCATGACTCCCGACAGCTTGTATTCAGGCATCGGTTAGGTTAGGTGACTTTTTTTTAATATTTGACAATAAAAAATAATATAAAGACATTTACTACTTTTATTATCATTTCCCAAAATACCAATTTATTGCGGATTCACATAAATACACGGTACGATCGAAGTAACCGATAAAAGTCATCCGCAAAATGTCCCCCGCCCCATAAACGAGTGGTGGTGAAGAGAGCAGAGCTCGGCGTGAGTCAAACGCGCCCCGTTCTGAGTCACGGGCCGCGGATCCATAAAAGCCAACGGAATTTAAAGCTCCAATATTTAGTACGCTTTATCATTTATCATTATCATAATGTGTATTATTACATTAACATTACGTTATATAACTTAGGACACTGTTCAACACTGTTTTTCGGATAGTAATACCAAATTATGTGCAAAGTTAAGATGACTTCCTACCACCAGACTCCCGAAGCGCGGTTTAGAAATAACTTATTCTATTCAAGGAATTAAACAAGTAACCGCAAAATTAAAATAAACTAATTAGGTATATATTTTTGTATAGCATTTAATAATAATATTTAAAAGGCAATTTTTATATTAAGTTCCGAATAAAATAATTCCTTTAATAAGTATAAGTAAGTTGATCATCGTGACAGTGAACTGTTTAAGTGTATTCAAAACAAAACATCTGCAGCATTCCTGTTAATAGTAAACCGTCACGAAACCCGTTAATGAACCTGTGCATTTCCGCGATTTTGCTAGTGATGACGGCACCCAAAACAAGACGCTGCTTGACGTAACAGTTGAAGGTCCAGCACAGTTCCAATTCCTGGGTGCGGTGCGGGACGAAGAGCGGATGTAGGGAAACCCATTGCAGTTCGGTGCACTAGTCACTGAAGCTCCGGAAGCTGAGTCACGACATCTCAACATTTTATTGCATCACAATCGACGCTCCACACTTTACCGAAAAACTTCAATGTGTTTTTTATCGAGACGTTCCCTTTTAAATGAATACAGTTCTTATTATAGCGGCATACCAAGCGAATTTTTAATATCAAAACGTAACTCTTTTATCGTGACATCGTAAAGTACTTTGAACCGACAGACAATTCTTTTTTTCAGTTTAGTTAAGATTTCGTTGATGATGATATCAGCGATAGATTTGATCGATCAACAAAGCTTAACTAAAAGTTAAAATCTTACATTATCTCAAATCCTTAATATACAGCGTGTCGTTACCATCGCGACAATAAATGAACACACGTCTAACGCTACTTGCCAATAATCATAAAAAAATATTAACGTTAAACAAAATCAATAATTAAAAAAAATATTTTTCAAACAAACTAATTAAGTAAAAAAGAAACAAAATTTGTAACACCCTATACAACTCGCGCCACTGCGTCGTATTACAAGCCTCTCTTTCTAACAGTATGTTTTTTCTCTTTTAAATTCATTCAACCCATTCGTATGCTTTGTGACCTTTACAAATGAACTTTACGTTACGCTTTTATAAGTAAGGGTGTTCTAAAATTCTTTGTTTTGAAAAATTTAATAACTCTGTAAATATTGATGTTTAAAGAATTTAAATGTTTAATACAACTTTAAAACGTTATCCCCTATATGTGTGTTCATTTATTGTCGCGATGGTAACGACACGCTGTATAGTTTTAATCGTTTCGCGTTCTTTCATCGAGCGGGATGGACTTGAGGTTGTTTTTTTATGTGTAAATAGTTGCCAAACGAGCAGACGGTTCACCTGATGGTGAGTGAATACCGCCGCCCATGGACATCTGCTACACCCGATGCGTTGACAACCTTTTCAAAATTGGGTTCCAGCTACCTCACTCACCACACGAAACGCGAAAGTAATTGACATACTTCCACTTTACGGTCTTCTGTGAGGTCGTGGTACTTACCCGGACGGGCCTGCCCATTCGTGCAACAGCCGAGGCTGCTGCGTGGCCCTACCACCGTTAAAGGTATTTAAGGTGCTATATTAGTTAACCCGCCTCGTTATCAATCTCCTTGTATATTTTACATAAAATTAAATGTATCATCTATCTACAAATCTTTGTCAAATTAACAATGTATCAACAAAAGTATCATAATAATAATTGTAAACAAAAAATAAGAAATATGGCATGTCTTACTCATATGGTACTCGTTTCACCCATTATGATGACAAGGCGATTACTGCATAAATAAGTATTAGTAATAATATTGTAGTAATAATTAATTTTCCTATGTCCGTACACCCTTATCTAATCGGCGGGCCGTACACCCTTATTGGACGCCTCCAATTTCAAGGCTTAATAAGAGCCTATTAATCTAGTTCAGTTTTCATTCAATCACTGCCTTAGATATTTCAGAAAGCGAGACTGAAAGCGAAATATCGACAGATACTAGTTTCATTCACCTAACGCGTGTGGCTTCTTGCGAACGCTTCTTTCGACAATTTTCCATTGATCGTGTGCGTTAAGTTAGGCTGCTCTTTGCTCAGCGGCAGTTGCGGTGAGGTGGCGGACACGTGGTGGCGGCGGGCGGGGCCCTGGGGCGCCGTGGGGGGATGGGGGGAGGTTGGAGGGGCGTGGGGCAGCCCCGCCTCCGCCACTCTCTGCGCTACCTATTGGCACGACGCTCTACACGCGAACTGTACAGCGTTCCCCTTTAATGAACAACTGCGGACAAAACTTACCCGCACTAATAGATGCATGATCTAATCTCAGAGCTACTCGTAGCTCGTGGGTTCTGGCTGCGTCCGATGAAGCTTTAATAGTCTACGGCCTGAGAGCAATAATATCAGTTAGTGAAACTATCAAACCCGAAACCCGCTACTTTACCTGAAATATTTAATGAACCTGTCGCATATTAAATATCTACGAGGTTTAAATTCCGAAAACTATAAGTAAGAAAAATAATACGAGGGAAATAAGAAATCATTTCGAACGAGCGACGAATGATACATTGAAATTGATTTACTTTGTTTCAAAATAAAAATAAAATCGTTTAAAAACTTTTAAGTTAAACGGTTTTATTTTATGTGTCATCTAAATTAAATGTGTGTACCAAATTTCAGATCAATCTGACAACGGGAAGGTGCTTAAATTTCAATTTCAATTTAATTCCGTACGAGTCGAGCTAAATAAAACCGTTTAATAATAAAACAAATAAAATAAACTGCATCAAACTTTTTGCAACGTTGTCTATAGAAGACTATTGCAGTAATTCTCAACCTTTTTTTTCTAGCGGTACACTTCTAAACATTTTAAAAATTAGGCGGCACAAAAAGAAAAATATAAGTTTAAAAATTGTTTAAAATGAAGTTTCAAAAGTTAATCCTTTTCATTTATAATTAATTCAAATGTAGAAATATACACTGTCTTAAATTGATTAGGAACCCAATAATTTTTTTTTAATATCTAATTCGGGAAATTATGAATAACTTGTGGTGGCCCAATAGACGAATTTCGACGATAATTAATTATACATGGTAGTGTATGTAATGTTTTTTTATTGATATAATGTATTTTACATGCATAATTAAAAAAAAATATTAGCATTCTGCCATTCATCGATATAAACTATAAGTGTGGTAAATTTCATTCCGTTTTCGTAAAAGTGTGTACAAAGTTTTAGCTTCACCTATTAATATAGGTTCCCTCCCCTAATGTAAAAAGGGCAATAACAATTTTTTTAATAGTTTTATCAAAATCTTTTGGGTCTGTCCCAAACTTTTCCATATCGCGTTCCTGAGTTTCATTCTTCCACTAATATATTTGTTAATCCCGTCATTTAATCTTAATTTCATTATTAAAAAGTTTAAATTTTATTATATATTCTTTCGGCCCTGTATACTTTTGTGTTATTAAAAATAACAAACATCACCTCACAACGCTTGTCAGATTCCACAACTCTCCAACATTCCACAAACAGATTGATCTATATAATAAAAAGACCTTTAAAATCATATTCGCACGAGGTATTAAGATTTGTGTAATAATAGGTAACAAAGATAATACTAATAACTGTGGTAGGACCACGCAACAGTGTTCACTGCTGCACGAATGGGCACAGAAGACCGGCGTGAAGTAGAAATGTTACACTGTGGGGTGAGTGAGGTAGCCGGGGCCCACTTTATTTAAAGGTGGCGCATTTGCAACCTTTATCGCTTAAAGTAACCGCCACCAAACGGACCCCATATAACATTATATGCAGAAAGAAAATTACGCGCCTTTAAAAGCAATGGATTCGGTGGGTCGTGTTATTTATTATGTGTGCTCTTCTCATAAAATCAAGGTCTCCGAGTGTTAAGTGAGACATAACGATGTACCTACTGGTGATGCAAATGCCACAAATTACCTGTTCGGCGTTTATGTCCCTAAGGTGATAAATGCGTATATTTTGGTTCATTATCGAATGATATTATAGTCGCAGACGGTCGCTCGTTGTCACGTCGTGCACAAATAAACACCTCCACCGAATGCGCCCCGCCTTTCAAGCTCATCTTTGCGGTTAGGATGTTTTTTTAGTTCTACGTAAATCACTTTCTGAATATGTCAACTTTGCTTAGCGTTCGTGCACGTTATCCCATACCTTTTGACGATAGGATAGGATAGAATGTTTTACAATGTTATATTAAAAACACATAAAATTTTTCATTACAAAATTAAAAATGAAACGTTCCTATGAACAATCACCAATTTGTGCCGGAAAAGGTACAGACTAGAAAAGTTTTCTTACGATAGTTTAGGTGTAAAATTATTACGTCGCTAGGCTTTGTGCGATTTATCGTAATTAATTATTATTTATTGTTTTTTTGATGACTTAAGAAAGGTCAAGCATAAACCATACTCATGGAGAGCGGATGAAATGAAGAAAAATTAAAAATAATTATACTACTACGTATGTAGTTTACGTAGTAAAAATTAACTACGAGACAATTATTTATATCAATTCGACGCTTAAGGTGAGAATATAATGAAATTCCAATTAGATATTCGATAAACTGGTAACGAGCACGTAAAGTTTAGGAGAAATGAAACAACGAAATATACTAAATTTAAAATAGTTCTTTGTTAATACTATGAATAAGTATAGTACACGGCCCCTGAGCATTGCCCCACGATACCACCACCAACGTCAGAACTCCTAGCAGCACCTGCGACGCCTGCCATCGGCATCATAGGCCGCTCAATCTTCTTCATCCTCCGGCGAATCCTCCTCGCTCCTGAACACACGCACACCGAATTAAAACCAACACATGCTGTACTCTATTCTTGGCATCCATGTGAAATCATAGACTATGTCCACAAATTCAAATCTTCACCGGAATTAGATGAAATGTACGTTTAGCTTGTAAAGTCATCATAGTAATAATTCTTCTCAAGTTTCAAATAGCGATTCAAATGCCGTTGGAAGTTTTCTTCGATCTCGAAAAATGAGGATTAAACAATCAATTAAATGGTTTACCAAAATCCGTACGTCCGTGTTGTGATACTAAAAATAAACATCTAATACTGATTGAATAGATATTATAAAAAATAAATCACGGTAAAACGCGTCCGTTAGGGCCTAGCCTTTATATTAGGAACTGGACCTTTATATTAGGAGAGAAGATTATCTATATCAGGTCATGAAGGATCTACGGTTTGGGTAACTAGCACGTACCACAGCTATTTACACATACATAATAGCAACAAGCCAAAAGTGACGGCATAAAACGGCACTTTTTCAAAGGTTGCCTACGCATCTGCAAACCCTCGGGTGTTGCAGATGTCCATGGTCGCCGGTTTTCATTTAACATCAGGTAAACCACCTGCTCGCTTGACAACTTTTCACAACTATCGCTTATACGATATTTTCTATTGAAGAACTACTCCCCCAGATGGCTCATCACCGCGGGGGTTGTAGACGGATAATAAGTACTATATACACAATTTCAATGTCTTTCATTCTGTTCATTAGCGAAAGAAGCAAGAGTAATTTAGAATTAGAATATACGACGGAAATTATCAGCATGGCTGAAATGTGAAGCCAAGATTGTAAAATTGAAGATTATGGGCGATATCCTCTATATTTCTAATATTGCTATAGTAGGGACACAAAAAGAGTGAAAGGTATACAATAATACAATACTGAGGTACTAGTTCTTCTTCTTGACATTGTTTAAAAGCTGCAATATTGAAAATGTTCTTATAATTTTTACAACAATTACTACGATCATTCACGAAAGTCAGTATGTAAACATTCAATATTACTAGCTGACATTATATGATACTAGGCATTTTGATGTTTGTAGACCACGTCTAACATCTACTACATCACACATCACCATCCGATAACAACTCATTGTATGTAAAACATGTATCGCCCATAACACTGGTCAACAAAATTTAACTTTTTTTTGCCACATGAAAAATTATATCAAATTTTGAATCTATTAGGGCCACCAAACAATAATGTATCAATTAATGGGGTGCAATTTCGGCACTGAGATGTAAAAGTTAATTCTCCCCACATATAACAAAAATCGTCGGGGTTGTTAGAACACCTGCGTGGCATATTCACAATGTTAATAAAGAAAATAAAATATATGTTAGCTGATGCAATAGTTATAAAGTCGCCTAAATGAAGTTATTCAAACAAATACGCGTAGGTCAGAAATGAATATATAGCTATCAAAAAAAAAACCTGATGTGATTAAAACTAAATTATTTATATTTATATATGTTTATAATTAGGGTACACCAACTTAAACAAAAATCATCACAAAGTTCTTGTGACAAAAGCAGTTTACCAGTGTAATTAAAACTGTTCAAGAGCATGAAACTACTAAAATAAAGGTATAAAGGGTCAAGTCTCGGAACAATAAAATATGAAACATCTGCCAGTAGAGCTCGTTTCTATAAAATATCATAGATTTTACTAAGTTCCCAAGCCTCTATAATATAAGTATACTAGCTGACCCGGCAAACGTTGTTTTGCCATATAAATTATTTGAAGATTAGAAAAAATGTTTGGGGTGGACCACCCTTAACATTTAAGGGGATCAAAAATAGATGTTGTCCGATTCTCCACCCTGGCCGACATGCACACAAAATTTCACGAAAATCGTTCGAGCCGTTTCAGAAGAGTTCAATTAAAAACACCGCGACACGAGAATTTTATATATTAGATTTTTCACAAAACGCCTAAGTATCAGTTTGTTTTTAAGACAGGCATAATTAAAAAGCAATAGAGTTAACGTCTGGTGGACTAGAACGTATGCAATACCGTATGTAGCGTTCTATTCTAGTCGCGTTCTCAGCGCTCTACTCTGAAAATGGTTAATTTTACATATATAACTTTTTAGCCGACATGATATCAATGTCGATTTTTTTACATTTTCATTACAACGCCGTAATAGAGCAAGTCACAAAAAGTCAGCTCACTAGGAATTTTTCCGCAGATTGGGATTTAAAATATCTAAAATGACTGTGTATATATGATGTATTTGTAAATATGAAAAGGAGAAACTGAGTGATACATTTTCTTAAAAATGCCAGCCGCAAATATGCAAGATATTATCATTTTAACTATAAGTAAAATTCATCAGGCTGACATTTAGTCTTATTACAGATTAAGAAATAAGATTATGAATTTGATATTTTCTCTTTTCTTTTATATAATAAGATTTTTTTATTAAATATTAATTAACCGTCAAATTTACATTAATCGTAGACCTTAAGAACTCTTCCATTTTTGGTGATGGTAAATTTAAATTCTTTTGTAACTTTATACGTATGTGCCATATTTGTAAAAGCTGTACATACCTGTCATTGATATACATATAAGAACATAACATTATGTTATATCACAAAAAAAATTAATATTTAACTATAAATAAATAAATATATATAACAGTATACATAAATAAATAAATCTTTTTCCGTAAAATATAAAATATTTATATATAACGATATACTCAGGAAGTAATATCCTCTGGCATTTTTAAATAATATAAGAACATAGGCAATAAACACGCGTCTTTTTGGTTTTCTTTTTGATTAACAAACATTTTGCGTAATTTGAATGTACGCGCTAAGAGATATCATACCGCCGCAGGTGGCATAACGACAGTCGACCTGATATGGTGCGTAGGAAGTGGGGAAGGAGAACTGTGAATTAATTTATGATATAATCCATTCCCCGCGCCATAGAGCCACCGCGGTCTGACGTCATTGACGGCTTGACGGCTTGACGGCTTGCGACGGCGCCTGGTCTAGCACGCGCCCACAGTTTTCCTGATCCGCGATTGAGGCGCGCGCTGCTCTGACGTCGACGGTTTTCACCGTGATGTCACGCAGTTATTTACTCAATTATTATATAATCGGTGCGGATTCTAGCTCATGTCTATGGTATACAAGCGTCCCTACCCTATACCTACGGATCATCTTACAAGGAAGGTGGGCTCTGCAAATTAGTAACTTTTTAAGCGATATACACACTATAATATTATATTATCTAAAACACGCATCACAAAGCATATGAATGGGTTGAATGAATGAACATACTGTTAGAAGGAGTGATTTGTAGTGCCACCCTGCGGCAACGAATGAGAAAGTGTCTGAATGTATGAATCAGTCAGTTGTAGTTATATAGGATGTTACAAATTTTGTTTTTTTTTATCTAATTAGTTTGTTTGAAAAATATATTTCTTTAATTATGGATTTTTAAATGTTTTACATTTTTTTATGATTATTGGCAAGTAGCGTTAGACGTGTGTTCATTTATTGTTGGTTACGCGGTTGTAAACACACGCTGTACATTTACACAAAAGTATGTTTAAGTAGGTATGCCTGTTTAAGTAGGTATAGTACAATCGAGATGACATAAATCAAGATGGGCAATGGAGGGGCTAAAGAATACGGTGGGGAGGTGGGAGAACGTACCTGATCTCGAGCCGCTTGGTGTCGGAGCGAAGGGCGCGCCGGCTGGGCGGCGAGGGCGGCGGCGAGGGCGGCGAGGGCGGCGAGGGCGGCGAGGGCGGCGAGGGGGGCGGCGAGGGCGGCGGCGTGGGCGCGAACGGCGAGCCGGCGGCGGCCGCGGCGCGGAAGGGCGGCGGCAAGCGGCGCGCGCGCTTCGCGATGCGCAGCCGCCGCCGCGCCCGCCGCTTCCGCCGCCTGCGCCGCACCGGCGAACTGGACGGACATTGGCTCATTGACGGCGCACAACGTGTCGCCACACCTTAACACTACTATATGTTGACCTTGCGATGTGCGTGAAACATTTCAAAATACTCATAAGAACTGTCCAATTGTTGTTTTAACAAATAAGTTGAAGTATTCGTGTAAAAAATTATATTTAAGAAAAAAATCAGTGATTTGGTAATTCGTCAAAAACATTTTAAGTGGAAGGAAGTGGGCCAATACTTGAAAATTATAAACTTCTTGGAACGTTTTTGCCAAGCCAGAATGAGAATTCTATTTCAAATATTTCAAGTATGTTGAAGCTCAATAGGCGAACGTTTTAATATTTTTATAGAGTGACCTTAATTATCGTATCGTTCTATAATTGTAGAGATGCAAATCGTTAAGACAGTTCAGTATAGATAGCGGATCACGAATTGTAGCGGGTGTCGTAGCAGCTTAATCCTAGCGGATCAATAGTCAGTCGTAAATAGCCGTAGCCGCCAAAAATAACAAAGGTCTCACAACACAAGGTGTTAGAGCATACTTTCGTATTCAGTTTTTGTTTTTATTTCGAAAATATGCAAATATTCTCATGTTTTCCTTCACCGTTGAACACGTATTAATTTACACTCATATTGCTCAAGTACATTTCAAGACCTATCACGGCTCATTGGTAGAAGTAGTAGCAATAGTTGGTGCAAGTCAATTGTCGTAGTTGGTTATAGGTGGGAGTGAGGCAATAGTCGGAGCAGGTTAATAGTTGGAGCAAGTCAATAGTCCTAGTAGGTTATAGATCGGACTGAGTCAGTAGTAGTAAGTTAATAGTTGGGAGCAATTCAATAGTCCTAGTAGGTTATAGGTCGGAGTGAGTCAGTAGTAGTCGTAGCACGTTAATAGTTGGAATGAGTCAATAGTCGTAGCTGGTCATAGTGAGTTTAAGTCAGTAGTCATAGCAGGTTCATAGTTGGAGCAAGTCTTTAGTCATAGCAGGTAAATAGTATGAGCGTGTCAATATTTGTAGGAGGTTAATGGTTCGAATGAGTTGGTAGTCGTATTAGGGTAATAGTGGGAGAAAGTCAATCATCGTAGCAGGTTAATAGTTGTAGCGAGTCAATATTCGTAGTAGTTGAATGGTTGGAGCAAGTCAATGGTTAAAGCAGACTAATATTTGGAACATGTCAATATTTGTAGCAGTATGTCAACTGACGCTTCGAATCAATATTAGTAAGTGGATTGACAGTTGTAGCGGGCAATAGGCGTAGCGTGTCATTGTTGTAGCTGAACAAAAGCCGTAACGGGTCAGTATTTTAGCAGTTTCAGCTATAGCTTTCAGCTTTATATTATTATGGCCATATTATCTCTTTAATCATTGTATCTGTTGATAAGATGTAGCCGTTAATTTGTTAAAGCAATTCAATTTTTTATTCTACTTTATTTTTTGTTTTCAAAAAAAACATTGCCCTTACTTTAGGATAACTTTATCCTGTAAGGACGTTTTACAAACATAAATTTCACGCGGACAAGCAATTCAATTAAACATTGTAACATATAAGGTATCAATAAAACTTTTTAATTCTTTATTTTCACATATCCACCATCAAATATGAATCAGTCATACCCAAAATAATCCATTTAATTATGCTAGTATAAGCCACCGGGTTCCAAACCCATGCACCGACATGAAAATATATGAACAATATCTGAAGTACTAACTAATTAAAAATAAACTTATAAAACAAATAATGACGGTAGCATTTTTCCAATTTTTCAAGTTTGCTATTTATTTTATGCAGGCTCTACCTATGTTCAACAAGACAAAAAGATTTCGTTATTTGTAGTTATTCAAAGGTAAGTAGTACACGGCGTATAAGGATCCCTGGTTGGTGATTGTTTAAAATATTTTTTTATATTTCAATATCCCCTATTTTCAGTAATATTCCAGGACCAGACGAGTTTCATTAAGATAAAATATATATGTCTAAAATTTATGATTAACATTTTAACATTTATGAAAAGAAGTCACTTCATACGATCACACTTAAACGAATGTCGAATAATGCTTAAAGGTTAAATAGAAGTCTGGTGTCGCATAAATTAATCGCGCCTCGTGAAGGCTAACATGAATTAAATATTTATGTTATATACAGGCAGCGAGCATCTAATAAAAGTTAACGATAAAGACATGACTAATGACATTTATTATTTATTAATATTTATAATGAATATTTTAATTGATTTATCATGTATAATTATTTGCTTGTTTCCTGTTTTTTCTGTTAAATTTTTAATCTCAACTCAGATCTGATATGATATTTGTATTTTAAATGAAAATTATATGACAATGCCTATTACGTATAAGGTAACATTTTTGACTGATATATTTACAAGTTTAAAGTCGCTTCTGTTACTAACTTATACAGCGTGTCTTTACAATCGCGGCAATAAATGAACACACATATACGGGATAACTTTTTAAAATTCTATTAAACTTACATTGTTTAAACATCAACATTTACAGAGTTATAAAATTTTCCAAAACAAAGATTTTTAGAACACCCTTACGTATAAAACTGTAACGTGAAGTTCATTTGTAAAGGTCACAAAGCATATGAATGGATGGAATGAATTTAAAAGAGACAAAACATACTGTTAGAGACGCTTGTAATACGACGCTGTGGCGCGAGTTGTATAGGATTTTACAAATTTTGTTTCTTTTTTACTTAAATAGTTTGTTTGAAAAATATATTTTTTTTAATTATGGATTTTGTTTAACGTTAATATTTTTTTATGATTATTGGCAAGTAGCGTTAGACGTGTGTTCATTTAATGTCGCGATGGTAATGTCACGCTGTATATATTATTATAATAAATAATGAAGTCTGAAATTAGATCATGTCAGTAGTAATTCTTCATTGGTACCTCAATACCCACCGTAATCCCTATACAAATGTTTGGGCTTGTACCAAAATAAGACGGGCACAAAAATAGATGTAACTGAGACATGTACTTGTTATATAATAACAGTATAAAAAACATAATTACAGTCTTACATGGTCTCACAACTCAATAGAATTCCAATACTCGGGAGTGACTCCACTGATCTAGGTAAATCTAGATGGCGCTGCGATCGAGCGTCCTACATATTGTAAAACCTGTACCGAGTAATGTAATGTGTTGGTTTCTTTCTCATATTGTGAGGGAGTGTAATGTTAGCGTTGAGTTGTATACATTTGTGGGTGAATAGTTATCGTGGCTTTAAGTAATTATTGTGGCACCGAGTATACCTCGATCGCAGCGACGTCAAGAGGCCCATGTCGAAAACCAGTTACTTTACCTGTATCTACGGCCGAGGTTTGAACACTTTACCTTTACATATCAAAGATTTTTTGTTACAATTCAGAAGGATGTTTAACATGGTAATATGAAATTATTGTCAAAAAAAACAGGGGAAACTTAAGGAGTTGGCTATCATCTCACACTTCCACTGTAATATTGCTGGAACAACTTTTTGCATCTTCTGGTCTTTTCTTGCCACTGTCTTTTATAGTCCAAATATACAAAAATGTTCAGGTAAAGCTGGTCCACGCACTGGCAATTAAACATCTATCATGAAAACAAACACGCTGCCTCCATTAAATTAAGTTATCAATACACCACAGAATTTGCACTAAGATCTTCTCTTGCTGCCTATTCCGCTTTTGGATAAAATTTTAGCAACGAGCATGACATGTTAGTGAGAAATAAAGTACCACTATTATACCATAAAGTTTATTCCAAAAATATAGCAAATACATCCACCATAATATTCTCATCACTTAACAGCTACACTGAAAGCACATAAAGACACAGAATGCTGGTAATGTAGTCCTTTATTTTCCTTTTATATTTAATAAAATAACTAATAGCGAAAAAATCTAAACATACAAAGAAAAACTTGGACATCAACAAAAATAAAACAAATATGTATGAAATTAATAATCCTAAAGTTAAGAAACATGCTTTTACATAGGGAAATTGTTATGAACTACTTGAAAAAATTACAAAACAAAATGTCTTATGATCAAATTTGTATGATCTATGTATATTATAATGAAATCAAATTTGGACCACTTATTGTTACATGTTAAGTAAATATTATTATAAAATAAGTCAAACAAGGATATGTGAAAGAATAAAAGATAATCAATATAATGAATTTCTTCTGCTGTTATATTAGTCATATCTGCAAAAACCATCCATCGTCGAAATCTATTAATAATTATTATTTTTTGTTATTATAAATCAAACAAGTTTAAATCTAACTTTAATAACATTGAATTTAGATTAAATTTTATTTTATAGCTTATGTAGGAACTGTTTATTGTCTGTTATTAACATTTTAGTTTAAAGTAAAATAATTGTTATGTAAAGAAAAAAAAAGTTATCCATACACTAATGGAAGAGGAAAAAAGAATATATTTAAAAAATAAATGAGAACATCTATTAAGGGTGCAGACACGTTTTACCTGTATGGTCGCGATGGACGGGTTTGCAGAAGCTTAGATAAAACGGAGAGCGGAACGAAGTCGGCTAAGGCACTCGGAGCCGCGCTCGGCTCTAACTACAAGCAACGGGTTCCTTCTCACCCGGGCTGCTCCTGGTCCGAGTCGGCGTTCTCCTCGCCCTCCGCCTCCTCGTCGTGGCCGCCTGCAACAGGCGACGGGTGTGGGTGAACGGGTGAGCGGGTGAGTGGGCGGGTGAGTGGGCGGGTGAGCGGGTGAGTGGGCGGGTGAGTGGGCGGGTGAGCGCGTGGGTACGTACGTGCGCGGCGGGCGTAGTGGCGGCGCGCGGGCGGCGGGCGCTCGTCGGGCGCGTCGGCCAGCAGCGAGCTGCGGTAGGTGTGCAGCGCGGCCGCCTCCTCGCGCCACGCCACGGCCGGCTGCAGCCGCGACTCCAGGAACTGCCGACAACGCGCGTTTACCCCCCGCTTCGCTCGACCTTTTCGCAACGCGTGACCACAGTGGTCGTTGGAGCTCACTAGCCACGCCTTCCACAATTAGAAAGCTCCAGAATGTTTTGTTTCTCTCAAAATACAGATTACTTCAAGATTGCTATAAGTGAAAAAACCCAATTGATCATTTTCATCTACACTTTCAAATTTCGATCGACACACATTCTATTCAAGATTAGAAGTTGAGTCGAAAAGCTACACAAAACCTTGAGCACGTGGCGCTTGTCCTGGCGCAGCAGCTTGTTGGAGAACTCGGCCAGCGGCTCGAGGAAGAGCAGGTTGGGCGGCGGCGCGGTGGCGCCCGCGGCCGACTCCAGCGCCGCGAACGCGATGCCGGCGCGGTGCAGCGCCGTCAGCGCCTCGCGGTTCTTCACCGCGTCCAGCCCGAACATCACCGAGAACCGCTTGGCCAGCTCCTGCGCACGGCACCGCCATGGTCAGTCCCGCCGCCCCTCCGCCGCCCCTCCGCCGCCGCCCCTCCGCCCCCGCGCACCTTCAGCTCGACGAACTCGGGCAGCGTGCGGTGCGGCGTCTCGTGGATCTCGAGCATCTCGGTGAAGAGCGCCTGCATCGCCAGCTGCATCGTGAGCGCGCAGTTCAGCTTGTTGATCTCCCGCGCCTTTGTCACCGTCGCCTTGATTATGTCGCCGTAGTCGTTGTAGCACTGGGAAGCACGACGACGCATCGAGAAATTAAAGCGGGACTACGATAAGGAACGAATAGCTAAATCTCAAGGCGATAACACCAAAAATACCCATTACAAAATAATAATAAGAGTAATAAATTATTTTCTTATATTGCAAAGGCTTTTCTAAGTGTATCCATTTTTTTAATTAAATTCTAGACATAAATAATGTTGTATAAAAATGATAAATATATAAATTTTATGATAAATCGCTCGTAAGTAATGAACTACATTCATTTCAACTTATCCCAAAAAGTATGTGATTCATAGGCAACTCATTTATTTTGCGCGATCATTCATAACTAACACGCACACAAGTTCGTTTGTTTATGTGAACAGTAAAATTTAGGTATTTATGAATAACTACCGCGTTGTCAACAAGTTCTGTAGTTTAGGGAATAGACTGGTAATTTTTTTGAAAAAAAAAATTTACTTTGTTTTTATTTCAATAAACGATTATACTACCGAGTCTGAACGTCCTGTGTGAATTTGGGCACCTTTAAAAAAGTCTGCCTGTATAGAGAAAAAAAAAAAATGAATCACAGTAACCCAAAAATGTGTAATTGGAAGTAATGTGTTTGACTGGAAGAATTGGTTTGTCCGTCAAAAATTTTATTTATGGCACTCTCAAGCATATTTTTATTAATCGATTACGCTATCCAAACCTCGGAAATTGATATCATTACTAAACACAAATACCTAAGTATTAAACCTATGTAGTATTCGCATAAATACAAGAAATGCTTACGATTTATGCCATTTAATAACTCATAGGTATTACTCACAGTAAAAAAGGAAGTATTCCCTATTATTTCCCTATTTTTTAGATTTAACCAAATCATATACAGTCTTCATCAAACAAAAATCCTTAACACGTACATATACCTATGATAAGATATGGGTATTGTACATACAACTTAATTTTTCCAATAGTTACCTAAATAGTCATTCAAAGTATGCCAAATGAAATTCAATAAGCTACCTGTGTCTCCCAAGGACGTGTTCTACGACCTACAATGTTTTTAATTTATGTAAATGATTTGAGTCAATTAAACTTAGGAAATGGTAAAATAATCTCATTTGCAGATGATACTGTTCTTGTTTATAGTGGTGTAGTGTCCTTAATACCTTAATGTAATGCTTGAAAACGTCGGCTGCACGTCTGATGGGCGTCACGTTGTACACAATGAGTTTGCAGTACGCGGCCAGAAAGTTGCGCCGCTTGTGCAACTCCTCGATACGTCTCTCGTCTTGACCATCTGCAACGTCGGCCCAACTTAATGCATAATGCACAAAGCGATCGATCATCGAGCACACTAGCGACTGGTCCACATAAGCCTTAGTAATATACCAGTCGCTATAACACACAAGACATGAAAAGACCAAAATAATTTTGATTTTGGTCATTGGTATATATCTAAGAATTATGAGAATCAGTTTTACCTATCATAACAATTCATTTGCCGGCTGACAAATAAGTCGAATCACCACCGGGGCAGTAATTTAGAAAACCATACAGGAACAAGGCTATATAGGCGATATAAGTTTCCGGGGTGGTTCGGCCGTTGCAGCCGACTTCGACTAATCCACAATAGACGCATGCAGCTGATCTAACAATTAAATCTACAATTCACACGAACAAGAAGCGTTATTATGTGAATTTCGCTCAATCGAGGTCCAATTAGTAGAACGAGAACGTATTATGAAGTTTAGTAAAAAGCTAAGTGAGTGTACTTATGTAGCTCGGTTAAAAAACCCAGACTGAAGCCCTAATATGAAATGTGAACCGCATGAAACCTCAACCGGCGCAACGATGGCTAACGCATCGATAAAAAAAAAGAGAAACAACTGATGCACGTCAACAAGAATAGAAAAACGCAACTGAAAATAAAAATAAAAAAGAGAAAAGTGACACGCACTGCACAGGGCATGCAGAAAGGATGAGAGACGCTCGGAGGTGTTAATAGGGAAGGAGGGTGAATCGGGTCGGCTGAAGCGGCCGCGACAATTTTCCCTTAGTAATGCGACGGAGCCTAGACGGGGCGTCGGAGCCGAGAGGAAATATGCATTATTGCGGTGCGCCATTACTAAGGCAAAATCGCGGGCGAGTGCGGCGCGATGTGGGCGGCTTACCGGGAGCAGCCGCGCCGCGCCGAGCCCCGCCGCCGTCACATGCAACCAAACACACCACTCCGTTATAGCGGCGGCACGACGGCGAACGGGCCTCGCGCCAATAATGCATATTTTTCCTCGGGCACGGGTTGCATTGCGTACGCAGTTGTCGGGCGCACTCCCCCACCTCGATTCCAGAAGCGAATCTCCACCCCCGCGGAAACCGACCGCCCTGAGCGCTACGACAACTCGCCAGTACCTAATCCCACCCGTTTACACACATCGTGACGGCAATTGTCTGGTCAAAGTATTACATGTAAGTCTACTCGCGGAGCGAAAGGGTCGCACGCGAAACGTTTGCGATTCCTTTCTATTGTAGTTCACGAGCAGCCAAATAAGCGCAATGGTGGACGAAACTTTATCAACATTTACACGAAAACTCCCTCTAACATTGATCTTTAGCGACGGCAAATTGTATGGATCGCAATAAATTTTAACCACAATGATAAAACCAACTTTAACAAATTTCTTTGAACATTACAAATGTTACCCATTTCATTTTCATTGACACGTTTTACAGGTCATTAAATGATTCCAATTATTAATCTGCATCATCCCATTAAAGGATTTAAGAAAATAACAGAAATATTTATGCCTAAAAACTATGCAATTTACTTTAAAAATAAATAATTCGATCGCTTCAAACAGATTTCGCCCTTTGACTACAAGAATTATGAAAATGTTTAGAGTACCAATACTTTTAAAAGTACTTTCAATACTAAAAATATTTCTACCTAAAAGTTTTTAGTAAACAGTTTTCTGAACTTTGGCATTACAAACGACCAGCATATGAATTGTAAATATACAATACTTATTTATTTCTTTAAACTTTAATCCGATCTATGATAAGCTTTTGAATTTGTACATCATAAAAAATAACAATTATTTAAAACATTATGAATTCAATGGATTATTAATGTTACTACCGTCATACGATATATGTATTGAATATTTCTCTTAATGTCAACACCAAGCTAATTATTGTTCTAGTTCCGTGACGGAAAGGTATTCCACAGGGCTCTATCCTCGTTCGACTTTATTGCTTATTTATAAAATTTATTAATCGCGTCTTTACTAATACACCTGATACAATAGGGTTTTACTGCCTAAATCCACAAGAAAACCTACGCCCACAATTTAAAAAAGCAGGCAGAGGTATGACATCTCCAACTGGACAGATAGTAATGTTTTAAATAAATTTAAATTTATAAGCCGAAGTTGTTTTAACGAGTGTTTTACAATTTTGTAGCAGCCTAAAAGTTCTCAAGTTATTCTTGTAAGTCTCTCAAATATGTTGCCAAAGTTTTCGATGTTTGGCTGTTATGTTGTTTTGTATTTCATATACTAATAGTAGTAAATATTTCATGGATGAAAAATATTATAGTGACTCGACCAAATGGAATACTTTTTCCTGCTTTATGCGTTGGAAAGTAAAAGAAAAAAAAATATACAACACATTAAATAAAATGGAACATCTAACAAATAGAGAGTTTGACGAACAAAGGTGTCGATGTGGAGGACATAAGCTTCCATCATTCTAGTCGCTGTTGTATCGAATCTACGGAAGCGGGCTACGGAAGTAAAATAACATGGAAACGTGGAGTCGATTAACCATTTCTTAAGGTGTTAGGGCTAAGGGCCCTCGGCCCAGAAAAGGGTCGCTCAGTCAAAGTCGAAATCTGCGTGAAGCGGAGGCGGGGTGGTGCGGGGTGGGGCGGTACCGTAGTTGGGCTGCACGAAGACGAACTCCTGGATGAAGTCGTTGAGCAGGTCGCAGAGCGCGGCGTCGGGCTCGAGCACGAGGCGGCGGAAGGCGGCGTCGCCGGCGTGGTGGCGCGAGTGCAGCTGCTCGGCGAAGAAGATGAGCAGGTCGCACAGGCTGGTGTAGGCCTCCTCGCGCAGCTCCAGCGTGAGGCCGCGCGCCACCGTGGCGCGGCACAGCGCGCAGTAGGCGGCCAGCCGCTCGGCCAGCCGCGCGCCGCCCGCGCCGCGCTCCTCCAGCTCGTGCAGCGACCACAGCAGCGAGTAGAAGCACGCGCGCACCACGTACACCAGCGCCTGCTCCGGCATCGTCTCGCTCTCCTCCACGCACTTGGGCAGGTCCTCGAACAGCGACTCCCAGATGTTCGTGTCGTTCAGGTTGTGGCACATGTACATGATGGACACCTTGCGCAGCGAGTTGGTCACGTTGAAGATCTCGTCGGCGTCCGGCGCCTCGCCCTGCGGAGACGGCGGCGGGGTGACGGGGCCGACGGGGCCGACGGGGCCGAAGGTGACGGGGAACGGAAGGTACTCACCCCCTCGATCAGGTTGCGGAAGTCGTCGATGGCCTCCTTGTACTTGTTGACGCACATGTCGGTGACGGTGGCGCGCGCCACGTTGCAGCGCGAGTAGACGGCGCACTGCTCGCCGCAGAGGTACTCCAGCGTGCGGCCGCACGTCTCCAGCACCTCGGCCTCGGTCTGCGCGCTCACGATGTCGCGGATCTTGTTCAGCAGCAGCGCCAGGTTCTGCAGCCGCGGACCCGAATTACTCCGTCGCGCTTAGCATACTCCGCGTAATTCACGGGTGCCGCCACTCACCGCCTCCTGCCGCTGCGTCGTGTACAGCTCCAGCTCGAAGTACTGCGGGATGGCCACCAGGTTGGCCAGCTTCTCGGGGTCCGCGCCGAACTTCTCCAGCAGCGCCGGCAGCGTGACCATGAAGTGCGCCGTCATCTTGGCGCGGTCGTCGCTCACCATCTGCGGGCGGGGCGATCGCACGGTGAGACGGAACGCAGCAACACAGCAGGGAGAGGGAGACGCGGGCGCACCTTGGCCTGCTCCTTGGAGAGCATCTGGTGGTGCTTGCGCGCCGGGCCGCGGCCGACGGGCGGCTCGCCCGTGCTGGCCTGGCGCACGCAGCACACCATGAGCTCGATGAGCGACGACTCCTGGCGGTTGTCGAGCGCCTCCTCGTCGGGGCCGGGCTCCTCGAGCAGCAGGTCGGTCATGCACTCCCAGTCCTTCATCATGGGGTTGGAGTCGATGAGCGAGTCGACGAGGTAGGCGCCGTGCTCGTGCAGCTCCGACTCGATGAAGAACTGCACCAGGTCGCGCAGCAGCGGCGTGTTGGGCAGGCGCTGCTTGCCGCGGCCCGAGCGCGCCGGCGCCGCCTGCGCCTCGTCGGCGCGGAACAGCCGCACGTTGAGGAACTCGCCCGCCGCCGCCGCCACGGCGCGCCACGACGAGTACACCAGCTCGTACACGTTCTCGCAGTCCTTGTCCGTCAACACGTCCGGGTGCATCCTGCGAGTATCACGACGACAGATAGTCTTAGAAAAAGGGTCCCGTTTCACCCTTTGAGACAGAATTTAAAAACAAAATATATTAAATTAAATGTCTTTTACGATCGGAGCTTACTTCAGAATGGCTATGACAAGTTTGACAGCATGGACGGCCACTTCCGTCTCCTTGTCGAGCGACATGGACACGATGCGGTCTTTGAACTTGGAAGTAAACAACTCCAGCTTGCCCTTCAGCTCCTCGCACTCGTACAGAGGCTGCAAGGCTTGCAGGCAACGGAGTCGCACTTCGCCCACCTATGATATCCAATTACAAATGAGTAAATAGATATGATACACAACAACTTCACTTTTTAAATACTCACTTTGTCGTGCAGTGTCCAGCCAATATATTTGAGATACAGATCGTCAAGAAAATGCGCTGGAAATTTCTCCATCCAGATACCAATTTCGGCCATTGTAATTGCTCTTATATCCGGCAATGTATCCCTAAAAACAAAGCCATGGCCATAGAGTACAAATTTCGGGACGCGCTAACTATAAATGTTTCATCAAAGACACCAGTTAGTTAATTATAAAAGGTGTGTATGTGAGGAATTAATTCGGTCAGCACCTATATCTGTGCACGAAGACGGACTTGAACATGTAGGAGAGCATGTTCTTGATCTCCTCCATGTTCTCCTCGAGCTCCTGGCGCTTGGCCACGAGCACCTCGAGGCGCTCGCTGGCCCGCTTGTCACGCGCCTTCAGCCGCTCCGCCTCGTACTGGCGCAGGCAGTTGTCGCAGTTCACGCTCGTCAGCAGTGCCACGTCCACCAGCGCCGTCATCAGCTTCATCACTGCCGGCGAGAGCGGAACCTCTCAAGTGCCCATTCAACGACAGCTTCACTTCACCATCGAGTTGAACTACCTACTGTGTGCTCCAAAGTTTTAAAGGTTGGCAGAACAAATGCAATCCGGACTGCTCAATGCTTACCTGCTATCCCACTTGCTAGTAAGTAGCGATGCAGTAAGCAACAGCAGTAGCTGTTGCATGGCCCTAACACCATAGACAAAATTTAATATAAGAACTTACCCCAGGAATATCCACATTTAATATTTGGTAATAAATCCATATTGTACATACCATTGATCATTTCAAACATGTACAAGAAATTAAATGCATGAAAGGAGCCTCCCAGAGCGATGTACATATAGAGTCCGTATGTCCGGCGCACCCACCCGGAGTGCAGTCAGAGATTCTCCCCCACTGACTGGCCAATCCTTCCACCACGATGACAAATCCTAATCATCCACATGATAGTCCAGCGCTCAAGCCGGCTCTGCGTGTAATCTCGATTAATATCGGAGGGTTATCCGAGGACGAGACCGAACTGTTTATTTATTTTATGCGAAAAGTTGTTCAACGAGCAGCCGGTTCACCTGATGTTAAGTGAATACCGCCGCCCATGGACATCTGCCACACCCGAGGGTTACAGATGCGTTGACAACCTTTTGAAAATTGGGCTCCGGCTACCTCACTCACCAGACGAAACGCGAAAGTATTTGTTCCACTTTACGCTGGTCTTCTGTGAGGTCGTGGTACTTACCCGGACGGGCCTGCCCATTCGTGCAACAGCAGAGGCTGCAGTGTGGCCCTACCACCTTACCACCGTTAAAATAAACAAAACTGCTTGCAGAATTATGTCACACAACGCACTGTGACGTCCCCTGTGTGCAAGAAACCCACCGAGATGAAACGCAAAGTAGACCACACGTAGCTGGACTGATTCTCATCTCCGAGACTTACCACCCGAAATACGATAACGCAATATTTGTTACTCCCGGAGTGAGTATAAGATCGACAAAATTTTCGACCCAAAACGGCATCGAGGTCATCACCTTATACCTAAATCAGTGCTCCGTAACATCTACTCACAACCGAGCCCGCAAAGAAGAAGAAATTAAATAACATTTACTCTTCCAGTTTTAGTCATAGCAGTAAAACAATGGTCAATTTTTATTACGTATGATTTTCTGAATGTAATGTAAACAGAAATTATCATAAATTTTATAAAATGTGAATTTTTCTACATAAATGAACAAAAACTTTCGGTGAAGGGGGGATATACCTTGTAAAGTGCTATAAAGCACTAAAAATAAAATCCAGTCAAGTGCGAATAGAACTCGTACGCCGAACATTCTATACCTATACTGCCATAATAAAATTGGTAAATAATCAACACCGATTTTCTCAGGAACGGGTGGATCTAGCAAGTTGAAATTTATACCAGATACTGTGTCCATAGTCTCTAGGTGTATAAAAATCAAGGTCCTGAGTCAACACGATAAAAAGATACGGGCAAAATTAGATATGCGAAAATGTGTAAGTACCAAAATTTACCTTCATTTTGAGTGCAGTGTGAACTAAAAATAAACATTAGATCTAAAAATGTAATTATAGAAAGAAGAAAATACCTGCTAAAGTTGCAGTGTGTCTGAATGCTCTCACTTGGGAATCTGACAATCCAGTAAGTAGGGATATAATGTTATCCATGAGATATTGATCATAGATGATGGAGTACTGACACATCTTCACCAAAGTCTGGATAAACTCACAAAAATTAGATCTGAACTTCTTCCAAGTTTGCCCACTCATAATTAAAGGATATTCTCCACTTTCCTACAAAAAAATATATCTTTAGAGCTGTGTAAAATAATTATAAATGGAACACAACATACTTGCATTTTAATTGATGTCATTATCAGTAAAAAGTAGTAGTTACTGTGGTACCTCATCAAACTCTTGGGTCATTTTCTTTATTATAAGTGTGTGGTCCATTGATGCCATATCTGGAGTAACTTTACCCCTACAGCCAGAAGAGTTAATGAAAAATTGCATCAGCTGAACTAAAGCACTTTCCCTGTTTGTTTTGTATTCTTCTATCCACATATCTACAACTTGCTGCAAATTGTCAAAATACATTGCATTATTTGTAAACAATTTTATTGTTTTAATTAACGCCCACACTCCTACATTACTCTGTTAAAATAACACAATGTTTATGCAATTGACCGATGTTAAGTCATAACTGCCACCCATAAACCTTTGCAACATCTATGGGATGGGCAACAATTCAGTGCTTCTCAGGTGTACTGAATTAATAAGTAGGGCACAGCTCCTGACTCTTTAGGTTTTTAAGTTACAGTTGTGTAATTCAACATTCCACTAGTACTTATTCGGTCATAACTTTAAATTTGAGAGATAAGGATTAAAGTCATGCAGACTAATACACATTTTAAAATATAAAAAATTTAAAATTAGATTTAATTTTAGTGTTCCCTTGAAAAGGTTTCATTTTAGGATAACAGTAACACAATTTTCAGTGTAATTTTAATTGATATAGGTAATAAGCCATTAAAGTAAATAATAGTAGGATTTTTTGCAGAAAGTTAGTTTTAGAGAAATTAATATTTTAAGTTTTATAGGTTAACTATTAGGAATGGTATAGAACAGTATTGTTACGTCTTTCGGCCTAAGAGATTTTCATATTTATATTCTAAAACCTAATACTTTGTGTTCTAGAGACAAGGGTAAAAATTCATTTATCTTTATAGATCTACTTAAGTAATAAATATACCAATCAACATCAGTTTGAAAACTATGATTTAATATACGGACAATACTAGATATCAGGACAATCTTTTGGTAAAAAAAGTAAAGTAGGTAGATAATATGGATAATTTAAAACTTACATTTATAGCGGTTTTATTAAACCTTAGAATATTGTAGAGACTGTTCTCGTCATCACCCGGCATAAGAACAGGCGGTGGAGATGATGCTGGTGGAGGAGCTGCGCCTCGCCCACGACCACGCCCACGGCCACCTCGTCCGCGCCTGCGCAGTGGTGGCGGTGGTGGCGATTCTGCCAACCGACCTACATAGCCTCCATCACCGCCTCGACCCCGACTTCTAGTTATACGCTTCGTTGGCGCCGGTGATGGTGACCTTCCTTCTTCTTCATGCGGTTCTTCTGCTTCTTCTCTCGGAGGTTCGGCAGCCGTCGAATTTGCCACTGCCCCAACATTGAAACCAGAGTAATTCGGATTTGGTGTTTCCGGTTCATGAACTGATTGGCCACCATAATCGGTCATTGGCGTCGCCGGAGTCATCGGATTCACATACTCCGGAGGAGGATCATCCATTCGGATTCGTTTCCCGCCTCGCCGATGCATCTTGTCAAATAATATTTAATGATAGAACAAAAAATACACACTTATCATGACTGTCACATCTTTTCTTTAACAACTTAGGACACCCTTGTGAACATAAGAAGCGACCATCTTATGTATTGATTAAGCACTGGTGCGGCTGTGCGCACTCGGTACTCTATTGACTACGGTTGCCTGGCCTGGCCTGATATTGATTTCATTTGCAATTTACAGTTGGCTAGAACGGCATAGAAAACCGACGCGCAACGAAACCCAATGTACCTATGTACTCTTTTAACGCGGCGTTCAGTGCTGCCAATAGCCATTGACCAATAGCCATCAAGCTTTGCAGAGTTGCCGTATTCTATATGGTACATTCCAGATTGCCTTTTTTTGAATAAAAGTCATGAAATTGCCTTACTTAATATATATTTAATATACTTCTAAAAATTGAAGATGGGACAAAAAAACTACCTACTCATTAAGTATGATTATTCACCATAGAAATTTCTAATCGGCTCATTTACTATACTTCACTGCCATGTTTATTTAAACAGCATTTGTCCGAATTTTGCATACATATCATGTGCGAAAATGCAACAATGCACTTGGCTACCTAATCTCTGCAACTCTGTCAATGATTTCCAGGGACTTCAAGTTATAATATAACTAGCTTTTCGCCCGCGGCTTCACTCGCGTTGAAGCCCTTAAACAAATATCTTTTTTTAAAATCAAAATTTTAATTAAAAAATAGCCTATGTCCTTTCTCAGGCTCTAGGCTATCTGTGTACCAAATTTCATTTAAATCGGTTCAGTAGTTTTGGCGTGAAAGCGAGATAGACAGACAAAGTTACTTTCGCATTTATAATATTAGTATGGATAGGGATGTGCCTTTTAGTGCAATATTATTCCAAGTTTGGCTGGAATAATGATCACTTAGGTTTCCTTGTGAGCCTAAGCCTTGTGAATCACCATCACCATTGGATTGCCAAAATAATATATTACTATACTGTAATGCAAAACATGCCGTATGCCGTATTATCTGAAGATGAGTCCGCTTTTTTCTTGAGGATTACAGTAGATTCAAAGCTCCAGTGGAGCGATGGCCAGTATGAGGATGCTACTCGAGAACCTTTTAACCCAACGCCCTTGAGCCAGAAGGAGGGTTATGTTGTTCGAGAGTATGTATGTATGTGTAATTGTTTGGCACGTTTTGCAGCCTGAACGGCTTGATGGATTTTAGCTTGAGAGGTGTCGTTAGATTCATATTTTCTGTGAGAATAAATCTGGGTATATCATAATAAAAATACACAGAAACGCAGTAGGGTTTTTTAGATTTTTAAATTATATTAATAATAATAAATAATAATAATAAAATATCTTTATTCACACGCTTGCGCGTTCTTATGAAACGTCGAAATTTTACAAGGAAATTAATATGTTCGTAAGTTACCACCGGTTCGGAAAGCAGTTTCTGTTGAGAAGAAACCGGCAAGAAACTCAACAGTTGCTCTTTTTCAAAAATATTAGGGTACAATATAATATACAGGTATAATAGTTTTATTCTAGCCTACGTGAGTATCAACAGTATTAACTCCACACATTGGCGTCGTCGAGATATTTCGAAATGGTATAATACGCTTTAATCATTAGTTGATTTTTAATTTTACATTTAAATTGGTCAAGCGGCAGACTCAATACCGATTGTGGGATTTTATTATACATGCGCACACTTTGCCCCATGAACGATCTATTTACTTTTTGTAGACGAAACAATGGTGTAATTAATTTGTCCTTATTTCTAGTATTTAGTTTATGTCTGTCACTATTCTTTAAATAATTATTAATATTATGTTTAACATACAAAATATTACAATAAATATATTGAGACGCAACAGTGAGTATATTAATCTCTTTAAAAAGGTGCTCTGAGTGTATTCCAGGCCCCGATGTTATAGATTGCTCGGACAGCTCTATTGTACTTGTGTCCCGGCGCTCGCCCTTAATTCAATATACTCCAGCAACCTGAGTTTGATCCCCGGTGCCGGCACCAAAGAAATTGTTAATTTGAAGTGCTGACTTATCACGTGCTCAGCGGTGAAGGTTAACATCGTGAGGAAACCTGCACATTTTCCAAATACTCAACTCAAACAAAAAAGATATTTCGAAGATATCTGAAGTCCACCAATCCGGAGTGGGGCCGTTGGTGAGCTAAGCCTTGATACCCTCTGTACAGAAGAGGCCTTGGCACAGTAGTGGGACATGTATAGGCTGATACTTTACGTTTTTACTTTTGTTTCCCCAACTGTTATCGGTTCTACGCTATATGGCCAGACCATCGCCACTTCAGCTTTTTAATCTCAGAAGATTAAAAACCAAAGCTCAGAAGCTATGTCGGTTCCCTTGGTACTGGGGATGCCTGCGTACTCTATTACGAGAGAAATACCGAGTGTAGCCCACTCCATATCTCGCTGAGCGACTTTGAGCTTCCGCTATCGGCCATTAGTGAACCACGTCTCGGTTCCATAGGACATCACTGGCAACACACATTGACTAAAGACTTTTGTCTTCAAACATTGAGGGATATTAGACGATAAGATATGCCGAAGTTTCCCGAACGCTACCCCTCCGAGTTGAATTCGCCGATTGACCTCTGCAACGAAGTTTGACGTACCTAACTGGACCAACCTGGTTCTACAGCGATTCTGCCATGATAAATATGTCGTCATCAAATCGAAAATGGGTGATGTATTCGCCATTGATGTTTATAACGCGCTTTTGGAGTCCAGAAGCTTGAAAACAAGATCTTCCAAGACGGCGGTGAAGAGTTTCGGGGATATGATATCACCCTTCTGCAGTTTTTATATTTATTTATTTATTAGGTCTGCCAGTAGATGTTACATTAAATCAATATTACATGAAACATGAATAAATGTTACAACTAAATGTACATCTAATTAAGAGGCAAACACAGCATGCTTAAAAATTAAAACAAAAAAATTAATAAAAGTTAAACGAAAGTGTGAACAAAATATCGTTAGACTTACTTATTACTAAATAAATTAAAAATATTAAAAAAAATCAGATTGTAATTTTATAAGGCAAGACAAAAAAGAGTAAAATCTATGAAGAAATTTAAGTCATGTGGTATATGGTATTGTTATAAATGACAAATGTTAGGTTACATACAACATCAAACAGAATACAAATGACTTATACAAATAAAAATTACTTAAATCTTAGCATTAAAATAAATTTTAAGAGCTTCTTATTTTAAGATATTCATTTATTTTACTCCGAAATACTTTTAATGAGTCAAAATGAATATCAACGGTTGTGGTGCATTCATTAATTAAATTAGACAGGCGAGACACTGGTGAGTTTTTTCCCAGAACTGTGCGTTTAATTTGCGGAGCTAAGAGAGCGATAGCTTTGCGGGGATACTTGCGAGGTATACGGTAGTTAAAAAGAGCAAGGAGTTGTGGACAGTCAATATGGTTACGAAATACCTTATATGCAAACAATGCGCTATTGATTCCATATTTAAATGTGCTAGTTGATCTTGGTATGACATGGTTTTGTAGGGTATACCCTCAGAGTAACATAGATGCCTTACGAACCTTTTCTGTATACGTTCAATTAGAAGGCTATGAGTAGCGTAGTGTGGGCGCCACACTACACTACAATATTCCAATAAACTACGAACCAAACTATAGTATAAAATCTTTTTCGTTTTAATATCAATAAATTTCTTAGCATTTCTGATGACAAATCCTAGCATCCTAGAACTTTTTTTCATTAAATTATCGATATGGGGTATAAACGTCAACTTATGTTCTATAATTATACCTAGGTCCTTGACACAATTTGTTTGTTTTAAGTTCTCATTTTCTATAAGGTAACACGACATAATTGGATTTAATTTGCGTGTAAAAGTTATAAAATAACATTTGTTAGTATTAAGTCGCATTTTATTTTTAATGCACCAGTTTTTCAATGCATTTAAATCATTCTGTAATAAATAGACATCTTTTTGTGATTCAATTACTCTTAAAAACTTTAAATCATCGGCAAACATAAAAGGCGTGGAGTGTTTAGGCTAGGCAGTTGGATAGGTTTTGTACTACTGAACTGTACTTGGACGGACATCATAGCCTTGTTATACAAACACCTCAGCACCTCGATATACCGACATACAATTTGGCACCGCTGAAGGGCCTGGAATACCGCCCAAATTCCGACAGAATCGACTTTCGGGGCTTTCTCATAGTCCAAATACGCTAGGCACAAAGGCAGATTATACTCTTAGGTATTCTGTATAATCTACCACAGAGAGTGTATGTGGTCTATGGTACTGAAGCTTTTTCGAAATCTGGCTTGTTCGGGAGGCTGGAAGTCGTCGCGTCTGGAAGCGAGACGATTCTAGAGGACTCTTGAAAACAGCACATAGACATGACTCAGAAGGGTTCTTGGTCTATCGTTGAAACCTTTCTTGAAGAACAGCATCACTACACTTCTGCTCCACGTCTCCGGTGTAGCACCAACCTGAAGGACGGAATTAAAGAGCCTCTGAAGGACCACAAGTACCAGTTCTCCACCCGCTTTCAGAAGCTCTGCTATACTGTAATTCCATCCCGGCCCGATACTTTGCCACTCTTAAGATGGTCAAGAGCCATTCTAATTTTGCTCAGCCTGATGTCCGGGATATTTGCGGAATAGTGTCGTACAAGCTTTGCAATTGGGTCGTTACTCACACATGTGTGTGGCTCATACGATGACGTGTACAACTGTCCAAAGAACTTCTTAAACTGACTCAAAACCTTTGTTTTACTGGAAATGATAACCCCGCTGTCATTCTTCTACTTAATCAGTTGGCTTTGTCCGATAGATAGATACTTGGCGAAGACTTTTACGCCTAGGTTCCGCTCTATAGCTCCTTCAATACGAGCTGTATTGAAGTAAGGTAAGGCCTATTAAGCCTATTAAGCCGCTTGTTGCCTGACATGTCAGTTAAAGACTGCAGCCGCATCTCTTGTTTTTTTCCCAACATTATCGTGTCCTCCCTCTGTCTTCGGACTTCAGATAATCCTATTATATTCAAACGCAGCAGGCTCTAAAATGAAATTTGAAAAGTCATTTGACAGCTGATTAGGTGACTTCTACGATAATCAGTGTTTAAGAAACCGGGCGTCAGTATTACAAAGTTAAGTAGACACACTAAGAAATTTCTTGAAACTGAAACAGAGTATCTGCGCCTATACGCGAGGTTGGTTATGATTGGATTGATTTAAAAATATCAGAATCACGTTTTGATCTCTTCACACACCTCTTTGTAGAAATCTGAATAGCTTAATAGGATCTGATAGCATCAGCTCAAATATGACAGCGACACGTAACCAGACGTGCGTCAATATGCTGGGCGTTCCCAGTGTTAATTAATGCACCTTTTCTAATCTATCTACCTTCCTTCTTTACGCTTTGAGAATGAAAATTTAGAGAGACCATTAATTTACAAAGTTCTTTCACTCAATATTAAATGAATGAATCCCCATGAGAGATAATTATGTGATATGTTTAAATATTTTAGAAGAAAGTTTCCAAAACTATTAAAAATTTAAAGGATAAAGATTGATTTGTGTGGCAAGAGTTAGGCAGTAAGTCCCAATGACCATTGCGATTGCGACTCCATTGCTAAAGGACGTACATAATGCCGTTATTTCGGAATACAAAATATTATGATTATTGCCACCCTAAAAAAAAAAACTATATCCTTTATTCTGTCTGTATATGTATTCTGTACACTTATAGTAGCAACACATTTTACGACCCAACAGCCATCTGTCATATTTTTAGGGTTGGTATTGGGTGATATTATTTCATTTCTAACTAAAGGTTTTTATCAGTAAAATGGCCAAGAAAACATACGACTTACTTTTCAAATTGCTGCTGATCGGCGATTCTGGCGTTGGCAAAACTTGCATATTGTTCAGATTTTCAGACAACCACTTTACAACTACTTTCATATCCACAATCGGTAAGAAATTATGATCCATCTTTGTGAATTGTATGTGCATTCATTCCCTTTTACGTCCAGACAAAGATACATTAATTAAGCCATAACTTTAACAAATGTACTACCTTTTTCCAAATTATTCATTACCTGCCCATTAGACTATCTGAAACTTCTTATTGTCATTCATCGTTTGGTTTCTAATTTATTGTTTTAGAGGGCGAGTGTGTAAATTCTTTGTGCGACTATATATCAGTATTTTCGGTCTGAATGTAATGTGGTATTTTTTACTTTAGGCATAGATTTTAAAATTAAAACAGTAGAGCTTCGTGGTAAAAAAATAAAACTACAAATCTGGGATACTGCTGGACAGGAGCGTTTCCATACAATCACCACATCATACTACCGTGGCGCCATGGGGATTATGCTTGTTTACGATATAACTAATGAAAAAACATTTGATGACATTGTGAAGTGGTTAAGAAATATAGACGAGGTTAGTATGAAAAATACAGAAATAATCTAGATTGAGAAGTTAGATGCTTACAGAATATTGTCAGTTATATTAAAATAAAATCAGACTTATGTTGAATATATTAGAATCACAAAATTACAGCAAGTCAAAGTTTCAAATGTGTTAACTACAGTGGAATTGCCAGACACAGAATTTATGTTTTAAGCAAATCATGTAATACAGACATGAAAAATTAATTAAATAAATATGTAAAAGCAGATTGTAGACAAAATATTAAGAAGTTGAACTAAAATTAGGCCAAAGCTAAAGTCAGTAAGATATTGTCAAAGTGTATTTAATTATGTGTATTTAAAGTGATTTTATTAATAATATAATTTCTGTATATTAACATATTTATGAGTAAAGTTTTGAATATTACAAATTATGGAATATTTACAATCTTTATTGATCTAATATTTACAAGATTAAATCTATCTAAAATTACATATTATCTAATAAACCTAATCCACGCGGCATGGTGCCAAGAACACTAGCTGCATTTCCTCGCTGAATAGTTAAGCTTAACCTTTGAGCGAGAAAAGAACCAGCTCTCTTGTCACCAGCCGCGGCGTTAAGCCTAGGACATAAACTTTTAAAAAATTTTGATGTGCGGGGACCCCACTGACCTAATGTTTCAACAGCAAATGGCACAAATACATAATCTAAACCTAAAGACTCATATTTGCGCCATCGCATCGGAGGCAGCTGAAGTAAGTAAATACTTACTTCAGCTGCCTCCGATGCCGCCCCAGCCCTGACCGAAGTACCCCTTAGATGAGAGGCAGCCAAAGTGTCGACACAAGTGGCATCCCAAACAAGGGCTTTGCCTCTCTCCCAAGGGATCAATGTTAAACCGTCGGGTCTCTTACCATCGTCGCGAAAAATGCCACAGGGCTCTAAAATAGATGGAACATTGATGGAAACAAGAGCCCTACGGACGTCGTTCAGGGAACCGTGGCGGGAAAAAGGCCAGCACTTTTTTGACAAGAAAGCCCATGGAGACCAAATTTGTCTACACTGACACCACAAGGGCATTGGTGTGGTTGACAATAGTTAATTGATGATCATCAGTCTTATTGCATAAGTTAATAGTATTTTAACATTCAAAGTCTGTTGAACATTGTTTTTTGAGCTCCGTAACATTGTTGTAATATATAAAAACAGAAGGAAAAATGATTCATTACAACATTTTCAATAAACATAATAATTATAGTCTTAAACTTTTTAATATAATTTAAGATAAATTATATTTCAACTGCTTCTCTTCTCATTTTAAGAGTACTCATGATCATTTTGTTTCCAAAGGGTTAATGTTTTAAAAAAATATTTTTCAGCATGCAAATGAAGATGTCGAGAAAATGATATTAGGTAACAAATGTGACATGGAAGAAAAGCGTGTAGTCAGCAAAGAACGCGGAGAAGCTGTAAGTTATAAAGCCTCTTTTGATATAAGTAGTCATGTTCCATTTCATATTCAACAATATCCATTTAAGTCGCTTTTAGGGATACTCTAAACCTGTGAAGTTTAAGATTTTTAATGCTATTTAAAGTCCATGTGATACTTTAGGGTATCATAATAGACAAGCATTGAAATGGAGAGGTTAAGGATGGTTTGTAACAAAATCAACAAATTTATTCATGCACTGTATAAACTAAACAAAGTAGCAACAAGGCAAACTGCAATTACAGCATACTTTTTATATGTGGAATCAGTACGCAGATATGGCTTAGTGCTTTGGGGTAATAGTACGAAGGTTAATAAAGTGTTTATAATGCAAAAAAAAATGCTTTCCACCACACACATAATGTAAAACCCTTTTTTGATCACTAGGCATTCTCCCTCTACAAACATGGTAATTTATTATGAGAATTATTTATATAACAAGCTAGCAACCAGTGAGTGAAAGTAATCTAAAATACACATTTTATTCAGTTAGGGAATTTCTAGATCGTAACATAGAAAATAAGTATTGACATGTTAAAGTTTACATTATCAAATCTTATTAATTTAATTTATAATAATTGTTGGTGGTTATTGCTCAACATCAGGTGAACCGCCAGCTCGTTTACCATTTTTTCACATAAAAAAAATTAAGGGCAAGAGAGAGAGGTGCAAGCACACTTTTTTTTGTCTCTTTCTCTCATAGCCAGTTATGTTTCGTATATGTAAGACACAGTGCAGGCCTATTGTTTGTATCACAATATAGTATATTGGAGCAAGAGTGTGCCATCTGTGCCATTCTTGCCAGCGACGTGTTCCACGTATCGCTCGCGTGGTCTGCGTTGATTGGAATCGTTGGGTGACCCTGTCAGATCGCGCGCGAGCACGGCATCCGCTTCATGGAGACGTCGGCCAAGTCGAACATCAACATCGAGCGCGCCTTCTCGGAGCTGGCCGAGGCCATCCTGGACAAGACGGCGGGCCGCGAGGCGGACGCGGACGCGGCGCGCATCGCCGTCGAGCGCCGCCCCTCGCGCGCCCCGCCCGCGCGCGCCTGCTGCTCCTAACTGCTCCTCACTGCTCCTCGCTGCTCCCAACTATGGCTAAATGTGAATGGTCTTTGGTGGAAAATAAAATCAACCCATTATTCTGTTGCTTTTCAAGCAACTTTCAATGTCACAATGAGAGTTATTTTATGATTTTCTTTTTTCTTCATTTTATGTTATATAACACATAATGATTATGTGTTATATAACATAAAATGTGTTACATGCTACATCATCAGAGAATCATCATCATATATTTATATACATATAATAGACATTGTCTAAGCAGCCACAATGTACAGACAGTCTCGCGTTGCAGCACGATAACACTCCAGCCAAGTTAATGTGCTCTCCGTTCGGGAATTGTTCACAGTGCAATCTCTTTCTAATCAATATGCTTATAGAATAATATCGCAGTAGTACTGAGGCTGTCATATGATTTCATAGTTCATACGATACGTAGACGGCGACCGCTATTTTGCTCTTATATTAAAATTAAGCATTATTTGTATAGAGTTGGAAATGTGTAATTGTATTGTATATACGTTCGTATCATGTCCGAGGCCCATATGTGGGCAGCTCGTGGAACGGATCTCACAAGGACCTTTTTGATAAGCGCCCCCAAAAAGATGCAAGTGCCGCTTAACGATGTCGGAGCAAGTTTTTGGGCGATCGCGTCAATCCGAGGGGATGTTCCTCAACACGCACTTGGGAGTTGAATCGACGCCTTTGGCAGCCATCGTCCAGCACAGCTTTGTATCTTCCGATACGGGCCCTTTATTGTTTTCTGCAAGCAGCCATCTGCGATCGGTCGCTCACGTACCATAATCGATTGCTTAAGCATAGGTATCACTATGATGCAACTTGTTACGGACGTTTCCAATTAAGCGGACGACTATTTTATTGTACGGTGTATGTGTCTCGTCGGTTTTTACCTGCTTTTATAAATAAACATCGGCATTGTATATTATGTTCATAATAAACGATTTATCGTCAACCGTTGTTTAATTTAATTGTTCCTCCTTTTCATACATCACGTCAAATAGTGATTTTTTTTAGATAAATGAACAAAAACTTTCGGCACTACGGGAATCGAACCTGCGTCTTCCAGTTTAATCTTCCAGAAAATCTAGACATCTATCAATTGTTGCCAATTCTTGGCGCCATCTTGAGTACAGAGATTGGACTAAAAATAAAAAAATTAAGGTTAAGAGCCGTACTTTTTAAATTATTTATAGAAACATATAAACATTGCTGACCATTTACGACTGAGGTCATTTACTACGATTTTGGCATACCTATGAGTAATAACGCAATAACGCAGTATTTATTGTATTTAACACAGTTTGGAAATTCTTGTGGAATTGAGGTCAGTTATTAAATAAACCTTTCATTTAATTTAAATTTTCATCATGTTTCTTCTGGTTTTCTCCTATGTATGTAGAACTTTCTGTTAAACCTAATGTGATATATTGCATTAATTTGTTAGTTATTTTTGTGAATTGACTCCGTGGCGCAGTTGCCAAGGTATTGGCCTCGGCGTCGGGGGTCGTGGGTTCTGATACCCACACGGGACAACTATTTGTGTGACCGCGTTTGTCCGCGTGAAATTTATCTTATCGTTTAAACGAGCAATTCTTGTATATATATATATATATATATATATATATATATATATATATATATATATATCCGTCCTCCGGGTACTGTTTGTAAAACGTCCTTACAACAGGATAATGCTATCCTAAAGTAAAGGCAATGTTTAAAAAAATGGTTTCAAATCCAAGTCGTGTACACCTCAAAATGAATTTAATGCGGGAAAATTTTAGGTTCATGATATATTACGACTTTCGTCATGATCTTAACAACAAAGCTATGATAGATTTCGATTGCCATTTAATGAGTTGAGGCGTGGGCAGTGATGATCCGCGAACTCACCACGCACGTCCTTTAACAGCGACATCTGATGATCTTGTATCTTGTATTAACTGATGTTTTTGCTTTCAGTCCCGAGACTATTAAAGCTTCATCGGACGCAGAACCGGTGGGCTAGCCAGAACCCACGGGTTTGGACCCTCCACTATGGGTAGGGTGGCATCTGAAGATAACATCAGTGCTGTGCGACGCATGATAAGGGGAAGCTTAGGCATTGGTATAAGTCAAGTACAACAAAAATTCTGCGCCTTCTGGGTAACGTGCCAAGACGCTCAAGCCAGCTGAGCGAAGCGCTCGATATCTTAATATGTCGTAATGGATATCCCCTATTAGAAAGTGTAGCATACTACAATTTATGTAATAAACTCGAATTTAAATTTAAATCTTAAGTGCAGACTAGCGCTAAAAATAAAAAATAAATCAAATCCCATTAACAATCATTAAATCAAATGATTCACTATTTCAGTTATTTTCTTTTATTTGATTTATCATGAATACTAAACATAAATGAGTATATTTTTCCCTGATTTTGATGTGCTTGGATAACTGGGATGTAGGTTACGTTCTCCTATGCTGATTAAGCGAGTAGCTGATGTGAAGCACCGTGAGTTAAAGAAATTTGAGTGTGAGTGAGTTCACTATGTATATAGTAGTATATTTTTCTTCATCATTATATATTTATACCTTTTTTTATACAGCGTGTCGTTACCATCGCGACAATAAATGAACACACGTCTAACGCTACTTGCCAATAATCATAAAAAAATATTAACGTTAAAAATACCGTAATTAAAAAAAATATTTTTCAAACAAACTAATTAAAAAAAGAAACAAAATTTGTAACACCTATACAACTACAACTGACTGATTCATACATTCAGAGACTTTTTCATTCGTTGCCACAGCGTCGCATTACAAGCCTCTCCTTCTAACAGTACGTTTTGTCTCTTTTAAATTCATTCAAAATTTGCAACCTTTACAAATGAACTTTACGTTACAGTTTTATGCGTAAGGATGTTCTAAAATTCTTTGTTTTGAAAAATTTTATAACTATGTAAATATTGATGTTTAAAGACTGTAAATGTTTAATACAATTTTAAAAAGTTATCCTCTATATGTGTGTTCATTTATTGTCGCGATTGTAAAGACACGCTGTATTTATATTTGATAATTTTTTTTATTTGTGATAAAACTAACCCTTAACTACTTGTAACTCGTTATTCTCTACGAAGAATAATTATTGTATTATGTATGCACGTCTAAACACAAAACCAGCCCCGTTGTTTCGTCGGCAGCGCAGTGACCTCGCCACTATCGAGGGTCAGGGGGCAAGAAGCCGCGCCTCGTACTATCAGTCAGCAAACAGTCGGCCCCATATACGTTTGTCTGACAATATGCTGCGTCTTCTCGTGTTGTTTTCCTGCGTTGTTTCAGGTGTTTTATCAGAACGTAAGTTTGATGAATTTTTCTCTACGATATCCTGAATATTATTAATTTGAACCAAGTGACTTAGTCTTTTAAATGTTAAATCTGAGCGTTCCAGTTATATTGCGTATGTATATATGTTAAGATGCCTCTTATTACCGTCCCCCAAATATATTTCAGCCTTAAGTAAAGTTTTTCAGAAAACAATGCTGGAACAAATTTGATAAATACATAGAATAATTAACCTATAGTTTACATAGAATACATCGAGGATAATGATGTGTCCAAATGACTTGCTCTACACTTGCAACTCCTCTGGCTGCTGCTTATTCTATACCTAACAAATTTGGTATGTCATTGAAAAAAAAAAAGAAAACAAAACCCCAATTTCTTGCCGACCCGTCTTTGGACAGACCTAATTTAGTGACCCGCTGGTATTTTTTTGAGGATCAATAAGAGCTTAAAGCAAGTCGATATTGAACAAAAAAAAGGTTCTAAGAACGAGTCGCAGCCCTTAAGCGTGGAGCTGTCGGTTCCAGCGTCTGGGGCGGAGGAGGCATGCGTCATCGAGCTGGAGTGCGCGGAGTGCGTGCCCGACCACATGCCGCTGGTGACGTCACACCGTGCGTCCGCCGGCGCCGTGCGCGTGGCGCCTGGCGATGAAGTGGCGCTGGCGTGCCACGGCGGCGCCTTCCTCAACTACCCGCAGCGCGCGCTGCTCACCGCCGTGTGCGAGGCGGGCCGCTTCCGCGTGCGCCACGACCACGCGCTGCGGCACCTGCTCGAGCTCGGCTGCCAGGAGAGCATCTTCGAGGACGTGCTGCACCAGGTACCCGTTCCCAGAATGATCGATCTCTCTGTTCACCTGATGTTGTGGTTACTACTTTCACATAGGAATAGTAAACATTTCTATGAGTAAATCCCACGATTTGGTGACCGCCATGCAGGTGGAGGAGTGCGCGCCGCCGCTGCAGGGGCGCGCCTACCAGCTGGCGGAGGCGCGCGGGCCGCTGCACCTGGCCGCGCTCTGCTTCGACCCGGACCGCGGCGTGGCGGCGCGGGCGCTGGCCACCAACGCGCCCGCCAACGCCCTCCCCCTGCCGGCCCACGCCGAGCACGGCGCGCCGCGCTCCCTGCTCGGCAACTTCAACCAGATGTTCGACGCGAGCACCCGCGCCCAGGCGCGGGCGCTCTATTCGGACGACGCGCGCATGAACCGGCGCCTGCGCCAGATCCTCAAGCACGAGCGCTTCTCGTTCGCGGAGCAGACGCTCACCTCGGCGCGCCTCCTCAGCCCGCTCTACTACGAGGACCAGAACATGCGCGTCGCCGACTTCGTCTCCAACCGGGTGGCCGCGTGGCGCAGCGTCGCCGCCGGCAACCTGGCCCACCTGCAGCGCGACGTGGCCGAGCTCATGAAGGCGGCTCGGCCCCGCACGGCCATAGACGTGTACGCGGGCACGCACGACGTGCTCGCCCTGCGGACGGGCCACGCCAAGAGCGAGATATTCCTGAAGCCGGGCAGGTTCCCCGTGCCCAAGTACATATGGACGGTGGTGCACGACAGGAAGCACGCCAAGGCGCTGGCCCTCGTGGTGCTCAACGACCCGTTCGTGTCCGTGAGCGAGATCAGGGCGAGCGTGTTCTGCGAGAGCGCGTGCGGCCGCGTGTCGTGGCTGCACGAGCTGCGCCGCCACCGCCACTACGAGAGCCCCCTCTACGGGCTCGCGTTCTGCTGCGCCGTGCGCGACTTCGGCGCCGTGGTCAAGGAGATGCCCCGCCACATCGTGCGCGCCGTGCCCGACGCCGACGGCGGCATGCTCACCGACATCGGCCTCGGCCCCGACTAGTGCACCTTATCCACAGTCATGGCTTTCTATGGGACTGACCGTGCTAGAAAAATAACTACTATCCCATTGTTCGAAACCACAAATAATCACTAAAAATATATTATATTCAATAGGATATCTTATTATCTGGAACATCCATCTTCGTCATACGTGTACAACTCTCCGAAGAATCACAACTAGCTTTACTATATAGCAAACGACTTAATATCCTAGTCATAAAACAGAAATATAGTCTTCAAAGCAAGTGTATAGGCTTTTACCGAGCTCGAGCTTTACATTTACTATGTACGGCTACGGCTATATCGCTAGCAGGTTGCCGTCGGATGGTACAAAAGCCAAATACTAACCATATTTGACTAATATTAAATCAATACTCATATAAAACACTTTTTTTTAATAGATCATAGATGACCTGGTATTAGACGATGTTATTGGTATTTCAAAGCAGTTAACACTTACTTGCAACGACTAGTATATTCACCCACAAGCCGAATAAAAAGTAGTCTTCAGGGTTCCTGACCCAATTTTAGAGCAATTTAGCCGAAGCGATGGCGGGAAGACTAGTGTTGACGTGATTATCTTTTGTCAAAATCCTCCAAGTTTGTCAAGTTGGCACAAACATAAGTAAATAAGCTTAGCACACTTTCTATATTTTAATTTGATTAAAAGTGAAATCGCATTGAAAGAAAAGATGTAAACTCCTGCGTAAGCATACAGGCTGGCTTTTCTAAGTGTATCCATTTTTTTTATTAATTTCTAGACAAATAATGTTATATAAAAAATGATGAATATTCAAAATCACTCGTAAGTAATTAATTACATTCATTTGAACTTATCTCAAAAAGTGCGTGATTTATACGCAACTTCATAACTATCACGGACACAAGTTCGCGCACAGTAAAATTTAGGTATTTATGAATGACTACCGCATTATCAACACGTTCTGTTTTTTAGGGAATAGAATGGCATTTTTTTGAAAAAAAGAACTTTTTTTTTTTTATTTCAATAAACGACTATACTACCGAGTCTGCACCTCCTGTGTAAATTTGGGCACTTCTCAAAAAATCTCCCTGTATAGTTAAATTAGTTATTTTGCACTATAAGCTTTGCAACCGTAACGATCTTTGACATTTAATGGTTTACGATTTAAGCTATTTTAATGCTAGTCCTTAGTGCATTCATGATTAAATTTTAAGTGATTTTTTTAGAATTATTGTCGACGCTGTGCCATTTGAACTGGGCCAGGAGCCTGACGCGGGACATCCGCTAAAAGTTCACATTCTAAATATTCAATGACCCTTAATGCATGTTTAATGATGAATATTAGGTTAGTACTATAACTTAAATAAATATCATCATTTTAACAATATTCGACAACAAAACATATCTCAATATTTGTAAGTTGTCTTGAAGTTAGTCAGTATTTAATTATAATTTACGCAGTCGTAATGAAACAATGCATGATTTGTAGTATTTATTAAAAAATATAACTTGTTTTTAATTATTTAATCTTTCTCTGCGATGGCGGTCAGGTGTCGGTCGATTTCGCTCTCGGTCAGCACACTGCCAAAAAAAAAAAGTTTTTTTAACACAATCTCGAATTCAGAGATAATTATAAACCTAGAGCTATATCTGGTAAAATATAAAATTATATAACAAATAATTTTATATTTTACAGATATGCTATAAATCGGCAATAAAAATTTTTGCTGTTATTGTAGCTTTATCAGTGGATTTATATGCATGATTATAAATGTGAGGTTTTTTATAGATAAATTGTGGTTATTTTTAGTGCTTCCGGGATTCGAACCTATGGCTTTGACACACTAGCATATTGTACTTAGCGCCCGATGTCTACTTTAATTTTTTGTATTTGTAGCAATGCTTTGCTTACTTTATAGTTTGCTGACACTCTAATAAAATTTTACGTTTAACAATTTAAAGTAAATAATTTTATTATAGCCTTATGTTATACAAGATAACTCAATGTTCGGTACCAGCATCAGTGAAACATAGTGTGGAAACTCTTGGAAAGAATAACAATAATTAAAAATATATTTAACACTGGGTGAAGTGTGTCCATCCAAATAAATATATTATCCACAGACCAGCAGATATCATAGAACATATAACATAGGCAATTGTGGCTAAGCGATGTGCAGTGAGAAATATAGTATTGCGGGGGCGGGAGTCAGAGGCTATCCTTCTCAGTAATTCTATAAGTAATGTATATTGTACACTTTAGCATGCCTCTATTAAATACAGAAATACTCCAACTTGTTATTTTGGGTGATTATTATTTTTCTGCTAAACATTTTGTAACAGTTTTGTTCATAACTTTTAAACATTATTTTAATTAATTGCCAACATTATAACATAATAATCAGGGATTTTAATTATAAAATAATCTTTTTGCACAATAGGACTTAGCCCATTAAGTGTTCTCTTTCAGTCAAACGACAAGTAAATAGAGAAAATAAAGAGTAGTGAGCAAGAGCCAAATGAGAAATAGAGAAAACTAATATGATTTTATATATTTTGAGTATGTGTAATAACGAGAGCGTACCGGAATCGCGGGTCGTCCTTGGTGACGATGCCGATCTCGATGTCGGAGGGCTTGAAGTCGACGGCCAGCACCTGCGCCAGGCACGCCACCGCCAGCTGCACCGCCTCGTCCGTGCCCAGCGCCGACCGCTTCTTCAGCTGCAAGCGGAACGGCCATTGAGCCACGCCATTGATACGTCTGCACGAAGGGAGACGGAGCATCGCTCACCTTCTTCTCGAGGTAGGCGTTGGCGTCGGTGGCCTTGGCGCCGGCCGCCACGGCCTTGTACGAGCAGTAGTAGCCCGACGGGTCCGTCTTGTACACGGCCGGCCCGCTCTCGGGGTCGTACGCTATCAGCATCATGCCTGAAATGGACAAAATACGTTATTTCTATCGCACTTCTCCTCAATAATTCTCCTCAATTTCTTATTGTTTTATTTAATAAGATAGCAAACATATATACACAATAAAATATATGCAGTAACTTGCAAATCACATGAAATAAACATGCTATAATGAAAAAGAAATTGCTATAATGAAATTTTTGAATTTTTTTTTTAATATGAAAATGTTCAAAGAGTAATAAATCTAATAATAAAATATGTAGTAATAATTAAACAGAATACAATTATTTAGCTGTAAATAAAACATATACTGTAGTCACATAATAGATATGAAATATTGACTTACTGCATCCAAGTGGTCGCATTTCAGCATTTTGCGTGTAAACCTGAGAAATGTCTGCGATGCGGCGACACAGCACGTGCACGGGAATCTCACAACCGTACTTGTACTGCCAGTTGGCTGCTTCGTAACGCGCGCGTTGCACCTGAGACTTGCTATCCGCTTAAGAAATTAATGCATTTTGAAAATATGCAACGCCATTTACAATGCTTTCATTATTTATATATATTATAATTACGAAAATGGATGCATTTATAATTTTTTTGTCTTTGTTAAAAGATATATATTTGTGTTTCTAGCCCACAGCCAAGGAGAAAACATTGAGCACAGATCTTATCGACACAAGCTTCATCGACCCTGCTCAGTGCCATGTATTAATAAAACATGCAGTTTGTCTGCTATGGGCCACTGGCGTCGACATTTGGACCATGAGATCATTAGAGATGTTTGTTTATCTTAATTTTCTATTCTGGCTTGCTCGGATGCTTGGGTTGTTATTCTTTTGATTAAAGTCTAGGGAGGCCATGTGAAAAGTATATAACATGTCACTTGTGTTGAGGGTGACATGTGGGTGAAGTGATATGATATGGATATAGTATTTAAGAATTTAATGTCTTTTATAAAGGAAAACAAAATGTTTTGTTATTTAAAAAAACTATTTCATAAACTTGTTGTTTCTTTCATTATAAAAACTATTAAGTTATTGTTTTGTTTTGCTGGAACATGCTCAAGTAGCCAATTAATTTTACATACCAATCATGCCAGTCATGACACAGCCAATATTGTTGGTGAGGGAGAATAGATGTGTTACAGATGAAGGATCCAAGAGGCGATCGGGCACCTTACGCTGTGCAGCCACGACTGACGCTTCTGTACCACGCAGGGCCACAGATGTCAGTCCACCTTGATTGATTGCCTTTAGTGCATATTCTGCAAATATATAAATGTAATTGATGTTTTGTATTCTGATTTACACCATAAGCACCAAAGAGTACCTGTATAGCTGTGCCTAATATACAGCATGTCGTTCGAACCGTGACAATAAATGAACACACATATAGAGGATAACTTTTCAAAATTGTATTAAACATTTACATTCTTTAAACAACAATAATAAATAAATAATTTTTTACACAACATTCTCTAGTCCCAAACTAAGCAAACTCTTATACTATGGGTACTAGAAAACTGATAAACTTAAACATACTTTTCTTTTGTAAATAAATACATATCATACAGGGTAAAGACATAAAACACCCAGACACTGGAAAAACACGATGTTCATCACACAATATTTTTCCAGTAGTGGGGATCGAACCCTCACCCTCTGGCACAGGATGCAGTATCACTACTCCCCATGCCAATCGGGTCAATGTTTACACAGTTATTAAAATTTTCCAAAACAAACAATTTTAGACCACCCTTGCATATCAAACTGTATTCTGTTTAATTCATTCAACCCATGGGCTGAATGAATTTAAAAGAGATAAAACATACTGTTAGAAGGAAAGATTTGTAATGTGACTATGGCAACTAATGAAAAAGTCTCTGTATGTAGTTGTCAGTCAGTTGTAGTTGTACAGGATGTTACAAATTATGTTTCTTTTTTATTTAATTAGTTAGTTTGAAAAATATTATTTTATTATGGATTTTTTTAACGTTTATATTTTTTTATGATTATTGGCAAGTAGCATTAGACATGTGTTCATTTATTGTTGTGATAACGACACTCTGTATATTAGTTTTGTGCAGCAGTGGAACATATGTAAAATTTGTAATCTACATTAATACTTTACAATTTTAATATTGTTTTTATATAGATCTTTTTGTAGCAATAACTTAAGGCTAATGGTTTTTCTGTCCTTTGCTGCTCCCTTAGGTAAGTCCTGTGGTCTCATAGAAGATCACAGTATAAGATAGAAGAACATACATGTCCATGGGCGGAAATAATCACTTAAGCCCAGGTGTAAAAGGTGCTTCCTTTTTCAAGTGAAAAAGATATTAACAAAAAAGGGATGATGAAGCATCAAATTAATGACCGTGGTGCAATTATTAAGGTATTTGTTTCGGCACCTTGGGTAGTATATTTGGTTCCAACACAATTTGTGTGACCCACAGATTGTTTTGGATCTGGGTTGCTTGTCCACATGAAATTTATGTATGTAAAAATCCTTACAACACGGGATATATTATAATACAGTTTGCCTTACATTGCCACCTAGCAATGTCATCAATGGGGGAAATATATCTTATTGATAGAGTTGCAATGATCCTTGAGATTTACTATCCAAGCCATTCCATACAAAATACAATATAATCAAATTAATTAATAGCATCAAAAGAAATAAAAACCAATAAACAGAGCAATTCAGTGTAAAAAACAGAACTTGAAGCTATAATAATTCTTTAATCCCATTGAGTATGCGTGAGTATACAAGCCGTGATAGCTCAGTGTCCGGGCGCTCGCCTTTAATTCAATATACTCGAGCAACCTGAGTTCGATCCCCGGTGCCGGCACCAATGAAGTTTTTAACTTTAAGTGCTGACTTATCACGTGCTCCGTGGTGAAGGAAAACATCGTGAGGAAACCTGCATATTTTCGAAATAATAACAAAAAAAAAAAAATATTTCGAAGATATGTGAAGTCCGCCAATCCGCAGTGGGGCCGCGTGGTGGACTATGCCCTGATACCATCTGTATAGAGGAGGCCTTTGCCCAACAGTGGAACATGTATAGGCTGTTACTTTTTTACTTTATTGAGTATGCAGTAACTTTTGTAATAATTTTAGAAATGTACTTGCACTTTTTAAGGTATATGAACAAGAATGTCGGTTTTTATTCAATACAAATTGAATCAAAGCAAAGATTGAACAGAAGTATTTACAGCATAAAATATATAAAAAGATGAAATTTTATGGATGGAAAAAGTTAGGCTTAAGTTATGATGTTTTTCATTTATTAATGAATTGCAAGCTCGTGACTACTAAGATGTGGACAATAAACTTAAAAATGACTTATAGCTACATCATGCAGGTAATGAACAGGTGATCGACAACACTTGTTTTACTTACCAACTTGATATAATCTTCCCTCAGGAGAAAATATTGTAATGTGTCTATCAAATCCAGCGCTACTTTCGCGAGCCATTATTATTTCTGTTACAATCTAATTAACAAAAAAGTGAATTATTGAATCTAAGCACAATTGACAGCCGCTTCTGCTTGTCATGAAAACGTTCCGATTTTTAAAACTCATCACCCTATTGTTCACGGCTTGAACAGAAAATATAAAATGTGAGTTGATAACATCTTTCACAATTATTAATATAATTAATTTTTGTTTCATTATTATAAAGTATTAATTAAATAACGATAGTGTTTTCGATATTTCTTAAATTTATTCACTTCTAAAAAGAGACACGGACCGAAATCAAATAATTTTTGCAATATAAATCTTTTAAACTACTTTATATCTTTAAAAATGATAGAAAGAATAGGTTTTCAATATCATTTACAAGCAAACTATTTTATTAAGTTTGGAATATTATATTATGACTATTTCTTTTCATAGATGTGGTAACTCTGACTTTTTATTTTTTCGTAATCGTAATCATACCTAATTTTCTGTCAGTTTGCAGTTTGTGTAGAATAGGGAAAGGTTGTATGGGTTTAAAATTTTGTTTAGATTTTAATTTTTAAGTATTTAGCCACTTTTCATCAATTATTTATAATTAAACTGAGACGGTTCTTAGCTGCTGCAGTCACAATTTTAACAAAAAATTTTTAGTTGTGTAGTTTCGTAGAGTTCCAGTTATCACAACAATGACAGAAACCGTTACAAATACAAACGAGAGGAAATCTCTGTTTTCCTCTTTTCTGGAAGTTTTAGAGGCAAGAGAAAAACAGGTACAAGCAGAGAGGCAACTAGAAGAAGAAAAATATCAACGAAGAACTCAAAGGATATACGACTTTCATGGTATGTTATTTTTTACTACACTTTTGTAGAGATTTAATTAAGTTTTAGGTTGCTACAAGCTACTAATTTTTAATGCATTACCTACGTGCGTGAAGAAAAATAAAAAATGTATTATAGTGAATTTTATTATTTCTTTAAATATCAGCACATTGATACAAAGTTTGCAGTATTTAGTATTTTTGTTTTTATCAGTTTAAAAGAAAAAAATTATAAAAATAATTTATTATTAATTATTGTGAGCTTTATGTTAGGGCATGTGTTGGTAAGATATTAAATAAATAAAGTTATAACCAAAACTAAATACCTTGGTAGGTATCCCTTTTTTTAGATGTCTACATTTTTATGATTTAAAAAGGGATTGATTCAAATTTTGTCCAAATTCTGGTCTAAGGCTGGTCTTGCTATCATTTTCTTCTAGGTAATTTAGCTATTTTTTTTTACATAAGTGTATTTGTTTGATTTTAACCGCTGAACATAGAAACCCCACAGGATATCAATACTGAAATGAAGTAACAAAAAAAATGACTAGAAAAAACTTACTGCACTGATTCCCACTAACAGTGCTGACATTTCTTGATCTCTAATTCCTAAATAACTTTTTTTTGGCTTATAACATTCCTTCGTAGTAATATACAAATATTGTTAACAAGAGGCATTAGAGTCTCGGTAGAAAATATAAACTTTCCACGATCAAATGTAAAATGTATACGGCGTCGATTCCTGACGCCGAATACATTACACGTGGACGTAGCTTATGGGTATGATTAAAAATCAAAGAGCATTCGTGGTGGCGAACAGAGAGACAACGCCGCGAGGCGGTGGAGCTTCGACGTTGCCTGGAGTACGTGTCGCAGCACGCGCACGTGCTGGAGACGGTGCTGAGGGGCGGCGGCGGCGGCGAGGGCGCTCCGCTCGGCGCTGCACTGCTGCGGCAGGCGGCAGCGCTGCAGCGCTGCATGGCGCAGTGCGTCGCCAACGCGGCGAGGATCCGACAGCTGCTCACCGCCGCCCACCGCCCGCAGATGGACACCATGCTCGCCAAAATGGTAAGTTTTTCTTTATGAGATAGGGTCGCTAGCCAGCGGGCGGTTCACCTGACGCTAGGTGATAACCGCCGCGTATGGACATATTATGCAACGCTCGTACGGTTGCAGGTGCGTCGCCACATTTGTATAAAGTGGGCTCAGGCTACCTCGCTCGCCAGACGAAACGCAGAAGTGCAACACTTCCGCTTCACGCCGGTCTTCTGTGAGGTCGTGGTACTTAGCCCGACGGACCTGCCCATTCGTGCAACAGTGAAAGCTGTTGCGCGACCTTAGCACAGTTTACCAACCATCACCTTTCTTGTGCAATCCGAAGAGCCTTCTTCGTTGGCATGGATGGGAAACGCCTCAGGCCACTCTCACCCTATTGGTTGAGAAGACTGAGCATCTGCCCATACGATTTTTTATGAGCTTCAAAATACTCTCTGTACAATATTTTCATGCATAACTTCGTTCGATCGATTCGAAATCTAGGTTTACTCAACTAGCACTTTAGTGTTATAGTATTACTGGATGAACCCGTGCGAAAGTTTCTCACACTACCGTGATCACTCAATGAAAGTAATGTAATAGGAAATGTACAAATTACTACTTATCATTGAAATATATTATGTTATTTTGAGGAATAACAGTAAAACTTAGTCATAGAAATCATACATTCTTAATAATAAGTTTTTAAGGGATTTTTATGGAAACAATTTTATTCGTATTTATATTATCGTTAATAGTGGCGTTTGAGTCATTAAATTCTCTACAAACCAAACCACGCCTATTGAAATATGGATGTCAATTTATTTTCAATAACTCTGCAAATCATCCGTGAATGGAGTCGGTGTTCCTTAACGAGGAATTTTGGTTTGCCAAATCTTATCTAATGATTCGGGTGGTCTATTGTCGCTTTCATACTGCCAACTGGCATCAGCTATGTGTTCTTTAATGCGTTTTTTTATAGCTTTTTATATATAACAGTAGTAGTTTTATTCCACAAGGGGTTTGTATTTGAATGGGCATTATTTTCATTTTATTCAGGTAAACTCAAAAACCATTCGCCCTATATTACTATTTATTTTATATATTAATTCCCACTTACCTCTAAATACTTTAAAAGATCTTTATATATCTTAAGGATAAAGATGGAGCTTTTTAAGTATTTATATAAATGTGCCTTGGGACCAATTTACATTAATTCGTACCAAAACGTTACATTACTATAGCTAACGCTGAAATCTACATAAAAAGAACACAAAATATTCATTATATGATAATGAAGCGATAACCGTTTGCCAGACGTCAGGGGAAGCTATCTTGAAATGAATGAATCTCGCTGATTATCTCGGACACCCTTCTCTTAGGAGTTCGCCTATCTTTAACCAGTGATTTACGAATACCCATATCCAAATAAGGGCCATTCGTTTTACAAGTTTTTTTGGACTCCACAAGTTTGAAACATAAACACTCCTCCGCCTTTCACCTCTACCTTTACGCTTAAATGTCACATTTACGTCGGCAACTGTTACATTTAAACTAATTTACGCACGGTTTCTGAAACACTGATCATCGTAGAAGTGAACTAATCGGCTGTCAAATGAATTTTCAAATGTTATTTGAGTTGCCAAAAGTATTGTTAAACTCTCTGAATTAATCAGAATGATCTTCATTATGATCAGAATGCAATCCTTTGACTTCCACGGTAATCAGTGTTTCAGAAACCGGGCGCGAGTAGCCAATTGAATTTTTCATTTAGCATATTCGTCATTAGATGGTAGGGTACCGAAATCTTACATGCTGCACTACACACTTAGTATTGGACAGAATCTCGCGACTTTAACACCATAGGCAGAGACAAATCAATCGAGCCAGTGAGTGAAACCAGCCAGTAATGTACATTAACATTACTACCCAGTAAAGTATGTAAATTGTGTGTAACTTGTATCCACAAGTTACACACAATTTACATACTTTTTTGTACTTAAGAAATGTTAAAAGTGGGACCATGACTAGCGCATGTCTCTGAGTTTCTAATCCAGAACCTCTGACCGCAAACCGATGCCACCAGTTAAAAAGTTCTAGTCTCATAATTGTGGACATTAGTATCGAAATTAATATGCTATTGAACAAGTAAAAGATGGTTGTGGGGCCGATAATTATTTTCTTTTGACATACAGCGACAGTATACCCTTTACATAATGAAACGTTTTTATTATCCCAACATTCCTTTGCAGTTGTACCGACACTCCACAGACAATATGTGTAAAAAGTAAACGTCCCGTTCTTTAGAACTAAGAAGGCGGTACGCGGTACAAGCCGTGTTAACTATTTTTGCCCTAAAATGTCCAAAAAATTCGTATTTCATTTTATCTCTTATTAAATGAAACATCCTTTTTGGTTATAGTTAGATTTAGTTAAAGCTATAATTTATAATCAATAACATCAAATATGCCTCTATTTCTTGTTTAGCTCATATTTATTCGCTACTGAGTATATGCGCCTGGTATAATTAATGAGCAGAATTTTTTCACGGTAATAAATCATGTTTGACGCGTATATTGATATAAATAACACATTGACATAAAGTATGTGGGTCAAAAAAACCCGGATGCATTCTAAGTTATTTGAAATGACAAATATTTAGTTATTGGACATGGATGAGTTCGAAAGTGGTCATCGTATTTTGCTGCTTAATCTCGCTAAGCAATGTCGTTCATTAAAGTTAACTGGTCTCGTCTGATCGTCTGAACCTAATTGATCGAGCGGAACATCCTCACGAGGGCACTTTTCTGAGATCAAGCCGATTAGAGAAATTGTCGCGCGCGTGTGGGTCTGTATTTTTCTGTGTGTGCGTATTTGTGTGCAGAGCGCCACATGTGTAAACAGCACGCGATCTGTGCTTACCTCATTTCACGCTCTCCGTCACACTCGATGCTAAATGTTCCACTAGTCTGTATTTGCTTTGCTTGCCGTTATACATAGAGATCGTGACAACTTAAGGTGTCAGAAAACAGCCTCTTAACTGATATTATGGACAAGTTTCTAATTCTGCGACCAAAACTTAACAGTGAAACAACACTTATCCGCGGCAGCTTTTGACCTAACGGGCTAAACGAAGATAGCAATGCGCGCATTCATGGTGAAGACGATGCTGAGTCTGTGGAGACAGTTCGGAAGTTTAGCAGGCATAAATAACCCGTAAGGAATTTGAACGACGGAAAAGGCAATGGCCTGTTCCATCTGTCCATCACTGTGCCCCGAAAAAAATCTTTTCCGTGTTCTTTTTAGGGTTCCGTACCCAAAGGGTAAAACAGAACCCTATTACTAAGACTTCGCTGTCTGTCCGTCTGTCTGTCTGTCTGTCCGTCTGTCCGTCTGTCACCAGGCTATATCTCATGAACGGTTATTGTTAGACAGTTGAAATTTTCACAGATGATGATTTTTTTGTTGCCGCTATAACAACAAATACTAATAAACCAAAATAAAAAAAATATTTAAGTGGGGCCGATATACAACAGACATGATTTTTTAGCCGTTTTTGTTGATAATGGTACGGAACCATTCGTGCGCGAGTCCAATTCACACTTGGCTGATTTTATTTTCAGTTATTTAGTTCTAATAGGCACTGGTGAAAATTGATTGTGTTTTGTCTAAAATTTTAGTATGTTTCATGGCCGTAAGCATATATTTTATTAACAGAAAGAGTAAAAATCACATTACTAGCGAATGAAACAATATATTCTCCAAAGTTTTATGGGCGTGTTAATTCCACACGGCCTTGTTCTGTAAATAACGCTTCTAATCAATCAGAGGCACCAAGGCAATCGTTTTTAATGTTACGTCTCACTGCGCCTAATTCTATGGAACTTTGATATTTATGAGGAGGCATTGACCCAATGCTTAGCAAAGACAAGTGCACGCAATCCATTACACACGCCCAATACTAGCGATGGAAAGAAAAATAATGCTTTGATCGCTTGCGGTACAGAAACATACCGCGGCGGGTGAACACCGATGTACGTATATATACCTATATCATAATATTTGCTTAGCTTTAAAAATAAACTAATATATCAACTTTGAAATATGATGTTAAAATGTGCGCATTGATAATACATTGATCGAACAGTCGTAAAATGCTTAATGATGGCCCGAATGGGTGGCTTAACATCAAACTCCGCGGATTGAATGCGGGCGGCGGGAAAGATGTGCAAATGCACTGCCCGACATTTATAGGTATTTTATATTTCCTCAAGCAACGGTAGACTGTTTAACGACAGTCGACCACCGCCGTACTTGACATTCGCTGGGACCGTTAACATAAACATTATCTCACGACCATAGGAAGACTGTCCGGGCATAGCACAGGACTCGTGGCTAACGCCATCACCGGATGACGATAGAGCGTCGCTCGGCGCGTTGTGTCACACCCTGGAATAGTGCAATCGTAGTAATGAGTAGTAATGAGGCGCCCCAGGTCATCGGTCACAGCCGCCTCGCGACGACGGCTCACGGAGAACGGCAAACGGAGTTCTATGACTTGTTCCGCTGGTGACAGATCTTGCAGACCATTTAAGATTCCGTGTTCTATACAGGAAAACTTCTTGAAATCCTTATGTCCTATCTCTTCCTGGTAGTGTTGTACGGTCCTCATGATTATTTAGTTTTAAAGTAGCTCATTACTGTAGAGCTATGTAGTATTTATTAAATTCTAAAGTTAAACATAAGCCCGCGTCGTAGACCTAATTAAATCTCGCGTATTTAGGCTTAATAAGCTCTTAAGTTTTAGACGTGATCTATAAGCATTAGCATAATTGACTTTTGATGTGTAAATGTAGACAAATTTCTAGAATTTCGGAGTTTGTGGTAAACGTAACTAATTATCAATTGCCGTTCGCAAACATCGCCCGCGTAATCTACTTGATCGAGGAAGGGGACAGATTATTCCGCAGACAACAATGCATAATCGTTAGTTCGCCTTCGCCTATGATCACTTCGTAACCAACGCATCAGATAACATAATATAATATACACAAAAATTCTAAATAAACTCGCATTCCGCTCCCAGCCAGCGATTAATAATACAGTGGACAGTCATCAGGGTCCGGTCCGCATGCCCACCCTGTTTCAACGACCAGTAGCTCACTCGGCCCTTCCACGAGCTCTGTGGCCGATGAAGCTTTATACAGTCCGTGAACTGAAAGTGCCAAGTATCATGACAAAGACAAAGCGTAGTCTACCTAATGAAAATAATTCGATAGTTTTTGTCGTATCAAAAGTTTAATTATTTAAATTGCTCTTGTATATTGAACTAATTCGTATACGTTCTCTAAATACAAGACTCTGTATTGAAGTAGCGAGTAATAGGTCACGCCTAAATTCGTCGAACGGACCCCAGCGATGGGATCTTAACCGTATTGCCAATTTACACCAACGCATTCGGTCGAGCGCGACTGATGGAGCGAGTTATGACGACGCACGGTATCGTCTCGGTGAGCACGAGAGCGGAAAGCGTTGAGTGAGCGTGGCGCTCTGGGTGCCGTAATGCCGCGCCACGTCCACGATAGTGTTGGACAGCTTGTTAGTACATCGAAACGGGGCTAGGGAAACATCACCGAGTGGCCCACCGATAGTTCCGTCTCAACAACGCTAATGAGCCCGTTAACCCCAAAACGAAGTTAACCTTAAGGGAGGGTAATAATTTTTTACGAGGAATAATTTGCTACACGGTTTGTGAATAGAGTATAGATATGACATCAAAGGTTCGAATTCATTTAGAGGTTGTTCCGGAAATGTATTGCGGTTTCTTTGTTCATCTCGAGTTCCATGAATCATATATTATTGGCTTTTGCGGCCTACGGTCGCCAACCGAGAGGTTGATTACATATATGTTGATCGTAACAACTTTATTAGCAATTGACATAATTTCTATAATGACCCACCTCATGACACGCAATCGCGTAAGCGCTTTATTGCTTAAGTGGTTAAAAGGCCTTTCATGATCTCCGTCGCCAATTTGACCCCACTTAAATTGGCACTTTTGCCCATCTTAAAGCTGGCAATTAGTTTTATTCGATAAGCGGTCTTGCAGAGTCACAATCCCAAAATGAAAAGACTAACCAAAAGGATTAGATGATTTATTACAATTATCAATTTTCTTAGTAATTTCGGAAAAGAGTACTTTTTGAGAGTCATAAACTAAAATTAAAAAAACATATTATGTGTAGTTACTTTTTATACAAGATTTCAAGAGTCATTTTTATACTTCGCGTTTACCCAAATGTTCTGAAAGGGAACAGCATTTATTTCTAACCAATAATGTACACACAGCATAGAATAAAAATAAGGAAAACCTTGACAAAGCATGTAGAAAGGCGGGCTTGAAATCTCGAAATGATAAAACAGTATTATGTATTATTTGGTATTAAATACTAATTTTATATATGTATATTATACCAAAGTACATAAAAATACAAATAAAGGACTGGACATGTAAATCTCGACGTCTACGGTTAGGAAGCTATTGCGGCTGTTTCCTGAATTCAGAGACGTATCAAATTACGCAAACCAAAAATTAATCTCATGCATAAACGCATTTATTTCTTAATTCATCAAATATTTTATAATTATTATTTTCAATAATCATTTTTATAATGACTACTTTCAATTTGTGATATGAAAATGAATGTTGATAGCACGCCAGGTCCTGAATCAGTACCTTGTTGATGCACGGTACTCAATGGGTATAACTATTAGTTCTTTTGTAAAAATTGTTTCCATAGAAAATTAACGTCTGCCCATTGGGGTTGACCTAAATGAGCGCCATGCACGACAGCGTTTGTTTCTGTTGTAAATGTTTCATTTTCGAGGTCAATAAACACTAGTTAAACCACGCAGTTAACGCCGCTGCGGTCACCTGGCTAACCGCGGCACGGGCTCTGTCCATCTGTGCGTGACAGTTAGCCGGTCATCTTGGCGAACATTTCGTTGAACGCAATTCGATTCCCGACTCATCGCTTTTCGAAAGTGTGTTAACGTGTATTGTTACACATATCCAATTGTTTTTGGCAACCCGCTTTCTTTATATGCGATATCTGTAATGTAGGGTGATCAAATGAACAATTGTATTAGGGTAACTAGATTTGCTCTGGTAATTATTTGTATTGTGATCAGAAAGGACTTTTTTATTTATAGATAGAGACCATTGACTACATTATCTTTGCCAAAGTTCGGCTGAAAGGCTACTGCCAGATTTAATGGGGGCGCCGTGCGATATGGATCTGATAAATATTAAATAGTAGTGTAAAAATATATCTGTTCAGGACTCCTGGAATAGAAAAACACTACGTAAGATATTCAGTATATATATTACTTACTTATTTTTCCTTTAATCTCTCTATCTTTTATTACGTCAGTCGTTAAGAGGAAATCACAAAACTAGGATGACTAACGTTCCTATTAAGAACGCCCCTTAAAATAGCGTCCGCCAAATTCGCACTGACTTGTGGCGGTGTTATTAATAGTGGGTGTTGCTAAGTAGTGTTTGTTTACGCTGCTGTGAAACGCGCGCGTTTCCCTGATAACTCGATTTCCACGCCACGGTATCATTTGTAGTGTACGCACGGTTCTTTAGACAACGTGGCGACGAGTCATTGTAGGAGATTATCTTCTTGATTGTGATGTTACTGACTGTAAAACTACTATGAAATCTTACTTACACTATTTTTAAATTAAATTTAACGCAAATCTTTGTGATTTCATATAAATACGTGGTCATTTTATTTTAACGCAATTGCTTGCGTTAAAAATTAGTCTCGGTCACTTCGATCGGTCCGAGAGCTTTCTTTTTTATGTTTTTGGTGAAATTGTTGGGGGATTTTTCTAAAGCCCAACAGTACAAGCTGGGAGTTTTAGGCTTACACTTACTGGAAGAACAAGTATATGGGTTATTCTTGAATTAGCAGAGTATATTCTTAGACTTTGTAGGGAGTCTGCCATAGATAATCTTAGAGACGTGCAGCCGATAAAGGCATGCGGGCTAAAGTCGTACGGTCATTCGAGTTCCGCTCCGGGCGCCATAACCTTACGCAAATGAATTGTACATACCGTACATCGCTCTGTATTGACGGTCGCCGGGAGATGTAGGTTTCCAGGTCGACTGGTTTCTGGGACTTTTTGTCGGGGCCCTTGTAGTTAACTGTACTTGCGTCGCGTTTTAGGGCGACCCGCAGCGTCGTTTACATGCAAACATTGTGTCGGTGTGTAGTTTCATGTTCGTTTATATGGAATTTTTCATTGCTGCGGCCATTATAAGGCCTCCAATATTTTTAATTGAAACTCTTGCGCATATCCTTGTCGAGTTCAGCATAGAGTTAATGAAAAAAAACGTCATTAACCTCTGAGAAAGTGTCAGGCCCATGCGAGATATGAATGCGCGTAAAGACCGCGCGCCGGAATTGTTTCGTGAAAGCATCTCCCTCACGATCTCACGTGTGGAGGTAACTGGGGTGCTCGGTTTTTACATTGTCCCGGGGCCCATTGTCGGCCGCAGTACCTACGCGCTAACAATGAAGATATGCACCCCGCCGGCTGCAGCCGCGGGTTACTCCAGGTGGATACTAACTGTGACACTTCACTCATGAGGCATCTTAATTGATGACTCTTTAAAAACCTTTTTCATTTGGAGTTAATTTGTGAATGATATAAAAGGCTGAAGGCCAATCAAATATGCTGTATATTAATCAAATCAAGTTGCGAATTAGATGCTGTCATAAATTCGTCCTCTGAATTATGAGTCCCCGACAAGGAGACATCAATCATCGCAAGCTTTATTGTTGGCGAAGTTGTATCTTGGCGGTTGCTCGGGGCGCGATGTTGTCCTCCGCAGGGCTAGTTAATTTTCATAAACGAAGTGTGCAGCCGCTCGCATTGACCCCATTTGGCGTCGATGGCAACCCGTGTTGGGTTGTATATATATGAGTGGACGTTATTATCACAGCCTAATCACATACATCACAATGCAAAAGTAGACAGCTTTACAAGAGACATTTCTATGATGGGAGAGAGACCCAGTAGACTTTGTTACTTCAATGGGTTGGCTTGATCGGGAACGTACTATGGCCTCACAGGACCTACTATCGCCGTTAAGTGTGTCGTCCGGTAAGTGAGGTAACCAAGGCCCAACCTCTTTATATTTCGGATGTTCATGGGCGGCGGTTACTATTATTGTTAATATTGTTAAACAGTGCTTTTCTTTTCATCGCATTGACAAATGTATAAGACAGTGTCCCAAATATGAATTGGTGTGAAGCGTAAAAGATTTCTTACCAAAGATTTAGCACACGACTGGCCATTTGCATAGCTTTGAGACGAAACTCTTAACTGGCGAGACTTCATTATGCAAGTACTCGACACAGCCTGGTTTAATGAGCACTGCGTGCGCCAAGTTGCTACTAGACCTATTTTTGCCAAACAGTCTCTGCTATTTCTTCACGTTACTTTTGGTTTAATTAAAGGCTCAGTGAAACCTCTTGATTATTAAAATGGCATTAGGCGTGTACTTGAGAAAAAATTGGCACAGTGATTTAGACTATAAATATCTTGTAAATATCTAGTAGGCCACTAGATATTTATGTGTTTATTTTGATAACTCCTTACACGTTGTTGCTAAGCGGAATGCTACTGGAACATAGGACAGATATTTTTCGAGAGCTGCAGAGCTGCTGCTACGGTGGTAGTGGCACGGAGCAGCCTCGGCTGTTGCACGAATGGATAGGCCCGTCTGGGTTAGTACCACGACCTCACAGAAGACCAGCGTAAAGTGGAAGTATGACAAATACTTTCGCGTTTCGTCTGGTGAGTGAGGTAGCCGGAGCCCAATTTTCAAAAGGTTGTCAACGCCTCTGTAACCCTCGGGTGTAGCAGATGTCTATGGGCGGCGGTATTCACTTACCACCAGGTGAACCGTCTGCTCGTTTGGCAACTTTTCACATAAAAAAAACTGTTTCCGATCAGATGCGAAGTTATCAATTTGTTTATGTAGATCGTAAAAAAATTATAGTTAAGAAAAAGGAGTGGTATAAATCGATGACACCGTGCTGACACAGTTGCCAAGGTATTGGCTTCGTGGGGTCGTGAGTTCGATTACCACATGGGAAAATAATTTGTGTGACCCACTATGAGATGTAGCAGATAGGACGTGGTCTGAGACAACCACTGATGTTTTACTGGAGCTTATTATACGAGTATGTGTAGGAAAGAAAAGGATTCCGCGCGATTCCTTCCAGTCCGTTGCGGCGAAGCCCTACGTGGGGCGCGCCGGGGCAGCGGCCGCGGCGCCCCCTCCCCGTCCCCCTCCCCTCCCCGCCCCGCCCCCTCCTCTCCGCCCCGGAGCTCCCTTTGGAAAGCAGACCGACCAGTTCCCTATATGATACGCTCGAGCTTTTACCTCCATGACCTCAATGGCTCCGTGGACTAGGTCTGTTGGCCGTCGGTGGCCAAGGCTCATGATGACGACAAGTCTCTACGAAATATCGTAACCTTCTAGGGCTTGATATTGATTGACATGCAATGTCGCCTAAATGTCACTTGGAAGGGTCGACATTTATAATAAATTGCTGCGCATACTCAAATTAATATGTTTACGTAAATACAATATATATGTATCTGAAGTAATTTCGTATACGCTCAGCAAATAATTTTTTTTTTGCGCTTATTTCGGGTCGTTCGGCATTCCAACAAACTTGTTGCATGTGATTAATCTTGACCTGCTTACAATCTGTACCAGTGTAAAGTGCTCAATAGTGTTTTTCGAAACGGATTGATGGTTGTAGTAGTCAGAATTACTTCAATCCCCCACGTTAACTCCTTCAACGCTTAACGCACCATTACTGCCAACATCTAGAATTCTTAATACCACCTTGAAGTGATGAAACAACGTACCTTTAAATGCTCAATACCTATTTATTATCTCTGTGTGTGTAGTGTTGCTATGCACACGCACGCGGAAATGAATCCGGCGTACTAGCGCACCGTATTAGAGAATCGAGCATGGCCCGTCTAGGATATGGTGAACGTGTTGTGAAATTGACGCCTAGAATGTTCCCGCAGTTTTGCGGCGAGGATTTCTAAACCGGCTTTAGTTCCTGCGGGCGGAGAGCAGCCCTGATTATACCGGTCATTGTAGGTTCACGCTTGTATCTTGACTCTCGCGGAATGTGGACGGGAAATATTTGCCTTTCGTGTTTCCTGTCGTTTCCAAGTTCCATGTGAGCTCTGTGACGCATGTTTAAATTCAATAAGGCCGTTTGAATACTGGCGTTCCTTTTCAATATTTTAATTCTGCTGCTGCTATAAGCTTCTCTGGGCTCGTATATGTCACTGTGGCCCGTGTTCTGTCCTATCGTAGGGGGCTTCCGGCCGTTGACCCTCGCTGCCTTAACAACTGCTCACCACCGTTACGGATTACTGACACGATTTTTTGCCTCCGTCCACTTTGACCTCGTGGAGAGTAATTGGTCTAATAGTTCAATCCACTATAATCAAAATTGTGGTGGTGGTATTAAGACGACGTTTTGACCCATGCTCTTGACTTATGCCATACTCGTGTAAACATTGGTAACTAAATATTTCATTCTATGTGTATGGATATGACTTTAATATATTTCAACAAATTTTGCAAATATGTAATTAATTAATGTTTGTTTTAAAACATATTGTTTTAAATAGTACGTACGTATACTGGTTTAACTACTATGTGGCATAAGATTGTATGTGCCATACTTGTTATTTTAATAACATATCGTATGCATCATTATTTTTGAAATCGTTGTCCTGTACTACAAAAATATGCCTTCTTTTTCAGTTGCGCTTGATTTTATATTACTTTTATTTAGAATGTTAATAATTAAAAAAAAATAATGTGCCTAAAATAAAGGAATAATCAAACCAATAACATAAAATAAGGTTGGCAGTCCGTCGTTTGAGCCCTCCTCCATGAAAAAATTGGGATTGCAACAAAAATAAATTGAAAAAAATCAGGAGTTGCAGTTTTCGCGTCCGTAGGTTATTTTCTGTCCTGTAGCGACTGTTTTTACATGCGTACTCACGTTAAAACTTGGAATAATATTTTTACAGTTGTTAATATGTTTTTACAGTAAAAATTCTCAACAAAAAAACTTAGTTTTGAATGATAAACAATGGACTCGACCCATCGCTTAAATGCACATAAGTACGATTGCTGAGGCGCCGCCGCTTTCCTCTTTTTCCCAGGTTGTATCCGGATGGATTGCTTGTTACCCAGATTGCAGCTAGTCAGCTATTCATCTTACTGCGCCTCCATTGTAGTCTAGGACCCTTAACTGTTTTTTACTTGAAATTCCGAGGAACTGTTATGACGTGAAGCAACAGTTTCCTTGAACATTTATGTGTTTTGTGCGAACGTTAATTATGTAACTTTTTACGTTTGCACAAACACGAACAATTGGCGAGCGTGTGAACGAGAATCATAAGAAGTGATGTCGTAAACAAGGTCTTTGACTGGGATGGTAGTGGATTCAACTTTGATTAACGCACTGGCCTCGATTTTTAGCCGCAAAGGCGACAAGAACAGACAAGAGCGGCTGGTAGGGGATGTCCTCCTGGCCGATTTCCACGGGTTTCTCATTAGACAATGGGAAACGTAGCGCTTTTGAGCATTGTTGCTGTGCACCGGTTTGCTATATGCGTGTATAGTTTATATTTGTGCACCGGATGATATATACGGATGCACTCTCGCCGTTATCGCATTGTCTTCCTCTGTTGTTCGGCAGAGAATGGATGCCCAGAAACGAGTCTGAATGATTTGTAATTAGTATGTGTTGAATATCGCAAAGATAACGCGACACAAGTATTATTGATTGCGATCAGGGTTTATCTGTTACTTTTGTTTGTGGTAGACAATGGACGCATTTTGTTATTTAAAAGGTTTCATGCGCCAAGGATACATAAAGAATTTTTATATATTTTTACATTAAAGGGAAATATCCTTTAGCAACAAAACACAGCTAATGATTTTTGGTTTGAAGCGGGCCGTATCGCCGGTTGGACGGCTGTCGGTCAGCAAATGGGACCGCGGCCGCTTTTTTGCAGCTGGTTGGCCCAAAGCGATGCTAATGCCACAATTGAGGAGGCACCGGTGGCGTGAGCTCTCGGGCCGACGGCCGCGTGGTTCCTCCTCCGAAACTCATCACATTGAACAATTGAGACAATGGACGCCAGAAAAAACGACGCACGTTCGGAGCGGGCCGCTTTCATTGTTAACGTTAATCGGGCGAGCGCAAAAAGTGAAACGATTCCGGGAAATGATATATGGTTGTGGTAGATATTAAAGACATTAAAGACCGTAGCCTAAGAACGGTTCGTGAGCGACTCAATACAGGATTTGGACAATTACAACGGCTTAAATTACGGGGCAGGATATGGTCGTTTTCAACAATTATTAAGTTCAGACAACAGTCTTCGTTCGTGGTAAGTACCACGACCTCAAAAAGGACTGGCGTGACGTGGAAGTTCTATATGTGGTTCTGCGTTTCGTCTGGTGAGTGAGGTAGCCGGGGCCCACTTCATAATAAGGTGGCAACGCATCCCTATGGGAATTACAAATGTCAATGGGCGGCGGTTATCACTTAACATCAAGTGAACCGCCGGGTCGTTTGTCACTTTCTCACGTAAAAATATAACGTAATTGATAGATTTTAGCTCTTTATCTAATTCTAAGCGCATTTCTAAACAATTATGTTATCAATCGCGCGTAAAATATCCGATTGCTTTACGTGTGCTTTTCGGCCTAACATCGGTTGTAACTTACCCTTCTGTTCGAGTAGTTGGGGCTCTGTACCGTACCAACAGCCTTCAACATCCGCCGCGCCACGACCTTCCTCTTACTTTGTAATTGCCCTCAACATCTTGCATCTTTGCATATATTTTCCATGACCTTTCCGTTTTGAACGGAGTACAATGCATTGTGTTTGTTATAATTATTGACTACATTATATATAATTATATACGTTATAAAAGACATTATTATGTCGGTGACATAATTATAAACTAGTGTCGATGTACATGCATCATTCTTATTCATTCATCATAATTTTTTTTAGCGACTCCCGCATAAGGATATACATAGTGTGTCGAAGTTGGCTCCGTAAACCTGAACAATGCTCGTCATTGGCAGTTGGCAAGGTCCACCAAGGTTGGACCACCTAAACCACAATATAGTAACGAGCAGAACATTCGCAAAACGTATAACAAATAGTTAGACTGAATAATTAAAAAGGTTATGTAAATGCAATAGTCTTTCCCACGTGGTTTTTGTTTAACATTCTGAAGAAATCAATATTTAGAAATCTTTATTATATAAATTATAATAGCATACTTACACACATTCCTTCCGTACGCTTGCTATTCTATTTTATTTATTTAATAAGATGGCTGGCATAATAACTACCGCCCATAGACATTTGCAACACTCGGTAGTGTTGCAGACCCGTTGCCACCATTAACGGTAAAATTTGTACAAGATCCTAAATTTTTTGGCCATTTGTTATAAATACGTACGGTCTATGACACATATAATGTGCAGGTGTCGGCAACGAGTCGCTCGATTAAGCTCGGTGCTCAATTGAGCGCGTCCAATTATGCATTACAGTGTTAATTTGCTCGGCGGAGCGCGCACAGGCCCGTGCCGCCGCCGCCTGGGCGACACTTTTGTATACCTACCTACACATCAATGTAGCCGAGTAGGAGCTGGAGAAAGCTCGGAAGCTCATTCCTTGCTTTGGTAAACCGTGGGCAATAGGTACCTTATCAAGTAATACTTCTTTTGGCGCGTTTGGGGAAAATGATGAAAGTGGATTTTTATGATGCGCTACGCCAACTTCGTGGCGTTACCATGGCAACCGATAACACCTTTTTGGCATTTAATTAGAATTCCAAAGTTATTTAATTAGACCGTTATCAATCCTTATCGTTCATCATCATCATCATCATCATTTCAGCCTGTTTGAGTCCACTGCTGAACATAGGCCTCCCCCATAGACCGCCACAGAGCACGATCCTGAGCCACCTGCATCCATCGACTTCCCGCACATTTGCACAGGTCGTCACTCCATCTAGTGGGGGGTCGTCCCACACTGCGATGGCCAGTACGAGGCTGCCATTAACTAATTTGTTTTTCACAAACAGAGTACTGGCACAGGGATAATCATTTTGGTCATTTTTCTTTTTTTCACGCGAAAGAAGCATAACTTCTTGTTAGCGTACATAAGTAAACGCACGTATTTTTTTTTTGTTTATCTGAACGGTTTTCTGTTGCTTATGGATGAGCGGAGCTTATGTTTTTGCCTTAATTTGTGTTATAATTTGTAAACAGGTCATTAGATTGAGGACATGTTACCACTAGGTTGACTTCGTTGATGTAATACTGTTTCGAAAACACTCGACTAAATAATAAAGTAATGCAATAGACGTAGTGACTAGACTTTTGTTATCGGCGGTGTCTTATTTCTCGCGTGGATGCATTGTGCAAAGATGCGTGTGCAATTACACGCCGCAAGCGTTGCGAGAGCGTTACGAGGTGACTTTGCAATGTTGCCGAACATCGCCAATAAGGCGTTACGAGATTGCTCTTATAATATTAATTTGAAAGTTTTCCGTACAGTATCGTCGATGTTATTCCGTCCTTTTCGGGCTCGTTGAAGCGGTTAAGAGGAACGAGAATGCGAAAGGGTCATTGAACTATTCATAGTGGAATCGCATACGGTCGAGCGTATGCGTATGCATCATGTCGCGGACGTTAATTGCATTCGGGCGGACGACGCCGATCCATTATTTACGAGGGCGACGCAAAACTGCAAAACGACGATACAAAACGAGCAGTGCGGGCCGACGGCGGCGCGGTCGACGACACGGGCGCGATGCGGACACGACACGACGCGACGCTCTCCCGACCCCCCGGAATATGACGTCCGCCCCGACGCCGGCCGCCCCGACGCCAAATTGCCAGGCCCTTCCCGTGCCTGCCCTCTACTCCCTGCACACAATTACGTCTGCTTCATTACCTACATACATATGAGCATATAATATCTATGTACGTACGTTTTTGATTTTATTCGGTTCATATACTTTACGTGAACACAGTTCTTTTATCTGTTAATGTCAACTTGATGAATGTTGCAAAAATATGTATCTTGAACTTAAAAAATGCCCTTAATTAAGTAAATATAAAATATCTTAGTGTTTTATATATTTTAAACTTTAATCCGGCGCCCATTGGCACTGGTAGCCGTATTTTTTGGCGTCCATTGTCTCAATCGTTCAATCTTGGAAATCGAAAAGAATAAACATTGTAATGGCGATGTGGTTGCGTATAAACAAAACTATCAGATAACTTGGCAGAAATAAAGGAGTGCATTGTAAACATTTGTATTGCGAATGTTGTATTTACCTCATTATAACAGAGAACCCCTTGGAGTAATGCGACGAATGTCTCAAATAGCTTATTTGTGATGTCCAGCTTATTCTAACATACCGAACGCTGATCAGATAGATGAAAGTAGGGTGTATTCATAATTATATTTCATTTTACTTCCGTATCTCCAGCCGCTCTTGGTACCCGTTGCTTTTACAATGGGCTTACAATAAGGCCGAAACGATGATGTCGCTAATTCTGAGGAGCTATTAAGACATGTCTCTAAGGTCATGGATGTGACAAAATCTATCAGAAAAATGTTTAAACACTAACATTAATGGGGCAACTTTAACGCCTCATTACTTGTTACGTCAAGCGTAATCACGTCATTTATTGACGGTTAGGAAACGTACTAGATATTTATGCCCATAGTTTACGAAACTTTAAGTGAAGAAATATTTCATACGACACTTTATAGAAGCACTGTTACGTAAAGCAACGGCCAGAAATCACCAAAGAATTAGAAAAGTAACCGTTTCCTGTGCGTGTCATTTTTGGTTCCTGGCGCCCCTCTAGTTATAAGTCCGGGCGGATTTGTCTACGTTCTATTTGCGCACTTTGCTCTTTGCGTTTGATTTTTGCGATTAATGAACTGTGCGGTGGGGGTATGGGGGGGGGGGGGGGGGGGGGGGTGCAGTCCGACGCGCCGTCTGCTGTCCGCAGGGACCACCGCACGCTTTGATTTGTGCAAATATGTCACTTGCTTTAAATAATATAGAGGCAGACCAAGGTGACTTTGTTGTGATTCGGTTTGCATTAATTCTTCCGCCAATATAATGTTCCTACAACCCGTGCGAATAGTCACGAACGAGTCGAAGCAAATGCAAACGCATATCCAGCACAGATCACGTATTCTATGTATTTGTCACACATTAGTATTTACATATAATACACGATTCCCTGTAAGGCCATTTTCAAGGGCATAGCTACGCTATCGTTTTGTCTGCTTAATGACTTATCCTCAATCATGGGACGGGAGTCAGCTGGATGCGTCATTTTTCCTTCACTCGTTTGCCATTTTTGCCCTCACCAAATAGCAATATCAGTAGCGGGCCTTGTCAAGAGCGATGTCAATGTCCTACTTACCCAATCAAGAGCAAATACTAACTTCAGAATCATCGTATAATCGCGTACAACATTAACGCAATAAATTGACCGAATATCTGTATTATTACTGTTTTAATGTCGCATAACTCCTAACATATTCAATTTCAATATGCTTTACCTTACGAGAAACATGGAAGAGGAAGTTTTGGCCTTATTCCAGAAAAAACTTGAGACATGAGGGCCCCGCATATGGAGGCGCATGTGGCTATTCAAGCTGACAGAAATACGTTCTGAACTTTTTCAATGAAACACTGTTTTGGTCGCCCTTTGTCATAGAACTCTGAAAAGTTGCTCATCTGGCGGACGCAGCGCTAACGATCGTTTTTTTTTTACTTTCGAGCTTTTGTTAACGTTTCTGTTGGTACATTTTTTCCTATTGCCAAATGAGTGTCATTAAGTTTAACATAAGAAAGTATCTTTTTAATTTTTATTGACATTGTGATGTGATTATGTGAGATGGTGGCAATCGAGCTGGCGGTTCACCCGATGTTAAGTGATGACCTCCGCCCATGGACACTTGCAACACCCGTAGGGTTGCAAATGCTTTGCCACCTTTTAACAAAGTGGGCCCCGGCTACCTCAGTCACCAGACGAAACGCAGAAGTATAAAACTTCCACTTCTTGCCGGTATTCTGTAAGGTCATGGTTCTTCCCCGGACGGCCCTGCCCCTGCAACAGCAGAAGCTGTTCCGTGAAGCACACATCATGAAATAATCGTGTACATTACAGTTACAGTAATTATAATTATAATAATAATCTTTATTTAGGTTACAAAAATTACAAGCACATTTGTGGTAAGGAACATATTGAAAATTAAACAATTTATGATCTGAAAGGTTCTGACCTCCTAAGTAAGTCATTACATGACCTGTGTTTAGGAGACTCAGTTCCATTCCCCCAATTTGGTGAAGTATTCGTACTCATATAAGGTACTGAAGTGAAGTGTGTGCTCATAATGCAACGCGCAATTTATAAACTAATCTACACAGTTATTATGTTACAATTGTTTCCAAGGTATAAATAGCTTTTTTAAATAACTTTCAAACCTACTTGAAGTGACTTTTCTCAAGGTGGCACAAAGACAGATGACAGGGCACTCATTCGCATGATGCTGTACTCGTGTCTTCATCACTCCCGACAGAACTGAGATGCGCCGCGAGGCAAATTTTAAACTTGAATGTCGCGACGATGGGCTTTATCCGACACTTGAAGTAGTGTTTGAAGGCAAAGTGGCCGACGGAGAGGAGATGTCTAGACAGTAGCTTTTCGTTATGATTCCCCGAAGTGAGCACAACCCGAGGAAACTTTATGGACTCGCGCTCAGAGATCTCTTTAAAAGTGCCATCTCCCCTTTAAGTTTGTTATTAAATTCGCGAACATTTCACTCGTTCGCTTTTTGAAGCCCGTAGAGCGTTTAGCGATGGCTGAACATAAATTAGAGAGCGGCCGGCGTTGCGCTCGGGCGGGCCCCTAGCACGCGAAGCACCGCTCTGAGTGGAGCTAATGAGGCGGCACGCCGCTCTTGCTTGGCCCTTGTTTACCCAGCTATATTAACAAATATGGCATTGGTGTAAACAAATCGTAGCGGCTGTGAAGCGCAAGTAATTTAGTAGTCTTTTCGGGTACAATAGGATATAGCCCTCTTGGAAGTTATAGGAACATACATATGGTATGTACTAGCTTGTATTATACTAAGATGGAAAGTGTAAAAATTGTTAAGTAAAGAAACAGTCATTAGTTATATTTACCACTAAGGTCATATTCCTAACTGTTGTTCAGTATTTGACTGCAAGTTCTAATTATATTTGAAAAACAATGAAAACGCCGCATATTAATTACCGGCAACGCTCCCAAACACACTCCAATTTTAGACAAAGCAAAATAGCCGTCATATTAGAATGAGAAGAGACCGTTACAGATGATACCTGCGCCGCGTGCGTTGGGCGCGCGCTAGCGGTGCAAGCGTAACAAAGCGTGGAACTGGAGCGGCGTCGGCGGCGCGCCGGTTCTGCATATGAGCGGAAATTCGCTTTCTAGCGCGCTAATCGCGGAGAAAGTGCAGGACGCGATTACGGCCCCGCCCCCGCCCCCGCCCCCCACACGGCCTTCTTTCAAATTTAAATACCTCTTAGTATCTTTTATGTTACTTTGCAGACAGAAAATAAATGTAGAACTACATATATCAATCTCAGAGTACTTGAACAAACACTGAAAATTAATTATTGTATGGCTAGTATCTACTTCAAAATTGTATGACTAAAGTCTCACAGGGTATTCAGGTTTCCTTCTTATTGTCTCAGAGCGTTCAATAAGAGTGAGTGCGCCAAGCATCATGTATCTCCCGGCGGCTAACGAGCATCGCAACATTTCAATCGGCATATGTTGACCTGTCCGACATCCGTGTGGGTAGGATGCAAATTTTTCAGCCGGTGCTGTCGCGTACATTACGACCGATCGGCATAATACGTACTTCGCAACGACACGGCCCCCCCTAGTAGTGCTCTACCGCGATCCGATAGCGCGTGCGCCGACCACTGTGTGCCTTATCACTCTTATCATTGACTAGCGTTGGCCGGAGGTGGTGGCGGTGGCGCGGTGGTGACCGACCTGGGCGCACGCGGCCGCGGTAAAAGTGTACCCAATAACGTTCACACACTACTCGGCCGGAATCGTAATTCAATTTCATTTTCATAACGCACGCGGCGAACGCGTAGCCACTAAAGGGAAAGGCGTCGTTCAATTTATGAATATTACAATTCAAAACTATTGTGCACAATAACTATGGTATGACGGTGGATTTAAAATGTTTGGTTGCTATACGTATAGAGCTTTTAATTATTTTTTTGGTAAGTTGTTTATTTATCGCTCGAACAAGACCACATAATGAAATCGTTAATGTTTCTGGTACAACACATGACACGCGTAATTTAATGTTAGATTGTGCATTATTCTCACATCTAGAGTCCAATTTGTTTTTACAGACGCGCTGCTAATCAGTTGTCGCTGTCCAATGTTTGTTGAACACAACAACTATTGTAATAATAAAGTTATCAGTAAGTAGAAAGTGTTCCTAGCCGTAATCAGTAGGATTAAGATAAGGCTATCGTTGTGGCGCCAAAACAACGCAGACACCAGCGGCCGTCCAGACGGTGACAGACGGTGACAGACGGTGCACCATCATCAAAACCAAATAATGCGCAAATGTTTCATGGAGCAGATAAGAAATTAATCTTGATGGGGGAATACTACTATTGAAATTCCTCCTTTAGTAGTTTCTAATTGAGACGGAAGCGTGGAGATTCTGTAGAATTAAAGACTCGGTGACGGACCAGCTTGATCTGGTGTTACGCAGAGCAAATAGAACAGCCCGTTGGTGTTGACGTCTTGAAGGAACGAAGAGCAATCATCAAAATATTACCTTGTTAGCGGTAGAGAGAGGCCAGCTTAATTTCGTCATTTCACGCTACTACATAATATATGTGGGCATTGCTATTTAACGAGCCGAAACGTTGCACGTCAAGTAACCACCGCATAACTTAATAGAGTTGCGTAAGTCGCTCGGGCCCCGGAAAAAGGACACGCGTTTTCTTCGCCTTTCGTTACCGCCCGCTTTTGCGAAAGTCGAGAATGTTTTGACCTTATTTAAGGAGCAGGATAGGAGAATCTGTGCAGAACTAACAAAGGATCGTTAAACAGTCAACAAATAGCGATGACGTCATTGAAAATCTGATGCATAAAATTATGTTTTTTATATATATATATATATATATATATATATATATATATATATATATATATATATATATATATTGAGTTTTACTCTTGTTTAATTGAGTGTAGTCAAACAAAGACGAATTTGCGACTCTGTAAAACGAAATAAACTCACTTCAAAAGCGTTTATTTAGGGTCTTTCATATCTTAACAAATAAAGGCAATATCATCTTTAGGAAAGTATATTTAAAGTCACTACAAGACAAGAAAATATTAGTAAATAAATGAAATATAATATCTGCGATAGCCAAAAAGAGTCACAGCTTAAGCTCTCCAGCTTTTTTGCGTGTTTTTTTTTACTTTACAAAATTAACTTTTCTTATAGTAGTTCCTTAGTTTGTTAACAAAAAAAAACCTATGAATTACATAAGTCAATAAATATCCTCATAAACACATTGAGCATTGAATCTCCAGGAATGGTTTGCGTAATTAATGTATAAATATAATGTTTTATACTGTCGGTGACATGCTGAAAGGATACATGTTAAATATTTATACCGAGGAGATGGCGATATTATTATGTTATATATAGTACAGATAAGCAAAAGTATTATAAATGGGGATGATGCGAATAATTAACTATAAATGATTGTATTAGACGAGGGTACAAGGCGTAGATCCGTTAGATAGGTTAGCGGGAGGTCGCGACCATGACCCGAAGCGACCCAGTTTGCCCCGTCCCAGGATCCCGTACGGGGGCTCTTGCCTCCTCTGGGCGGCAAAGGACCCTGCCCCTTGCGCAACGGTGCCGCGGTGTCAACGCACCGACTAGCAGCAAATGCATTAGAAATGTTTCACATGCTGGAGTTTTTTCTCCGTGCCATACAGTTCTTACCCCCAATTGACTGGTCGTTTTCTTTAAAAAAGAAAATGCCATCTACGGAATACGTGTACGTGGAGCCCTTTCAATTCGGAGAAATTTCAACATGTAGTAATAACTAATGCGAAGTACACTGAATTAACGTCCATAGCTCATTGCATGTTTTACACATTTATGAGTTCTTTGCTTTCGTAATTATTAACAATTTTCTATTTCTCATGTTATAAACTAATGTCATAGAAAACAAAACCTTAAAATTGATTGCTGAATACAAATCAAGTGCATTGTTGTATAATCATCCGATAACGTTGTCTCGAGAAGCGATCGCAGACGGTCCAACCTGTAATTGTTTATTGGCCGATAACGCTTATCAGTGTAGGTCAATCAACAGCGGCTCAGTACGCTTCTGTAATAATTGAATGTTAACGACTATTGTTCGAAATTCAAGTTTTCCAACAGCGGGCGCGCACGTGTGTCGTGGTGGCGTGCGACGCATAACAGTTTGTGTAGCGTTTCCTTGTAAGTGGTATGGGCGTTGTGAGGCGGCCTTGGCTCGGCCACGCGCGCGCTTACTACTACGCCCCACGAGTATTTCGGTCGATGCGCTCGCGAACCGCGGACTATGCGATAGGAACTTCAAAGGGCTTCGCACCGAATCTATCACTAGGTCCCGCTCGTAGTGTTATTCCCGTGATAAAAACTTCGCCGAGCCGTGATAGCTCAGTGTCCAGGCGCTCGCCTTTAATTCAATATACTCGAGCAACCTGAGTTCGATTCCCGGTGCCAGCACATATGAAATTGTTAATTTTAAGTGCTGACTTTATCACGTGCTCAACGGTGAAGAAAAACATCGTGAGGAAACCTGCATATTTTCGAAATAACAAAAAAAATATTTCGAAGATATGTGAAGTCCGCCAATCCGCAAAAAAGAGGAGGCCTTTGCCTAGTAGTGGGATATGTATAGGCCGTTACTTTAAAATTCCTCTTTTGGCTTGATGTGTAAAATGTGCAAATAATGCAACGCGAGTACACGCTACACGCGCCCACTGAACTGTATTTTGTAGTTGAGGATGCTGATCGTGGCAATCTTTCCATCTAATGTAGTTGTGGTATGTGCCCAAACCGCATCCGCTAGACCTATATTACTGCCTTTTTTATTATAATTGTATTTATAACGAGGTATTAATTTGCCTAATAGCGAACCTTGTCGCCGATCGGCAGGCAATTTTCAATATTATTATTCTTACTTGGGAGTCTTGTTCTCTTTTTGAATATCAAAACTCCAACCAACCTGTCACCTGCTAGCTTCGTTACAAAAAGTTAGGCTCATAATCGGACTATTTATCTCATTACTTGAAGTAGAGTCCGATGTCGTACTTCCTAAGAAAGAAAAGTATTTCAATGATCTAATTAGTAGAACTGTGCTAATTAAATAAATAATTGCTACACAAAAGTGTAAACATTTAATATAGGTGAAAAATTTCCGCACTTTCTTATTCTAGCAATCCCAATTATTCCAAGGAACTCTTCCTCTCAATAACATTAATTTAGATGAAAATTGATATCTCGTAAATATATAATAAAATAACGTATAAGGACCAGCGTGTCTACCCGTTGCGGTGGCAGGACCTGCTTTGGAATTAGGGTTGTGGGCTGTCGCTATAGGCTGGGTCAGAGCGGTGCGGTCAGCGGCCGGCCGTGGCCGTCACGGCTATTTATAAGGCGCATCGTGTGGCCCGCTGCGGGCCGCCCGTGACGTCACACCCCCTCCATCCCACTGGCACCAGACACAAGTTCTTGGCCGCACACTGACCACCCACCACCGCAACATTGATACGCACCATACGGGACGTAAGCCGATTGCCATTTTTTGGACAAATCGCTCGATTGGTTGCTCCATCAGTGTATTGATTAAATTGGCCCCCTTCGAGCGCCCAACACACAACTAGTAATTGATTGAGAAAATTAGTAGGCACTAATTCCTCGCCAAATCAAACTGCCAAGGTTCTAAGAACTTCCTGAATACTGTTTTCGCGTGTCTTCTTACCGCTGTATTGTGAAATGGTGTGCGCTGTTGGTGCGTTAAGGTCTGATTATCTGGTATAAGCGTACTCTTTACTTATTTTTGTGTAGCTGTTGTTCTAATACATCGAGTGATAACCAAAAGCACAGCACATACCATGTGACCCGTTTTCAGTGGTAATAATAATTTTATGTTTTAAAAAAATGTAAAAATCTTCTACTCGTATGATGTTGTACAGCTTGGATCTCGGTGTTCGGTGACGCCGGCGGGATGCTGCGGTAGACCGCAGGCCACGTGCAAGCCGAGCTCAGGCTGCTATTACGAACATAGGCACTGGTTTCTACTGAATATTATTATTTATATACATGAATAACAATCTATATATAGTTTGCAAATGAGTTACTTATAATTATGACGTACAGTTTTAAAACATTTCCCTCCATTCGATCTCTCCACATTCGATAAACTCTTATGTTCTAAATTTAAAACCGTAAAGAAATGAGTTCTGCGCGGACGTCGCGCACATGTTCCGCGCGTAATGGCCGCATGTAACACTCACAATATTACGAGAGCGCCCGTGTAAGGCTTCCAGTCCATTCAAGTGCGCCGTATCCGTTGACCGTTTCTAACAAATGAGCTTTAGCCACAGCTTTACCACTATCACGTTACGCGAGACACGCGTATCAAGAATGTTAGTCTTGCGGCCTCAGTTGGAGGAACTTTAATAAATATCCTTTAATAATGGAACAAAACTAATTTCGTCGAGTCCTGTTTTACGTAATAAATTTTAACGGTTTTTACAAATTTTTAATGTAACAGTAACTACACTTTAAAGTAAAAATACTCGTATAAATGTTGGCCCAACAGCGTTGATTTCGCTCTCGATATCTGATTTGCGCAGTCGATAAAGTCGGTAAAGATAAGTGATCCAATATGCACACGTTAATCTCTTTATCCACCGAATTTATTTATGAAAATGAGGACGGTCGCGATGCTTAATCTAATCTCGAGTGTCCGTGTTAGGAAGCGCCCTCGAACGGAGCGTCGCTCTGTCTCTGTACTTATAGTGCCATGCATGCGTGGGGGGCTTCTCTCCCAGATAGGTATGGGCCAGTGTCTCCTAAACTATGTTCTACGGAACACTACTGTCCCGCACAAATGAAATAGGTGTCTTCCGACATTTTAACGGTAACATTAATGGACCATGTGTTTTTATCTAGAGGAGAGGAATGATGATTAATCTTTACATCAAAGTATCTATGTACGGATAGCACGGACCGACTATTTTGTGACACCGTACAGAATTGGATAATTTATATCTATTAAATAAAATTTGTTTTTTCATATATTTTTTTTCTTTTTTACTCATTTGCTTGACCTAATAGTAAACGAAATATTCACACGGATTTTTTTGGGATTGCGAAGGTCGCATCGCAGTGAAGGTTTGGGAAATTCAGTGTAGATTAATTTTCTAGAGGTATTGATGACGTACGCGATTAAATCTAGCACGTGAGGCCCGTTCGAGCAATACGCCACCTTTGTTCCTGAGGCACGACAATGCAATCTAGGGTCCTATTGTCTTAATAGCATTCTTGGTAGTGGAACGAATACAATAAATCATTAGCCTATATTGCACTGTATGACGTAAGCAGACTCCAACTACCAGTTATTTGTAAAAAAGTAAAGTAACGGCCATCCCGTCCCACTGCTGGGCCAAGGCCTCCTCTGTACAGAGAGTCAGTCAAATATGACATGTAATATTTTTAAAAGGGATCTTATTAGGAAAGGGAAATAATAATCAATAATTAGACTATACACAAGTGCATAAACTGACGACTGTTCGGCGAATTCACTTTTACTGTCCACCACAAATGAGAGTATACATAAAAGGGACACTAGTGGACAACCAATGTACAATATGGCGGCGTTATCGCTTCATAGCGATCTCTTCCAGGCAACCAATGGCGTAAAGGAAACCTATACTACTTTAAAACATGTAGAAAAAGTACGAAAAGATTGTCGCCGCTGTGGGAATCGAACCCACGTCTTGGGCATTCGCGGCCTGACGCTCTAGCCACTGAGCTAAACGGCTGATAGCCACAGCGACGAACTTTTTCTACATGTTTTAATGTTCAATCTTAAGTGCAGAGATAAGCACTATAAAAAAATTTAAAATTTACGTATACTACGCTAATGATTTCCATATCTGGTATTACACAGCCCTGGCTCCTTCCGCACTCATACATGTAGGCCTGCTGGCCAAATTACGGATTCCTCTCTCAGTGTACTTATATTCAATACTTGTATACGAAACTGTAACTTTCAATAAAAAATACATGTTTGCCATATTTTTAAAACTCTTGACAGCGAAATTATTTTCAGTTACATTTATTGTATATTCTCGGTCATATTAGCCTGACTAATAACATAACTGAAGTTCAATTTTTTTTTCAGTTCAGTTTTCTACAAATTTTAATAACTGAAGTTCGTGTTTAAGTTCTAATCCAGTCGCAATAATATGATTGGATTTTAAAGTTGTACGTATCCAAAGCTAATTAGGTGCGCAATTCCTTGGCAGGAGGCGGAGCTTAGCACGTGGACGTCGTTCCTGCAGCGCGCCGTGGACGCCACCTACAACACCGAGGTGGTCATAGACAACCTGCACAACATGATCAGTGAGTGTCGGAGCTTATTTTCGTATTCGAATCAATCGGCGCGTCAAGACTTGATATTTTTAATAATCAATAATTTCTTGTATTTAAGCAAGAACTATACATAGTTGAAGAAAACTATCTTTTGGATTTTATTGAAAAATATGAAAGTCAACGCGAGACAGTCGCGGATGTTCCTCGAAATTCAGCGGAACTTTATTAACAGATCTTATCGCTTTACAAAATACATATTAGATTGAGAAGCTTTTTGTTTGAGAAGTTACATTGCAATTATCTTCTCGTTAAGTGGGCCGTGGGAGAAATTACATTATCGCTCAGAAACAAAGATAGACTTCTGTAAATAAAGTGACGTTAGAAAAACGTTGCCGGAAATGTTTCTACGCAGCACGCAGGGGCCTCAACTATTTTTGGGCGCATATTCATGAAGACCTCCCGCCAAGTGGGATACATTTCGAAAGCCCATTACCAACATGCCAATCGAAACTTGTTCATGTATTTCATTAGTTTTATTTGACGGAATGAGTGCTCCGACTTCAATCTTTTGGAGCTGGCGGTTCATGTTAAGTGATAGCTGCCGTCTATGGACATTTGCAACACTTTTAATAAAGTGGGCTCCGGTTCCCTCACTCACCACTTCCACTTCACGCCGGTCTTCTGTAAGGTGGTGACAATTCCTGCGTGGCCCTACCACAGTCACAGCTATGGCGATTCCTATTGACCGCAATATTCGATCTTTTGCGAAAATATTCAAGGAAGCGTAAAAATATTCCCATGTTTTCCGCCACCTCTATGGGCGTGGCGTCACCACTATTGTCGGTCGGTGATGGTTTAAAAAGGGCCGCGGCGTCGCCCTCTCGCGAGGCGGCCGCGTGCGTCACGCGCCGTAACTGCCAATTAGTTATAGATAATCTGGGCGCGTGTTTATCGCGAGCCCCGCATAGCTTCCCGATTGACTGCTCCAGACATTTTCTGACCACACGCGGTTACCGAAATAAACCCATAATATATTACGCGAGAGATCATAACCGCCGTATTTTGGCTCCGGCCGAACCGATTCGCGGAACATCCGCCAGGAGTCACCACTGCCGGCCGCGCGAAACTCTGAGATCATGCGGGAATACTCATTCCAGATACTGTGAAATCGGGTTTTTTTTTTTAGCTTTTCCCTATTTTTTTGCACGAAGATGCAACACGAAGCCCGCCCTCAGTGTGTTTCCTTGTAAGATATAAACAACTCTTATTAATATTAAACGGATATAAAATTTTATATCAAATTTAAGATAAACCTCTTAAAGCCGTATTTATTATAAATAAAACTGCTCAATTCAATTAAACTCGCGATTACAGACTTATTTAATAGCAATGAAAAGCTGTAAATACCTACACAAGGTCAACTCATGTGTAGATATTTACATTACTTATCACTAGTGATTTAAACGCCATTGCTGGATACAAATCAATAAAATTCAAGTTCAAAGTTTCTCTATTGAACTACGAATTGTGCAAGCTCAGCCAGATATTCTTGCTCACGTTTTAAATAATCTTTGTCTAGAACAGAACATGCTCATTTTTTTTAAAATTAAGTAATATACTATATCTAGTGGATCCGTGCGAAATTTTCGTACCGAACCGTGATCAGTAACCGAATGGTAATATGATAATGTGTAAATAAATATTTAGTAGTGAATATGGTCCGCCAATTAACAGTGGGGCCGCGTAGTGGACTATGCCCTGGCACATTTATTTAACGGTGGTAGGGCCACGCAGCAGCCTCGGCTGTTGCGCGAATGGGCAGGCTAAGTATCACGGGTAAGTATCACGACCCCACAAAAGACCGGCGTCAAGTGGAAGTATAACAAATACTTTACAAAAATTTTCAAAAGGTTGTCAACGCCTCTGTAACCCTCGGGCGGCGGTATTCACTTAACATCAGGTGAACCGTCTGCTCGTTTGGCAACTTTTGACAAAAAAAAAATATAGGCTGTTACTTTACTTTTACTTTAATGATATGTATCCAGTTTACAAGAAAAATATTCTTCATTTGAATTGGCTATTTTTCATTTAAAAAAAAATTCAATGGCATTATCATATATCCTAAAGATATTAGTAATATAATAAAGATTTTTTAAACTTTTCTGCCTGTTTGCCTGCCACCCATAGCGGCATACATAAGAAAAATTAAGAAAGCTTTGGCGTTCCGAAAAAAAAATCGCTTGTGAGAAATATGTATAAATATGATCGGAGTAGTTGTTGGGTTCGTCGTGAGTAATTCCTGTACAAGGAAGGTTGACATCGATCAGGCCTTTTAGTAAATTGTTTTGGGACTCTTCGTACAATGTACCTAATTAAGTTTTTGCTGTACAGTAAATAATAAATTCAGTTGAATTGAGATACCAATATAATAGCGTAATAAGATTGAGAACGGCGTGTGCCCGCAGCGGAGCAGCGGCGCTGCGTGCGCGAAGTGTCGGCGAGCAACGTGTTCACGTCGCTGTGCGGAGAGGCGGTTGAGGCGGCGGAGGCGGCGGAGGCGGCGGAGGCGGGCGAGGCGCTAGAGGTGGGGGAGGCGCGGGAGGCGAGCGAGGCGGCAGAGGCGCGCGAGGCGGGCGGCACCCCGCGCACCCCGCTCGAGAGGCGCGCCCCCTCGGCGGTGAGCAGCACGCCCATCGCGCGCGACTAGCGGCGCCCCGCCGGCCCAGGCCGCGCTGGACCCTCGAATATCTACGCTGCCCCATCGCGGGCGTTCAACACTCCGTCGGCAATGCGCCGCCGTCTCTATGTCCTTGGACTGTGCTCTTTAAATTTCGAGTGAACGCTCCGGCTGTGTGTGCTTTGGTAACTTTTACGCACTATTGTTTTTTGGTTGTTTATCAAGGCACAGAGGAGAATATTTATATTTGCCGCATTTACTATATGCACGTCTCGGCTAACCTTTTTTACATATGATTTTTTTTTATGTATGTTTAAAAAGACCAATTATAGGAAAATGTTGTCGATGTAAATGGGATACCGTACCCAATAAAGGGTCGAGTTGTCAAAAATATGTTATAATGTTAAAAACACTTAAAACTTTTAAAATAAAATTACACCTCATGTACAGCAAAAAATTTATAGAACTTTTTTACATATTACAAAAAAAAATATAGTATGGTTGCATAAAGGTTATACTTATGAAACTTTAATACCAAGAAAACAAATAATAAAAATGCACTAAGAATCAAAAAGAAAATATTTGAAATCAATTGTTTTTTGAATATATTTTAACATTGTAGATGTCTAGCAAACTCTAAAATTGTTACTTTACCAAGGTGCCAAGTGTACTGGATTCCAAAAACTTCTACTTTACTCTCCAACTTACACTGCCTACATAGCACTATAGACGTTTTTTATTGTTTTTTATAGAATTTTTAAAATAATTTTTACCGTTATTAGACTTAAAGAAAACTCATGTAATGATGAATGTTGACTTGCCTCAGGCGTGTTACTATCGTGTGTCGTCGAGGTAAATCGCTTCCAAGGTACTCTTTCCTAAATGGACCAGTATTATTGAACCGCTAGTGTTGGATGTTCAGTGCGTGCGCGAACAAGTGGCCAAATTTTCAGTAGCTCCTTTATATCTGCCGTCAACTTGCTTGGATGTATCCCTATTCCCAATAATTGTGTGTTTTACTCTATTGTTAACGAAACTTTCGAAATGTTTTTGATATTTATCTCGGAAATTTATATTTGATAAGCGAATAAGACGCGTCTTTAAGAATGCTTTAAAATTGCATAGAGTAATATTGTTAGATGCTTTATATATGAGTGTTGTGAAAATGTTCTATTTTAAAATGTTCTACTATATGGCTAAGTTGATATAAGATGGGCGTGCGCAGTGTCGCCACTTCCCGCCCCCTTGTGATAACTCAACGAAACTAAATGTTACGGAATGGATTTGTGTTCAGCGCGGGACCCTTCGTTGTTGCTCTCGTTTTATGTCTATCTACTAGCGGCTAGTTTCATGGTATTCGTAGTTGTTTCTAAAGAAGTTATTGTGGATATTTGCGTGTTACATATTGAATATAACAAACTGTTATTGGATGGCGGAGAGAGAAATATGCGCGTAGAATTGTAATCGGTGGCTTTATCTTTTCAACGGCGGGGGCTGTGGCTGAGACCTGTTTCTATTGGCTAGTTTGAATTTATTTCTATTGCATGATATTGTTTAAAACTTTCACATGGTATGTAAAAAATTAAATTATTGTGAATTTAGAACAGGTAAAAATGGATTCAAGTGTAATATATTATATAAGTACAATTGGGAAAAATGATGCCAGTCCCTAGGAGGCTCCTTCGTGCCACGAGTCGGCCACGTGTCGCCGCTCTGCTCTCATGTTGAGGCTATCAGTGCTCTGCAGACAACATCGTTGACTTTTAGCATTTAGTGTCCGAGAGAATAGCAGTAATTGACAGCCCAGCTCCCGTCGCGAATCTGTTTATACATTCCAGAGATATTTTCTGTATTAACTAATAGAAATAAAAGATTTTAAGTATTTTAATATATACTCTTTATTTTGTACCTTATCCACTACACCATACATATCTCAAATAAGGGTATCAGACTCTCGTTGGCAAGGTTTGAATGGAGTTCAGGCGCAAGGTCTCATGGGCCTCATTTACAATTACAAATATAGGCGGAATAGTCCACACCGTGTTCAGTACTTTGCTCACGAAACGGGTATTGCGACAACATATAACATTTTATCAACAATCATTGTTTATGAAATTTCAGTAAGAGCTTAAAACACGTCCCTGAAATTATATACAAAGAAATTTTGACTTTGGAAAAATCTAAAAATGCTCCAATATACCTTTCATTCATATGTCCTATACTTTACTTATTTCATTATTCAATTAAACTTTCTTAGACTTCTTTGATTTTTTAAGAATAAACTTATTAATATTATATTTTAGTATTAAAATAAAACTGGAAAATCGCCCAAATGATTAAAAGTATTGCATGTCCTAATTATGCATTAATTATTTTTATTGACATAAAATATTTTTTCTATAATACTACTTTCTCTGTAGTTATACATAGTTTCCTAAATCTGGTTTATATATCCAACGTCAAAAATCCTTCATAGAACTCATCACACGGAATAATTGATTTAAATCAAGAAGACTCAAAGACGTCGTTCCTAAAAGCTTTTACGAAATTTTATCTAGTATTTCTTTTCTGCGTTTTAGACTTGCATCTTTTAATAAACTGAATTTATTTATGAACATTCATTAAATGGGTAAGTTTCGTAATTGCTATAAAAAGTTAAAACAGTAGTTATTTCTCTTATCACGTTATTACTGTCATGCTTTCTTAGATGCAGAGAAACTTTTCTGATCCCGAATCCTTGAATTTGACCCACGGTGTAGGACTTGAAGCCGTTAACAAGATGCATATGAGTACTTTTTAACAGATAATTACAAACAATATATTTTATAATCTACCGAGTAAAGATTGTTTCAATATTTATTTAATTAATTAGGGACGTATATAATGGCTAATATCATTTGTTTCCTACAATAGACAAGTAATAAATCTTTCACAACTTTATATGTTCACAAAAACTTATACAACCTTATTAATATCGATTCACTTTACAGTCACTAAAATCTAACCTAGATATAGAGAAATTTGAGCATAGGTCGCCAATGACACGATAGGGGCTCGTGTATAAATGTCGAAGCATCTAACAAGGTCGGGCAAGCGTCTAATACTGTGGGGCGTCCCTTCTCGCATAAACACTTAGTTTTATTATTTACACTTAATCGAGTATACGGCACAGTAGTCAGGCGAGGGCGGGGGCGGGGGGGGGGGGGGGGGGGGGGGGGGCGGCGGCGGCGGCTGCGGCGGCCGAGGGCGGGCGGCGCGCGGCGGCGCCAGCACGCTGTGCGGCACCGGCACCGTGCGCCCCATCACCTGCGCAAGGGCCACTGCCACTGTTGCTGTGCGAGCACTCAATGCCGCTCAGACGACCGCAGCAACGGCTCCACGACTCGTCATCATTTTAGATATTATATACCACATTCGATAATAATAAATCATACAGTATATACATATATCATACTTTCGCGTTTCGTCTGGTGAGTGCGGTAAGCGGAGCCCAGTTATTATAAGGTCGACGCATCCACAACGCTTCAGGTATTGTAAATGTCTATGGGCAACGAACGGTTTAGGTCAGGTGAGCCGCTTGCTCGCTTGCTTGACAACTTTTCACATAAAAGTTAATTATTTGAAAACTTTAAATAGACTTCATACATTAATTTCAGTGTAATTTCGTTCGACAATAACCAAATAATCGTCGAAGGGGTGTATTGTAAAAAGAGTAAAGCCAAGCCAAAGAGGAGGTTAATATGATGAAGGCGTTGTATGCAGTAAAGATAGGTTTTTCAAAATATTTTTTAGCAAAATGTACACATTTTATAGCAGTAAAAAAAACTATATGTTAATCTTGATCGTACATTCTACGGGAACATTGTTTCCGAAACATATTCTCGATATACAGCGTGTCGTTACCACCGCGACAATAAATGAACAGACATATAGAGGATAAATTTTTAAAATTGTATTAAACATTTACATTCTTCAAACATCAATATTTACAGAGTTATAAAATTTTCCAAAACAAACAATTTTAGAACACCCTTACGTATAAAACTGTAACGTAAAGTTCATTTGTAAAGGTCACAAAGCATACGAATGGATTGAATGAATTTAAAAGAGACAAAACATACTGTTAGAAGGAGAGGCTTGTAATGCGACGCTGTGGCGCGAGTTGTATAGGTGTTACAAATTTTCTTTCTTTTTTACTTAGTTTGTTTGAAAAATATTTTTTTTTAATTATGGATTTTGTTTAACGTTAATATTTTTTTATGATTATTGGCAAGTAGTGTTAGACGTGTGTTCGTTTATTGTCGCGATGGTAACGACACGCTGTATTTTCTCGATAGAAAAAAATCATGAAACTACCTCTAAAAGAGAAATTGAAATCCAAAAATGAACGTAATACATCAACAAATCTTAATGAAATTAATATGAGTGGTGTAGAATGTATTAATAAAAAGGATTGTTGTTTTAATTTGTTGATTGATGTGAGATATTTGTAAATATTATTTTAATTCATTAAAATTTATTCGAACGCGATGGCCAAAACACCGCGCCACCGCGGCGTTGTTTTTGTTGTACTTATTCTTATCTGGAAATATTTCTTAATTACCATTTATTTTTGTTGATTTTTTATTTTCATAAATAATTTCAACAAAATATTATTGTATTTGTTCAAAGTTGAACAGTTGGAGAACAATCTATCAGTAAATAAACCAACTTTTAGTATTAAAATTTTTAACGTCATATATTTTTTTATTAAAATATTTAATTTTTCACCCTAAAACGAAAATTTATCTTATACTTGAAAAATAATTGTTTTATAATTTTTCTTATTAATTTGTTTATTTCCCAAATTGAGCCATTTTATAAAATAAAAACAAAATAATTTGTTGGCTAACAAATTAAAAGTGAAAATAATATAAAAATACAACTCCACTCGATGAGGGTTTGAACTTGACACTACACCTACAGCAATAGTTTACCGTTGTGTATAACGCTCGGACCAACTCGGCTACGTGAGGTCTGTGGAAAGTGACAAAGTTTTGATTCTTGTTATAATTGCTGTCGTTTATCGATACAAATAAAGATTTTATCGATAGTTTTTCAAATTTCATTTTAGTTGAAAGTAATATAACATAGTAAATCTTGATCATTTAAAGGATAAATTAAAATTTGTAATGTAATAAAAAAAGTTGTATTCGTAATTTCTGCAAAAATTTTATGAGCCATTTCTTTAAAATAAAAATATAAACCATGAAAACAAAAAATAATAATTATAAGTAATTTGAATTTATTAATTTATTTGACTTTAAGATGTATTTTTAATCAATTCCTTTTCCATTTAATTAAAAAAATAATAATAAACAGGGAGGAAATTGTTGATTGCTTTCTCATACTTTATATTTGTTTGTTTATTATTATTCCTATTTTAATATAAAAGTAAAATACAATCATGGTCTATAAAAGATATTATAGTGATCATCTATGTACATTTTCGAAAGCCTTCCATGATATGGGCCGTAGGATACTATCGATAGTATCCTACGGCCCATCACTACACACACACACTAAGTAATGAATGACTTGGCCTAGCGGCGCGTTGCCGAAATTCGCGCGCTGCGCGCCGCTAAGCGGCGTTACCCCTCCTCCGCTTCCTCATAGTTCACCACCCAAATAGTTAAAAATTTATTTGGCACGGTTACAAAATACAAATTCTAACATGACTAAATTATTACAGATTAATATATATTACTAAACTTGCATTTCAATAACAACCGAGCACAACATGCAATTTTATTGCTTGTTGTGTTCGGTTGTTATTGCTTAAGTTTGAGAGTAGAATTTCTCTATAAGCCAGTTACTCTAACAATCCCGTTCGGCGTCCAGAGAAGAGACGCAGAAGTCTTTGCTCGGTCAGAGAGCAACGGAGTGGGCACCTGCACGGCCACGTGGCCACGGCGTGCAGCGCCCAGCGCCAGCACGGTGTCGCCGGCGCGCAGCCGCAGCGCGCCGCTCTCGTCGGCCCAGTCGGCGGCCAGCACGCGCTGCTGCGGGTAGCCCAGCTTCACGCCGTTCGCCACCGTGTACGCGCGGGACGGCGGCAGCGGCGGCGGCCTCTCCTGCAACAACCACACCGAGTAAAACCTACTCTTCATTTGATTGGCACACCTACATTGTAATGCCAAGATTGGACATTGAGAAGAACTGAAAATGGCATTTTTCCACCTCTTTGGCAAATTCATAACTTTTTTGATTAACTTCACGGACATCACGACGCAACAAGCGTTCAATGAGCAGAGGTCACGCGGTCGTTTACTCACAATGGGGCCGCGCGTGCACGAGGGTGCGCAGCAGGTTGTCGAGCCGCGTGTGGAAGTCCTGCGTGAGCGTGGAGCCGGGCGCGTCGCCCGAGGCCGCCGCCAGCGCGGCCGCCGCCGCCGTCGGCGACGCGCGGAACTGGGCGCCGCTCGCCCCGCCACCCGCCGCCAGCGCCTGCCACAACACGCGCTCAACAAGGGTCGTCGAAAACATTTTGGACCGTTACTTTTGCATAGCTCGTGACTATTGCTTGTACGATTCCCGACAGTCACATCGGAACAGAAACTTTTGCTACGTTTCACATTGAATACTATATTTGTTATCCGTACCTTGAGCTCGGCGCCGAAGAGGTGCGTCGCGAAGCCGAACTCGCAGGTGCGCGTGTCGAAGGCGGCGAGCAGGTCGTCGGGCACGGTGTCCCGGTTGGCGTCCAGGAACTCCGCCGCGTCGTAGACCACCTCGCCCGCGTAGTGGCGCACGGCGAAGCGGCGCGCGTGCGCCGGCCGCGCCTCGCCCAGCCGCGGGTGGCCCCTGCGCACGCACAACCGTGACGGCACCAGTGAACATTCGAGGGGCTGGGCCGCTTCTGGTCGCACTCGCACTTCTTACCTGTGCGCCGTTTTAATCCTGGCGACGTATTGCTCGGGCGTGCCGCGCGCTGCGCACTCGGCATCGAGCGCGGCCAGGAGGCCGGCGCGCAAAGATGACACCAGATCGATGCACGGCACGTTGTCGACGTATTCCACCTCGAGCGCCCCCACGACGCCCTCCTCGCGGCACGATTCGGCCGAGGACTTGAACACGTGGGTGTTGTAGAAGTGCTGCATGGTCTCGGCGCACAGGTTGGCGCACAGGTGCTCGAGCCGGCTCGGCGCCGCGTCCTCGAAGCCGAACATGTCCAGGATGCCCACGAAGCCGTCGGTGGCGTGGCGCACCGCGTCGTTGAGGGCCGCCATGGAGTGCGCCCGGGCGCGCGAGCGGCCGCCCGCCGTGGAGGCGCGCCGCGACGCCGCGTCCTGGCATTAAAACATGTAGAAAAAGTACGAAAAGATTGTCGCCGCTGTGGGAATCGAACCCACGTCTTCGACATTAGCGGCCTGACGCTCTAGCCACTGAGCTAAACGGCTGATAGCCACAGAGACGAAAATCTTAAAGGATATAACAATAGATGCGCCGCATTGCTTCAAATGCTAAATAACAATGTGGAAAGATTGCGTTAAGATGTTTTCTACATGTTTTAATTGTTAATCTAGTTTTATAAGTGAAAATTTCTTATGGCCCGTTAAACTAACTTAACTGTAATTTCTCTAATTCGGCAAAAACCCCTTTGAACTGAAAGATAAAAGATAAAGAAAGAAAAAAACTTATATGATTTTAAATCACTAAAAAAATGTAACTATTTACTAATTAAGACTACACATAAACAAAATCATAACGGAAAATAGATCTGCCAAAAGAATCGTTAAGGAGTTACCGTAAGTCCTGTGCTGAGTATCCATCTAGGTGCAGCTGCACACGCTCCTCCGGCGTGAGGCCTGCCAGCAGCTGGTAGAAGATGTGATAGTTGCGCTCTCCGGCCGGCGGACGCACCACTCTGGTCTGGTCCAGGAAGTAGCAGTGGATCTTTGTGCGGTACAACGCACCATCCGTCACTTGCACCTCAATGAAATGACCCTAAAACATTTCAAGGACAAAAATTAACAATTGTTTAGTTAAAACAACAAGTTATTCCTTGAGGAGAAATAAGCTAAATAATATTTCTGACTGGAGTAACACATGTATACTTCTGAATGGAATACAGGTGGTTTATCTCTTCTTTCTCCTGCCCTTATCCCACACTTGTTGGGGTCGTCACAACGTGTCTTTTCCTTCCACTTTCCTCTGTCAACCGTCATCTCAATACTCCCCCCTTTCACAGATATATCACTTCTCACACAGTCCATCCAAATCTTTCCACCACATTTATACTTAGGTCGTTTATATGAAACGTTATCTATATAAAAAAAATTTCGTGTCACGATGTATATTCGCGATAAACTTCGAAACTATTGAAGCAATTTTTATCAAATTTTGTAAGCATTTGTAATTTGGTGCAACTTGGTCGATAGGGTAGTTTATATTAGATTGAGTAAGTATCCGATAGATGGCGCTGTGATAAAAGTAGAAACGTCTAATTAGCGCGGTATTTATAATTGGACAATGTGTAGCGCACAGAGTGAACTGCGCGGAGTACTCACGATGCGGCTAGAGTTGGAGTTGGGGAGCGTGGCGGCGGTGCCGAGGGAGCGCAGCACGGTGAAGGCGGCCGCCAGGTGCTTGAAGGCGTCCGTCTCGGGCCCGCCGCCCGCCACGTCGAACAGCCGCCGCAGCAGCACCATCGACGCGTACGTCTTGCCGGAGCCCGACACGCCTGCCCGCGACACGTCAACTCGTCAACACGTCAACTCGTCAACACGTCAACAACACATGCTCCGATTTTACTGCGGCACGGTGGCCGCGTGCTGCCTCCTCACAGAAGATGAGCGTAAAGTGGCAGTTTTGTTTTTATTTATTTTATTTTGTACATCAGCTTATACTTTGTTTCGTCTGGAGGGTGAGTAAACGAGGCCTACTTTTGAACGGTTGATAAAGCGATTAAATAAGATTTTCAAATAATAAAAATGAAACTTATATTAATAAGGTTCTTGAAGCTTATACATTATCATGATGTTTGTTTATTTACATAATTGAAGGTATCACGGTATATGCGCGATGTGGAATTGTTTTAATATTCATTCCCTCCGGTCGTTTGGGCATCGATATTTCAGTAGGTGGGTGAATGAGTGGCAGCACGTACCCGAGAGCACGATGGCCTGGGGGCAGCCGGAGTCGGCCTGGTGGCGCACCGCGTCGTGCACCAGCCGCGCCAGCTCGGGCCGCTGCGCGCGCGCCGCGCCCGGCGTCAGCGCGTTCGCCGCGTCCGTGTACGCGTTCACCGCCACCAGGATGGGCCCCGCCCACGTCTGCGGACGGACGCGCATCACCCGCTCATTTACTTATCTCAACATCTACTACACAATTATATCTACTACTTCTAATTGCCAATAACAAACGAATTAAGTTAACAATCGTAACGACATTATGAAATACCGCCGTCTAAAAATAAATTTGAAGAAATAAAATGCCTTATGAGATTATTTTTAAAGTTGCTGACTCTTATCATTAATTTAAAGTAATAACTTCTACTTAAATTTGATTTTGCACAATATTTTTTTTTAAACTACGCAACGGATTTTAATGCAGTTTTCAACAATAAATACAGTGATTGAATTGGATATGTACGTAGTATACATGTATGTTGTAGGAGAGAAAAGTCGAGAAATTTAAAGATTTGTAATGTGTTGTAGTAACAAACATATTTAGGTGAGCTTAAATTGCAAACGCTGGCTAAACCATACGATAGATAGATCAAATTAATGTATACTACAGAATTATATATCTTAAAAAGATATTTGCAGTCTCATGAAAAACAGCTGTAAATATTGGATATAAAGATATCCTGTTGAATAGTTGTAATCATAATCATAATATTATTAGTCACTTCACATTGCCCCACATTAGTATCTTAATTTCACCCGTGCAAAGCTGGTAGGGTCCCTAGTTAATTAATAAATTATAACTAACACACACATAAGTTAATAATAGAACCTCTATAAAACCTATATATCACTAGAAAACTATAAGAACTTTCAGTCCTAGATATATTTTCTATTTGAGTTTAATGTTGATCGCTGCTTGCTTTGGGATAGTACAGTAGTGAAGAAGTGCGCTTGTGTCGAGTATTTCGGCGGTCGGAATATCGGAATATCGTAGAACGAAAGTGGTGTATCCACGCTGGTGCGCTTGGCAGCGGCGACCGTTACATTCATCTGCGCTCGGCCTTTGTGCCTCGAACAAAGCGGACCGCCGCGACACTACCTGTCGAGGCGGGGGCCACTGATAAGAAAAAAATATTGGAATAACAATAAGGTGACGCGGCGCTACGTGATGTGTCGCCGGCCGTTTTTATGCGCTGCCGTTAAGATTACGCCCGGCTGAGGGGCGCTTTTGTTGCCTCGACTTATATTAACCCATTATATTATCTCAATTCATAAGGCTAAGTTGAAATGTTATAAACACAAGTAATAATTTTTGGCTACATGAAACAAAGCACGGCCGCCCGTAGCCGAGCGAGTGCGCAACTGGTTTGGTCGCGATGCCTATTCCAGTGTACGCTAGCCGTTGAACTCTTGGGCAGTTTGTTTCAAAGCAACATTACATATTTATCACAAAATTCCTGTTGAGACAACTAAACCGTTTTTGTAGACATTTATCACAAGACTGCTGCTTGTGATAGACGCCTACAAAAACAGAACGTAATTTAACGTGTATTAGATACACGACATAAAATCAAAACGGCTCTTTGGACCTCGGATAAATAAAAAATGTGAAAATAAATGAATATATATAATTGAAAGGATATTTTATTGCGTTACATTTTTATTGCCAGCGGTGACCCAAGAACTATGTTCTTGCGACTACTTGCTATGTCGACTGCGAGTTAGATTCGAGTCCATAGTTGTAATATTTCGAATTTTTTTGTGGTTGTTGTTAGCGTAAATTGTTTCACGTTTGTGGGCAGCAAGATAACGTTAATATATGTCTGCCAAATACACGTTAAAATAAGCAAATGATTTTTATTCGTCGTAAGTTAAAATTAGCGCCCCAAAACATGAGTAGTTTTTTATGAATTCTGTGATCCATGACCATACATGGTCCACATTTAAGTACGCTTTTTTTATGTGAAAAATTGCCAAACGAACGAGCAGACGGTTCACCTGATCTTAAGTGAATACCGCCGCTCATGGACATCTACACCCGAGGGGTACAGATGCGTTGACAACCTTTTGAAAATTGGGCTAAACGTAATCTTAAGAATGAAGGCGTATACATCATCGGATGCAGGCACGTATTCAGCGGATATAGATAAACAGAATTGTTTATTTTTTATCTTATCCCTTACAAACATTGATTGTTACGTATTCTTAGAATGGGTGTAAATGGGTTTAATAATTGACCCAATTGCACAAGGAACGCGAGTAACGATGGCCTTCTGGTCAGCGATTGCTTAAGATTTGTCTGGTTAAACCAGAATCCAGATATATCACGTATTCCCATGGAAGGCAACCGAGTGATGTTAAGACACGTGATCTGTATCGCCAGTTGATAATAAATATAAACAATTTTAGGGCGTTGTTGAAGGGTTCATTCCGTGGTGAAATTTTATGATGAAATTAGCGTTCTCATGAAATTCACATAAAATTACGGTCTTAAATTACTTATATGTAAATAGATTATATACCAAGAAGAATTAAAAAAAAAGAGAAAACAATTCTGCAACGTAGTTATTGGAAATCATAGCCGACAGTTAAGCAACACTCGCAATGTAACAGTATATTTATTGGCGTGAACATAAAACATCCGACATTGCTCGAGTTCTTCGCAATTAACCTCGCCAGTTCTCGGTGAAATTCTCCCGTTACCATTCCTACTCGTATCACAGTATTAAGTGTTATAACCACTAACATATGAAATGAATAAAATATGAAAAGTCACCTTTTCCTGTTTACACCGTAAAAAGCTATGTTCTATCCCTGCAAGACAGTTTATAAAGTAAGCGATTTATTTTTCTTTTTTTATGAAACACCAATAAAACTAGATAAGTCTTACACGCACGAGGCTTTCCGACAAAGACATAGATATAAGGTTAACATAAATCCATTGGTGTTGGCGCCATTGGTATTTATATATTATTTTGAAATACTAGCATATTTTAATAATTTTAATCATCCTCATTCTATGGCAAGTTCATGTACAAAATGCTTTTGACGAAAGAGCAATTGTAACTCACATAGAACTTGTTGTGATAGAAGCGAGCTTGCAGGGCGCGCACCACCGCGTCCTCGGTGAGAGGCCCACGCAGGTGGATCAGATCGTCCACGTCCGCGCCCGCTCCCGCGCCCGCTGTCGCGCCCGCGCCCGCCGCCGCGCACGTTCCCGCTCCGCTCGCAACGGGCGCCGCGACCGCACCGCGCCATCGTGTCTCTGCTGATTGTCAGGCTATTGACTCATGACTCGAATTAATAAATACATGCTTGTTATGGAGTACAGTAACGAGTCAGATAAATGAAGGCAACCAGCGTTTCCGCGCCGAAACATAATTTTTGCAAGATATGACTGTATAGAATGTCATGTTTAATTTTTCTTCGGAGCCAAGTACAGCGTGTCCTTACCATCGCGACAATAAATGAACACACGTCTAACGCTACTTACCAATAATCATAAAAAATATTTTTTAAACAAACTAATTAAGTAAAAAAGAAACTAAATTTGTAACATCCTATACAACTCGCGATACAGCGTCGCATTACAAGCCTCTCCTTCTAACAGTATGTTTTGTCTCTTTTAAATTCATTCAACCCATTCATATGCTTTGTGTCCTTTACAAATGAAATTTACGTTACAGTTTTATACGTAAGGATGTTCTAAAATTCTTTGTTTTGGAAAATTTAATAACTCTGTAAATATTGATGTTTAAAGAATGTAAATGTTTAATACAATTTTAAAAAGTTATCCCCTATATGTGTTTTCATTTATTGTCGCGATTGTAAAGACACGCTGTATATGTGTTTATCGTATGGTGCGCGAAACGGACTAAAGGCGGTTTTCTGCAAGAAAATACACATGCATTTTCCTGTTTCTGAAAACATGACGCGTTGACTTGCCGGTCTGAAAATCTAGACATATATATATAAATCAAATACAAAGATTTCCTTTAAAAATACTATGCATGTCTCCTTTGAAGATATTGCAATGTTGAGAAGAGTGATAGTGATAGTGTGGGTGGTGCCTTACCAGGGGGAACTGGCGGCGGTTGCGGCGGCGGCTGGTGAGGCGCGTGCGGCGTGTGCGGCGGCGCGTGTGGCGGGGGGGGGGGGGGCGGCGGCAGTAGCGGCGCGCGCGGCGGCACGGCCGGCTGGGAGCCGCCGCTCGGCGCCCCCGCCGGGCCCGCCGCCGCCCCCGCGCCCGCCCCCGCCCCCGCTCCGCCCACGTGCAGGTGGTTCCGGAGCGTCACTAGCTCCGAACTGAGGCTCAGCAGGCGCCGCTGCAGGTGCACGGCCTCGTTCGAAGAGGATGCGTCTGCGGACACAAACACACGCCCCGATTGACAAACAACAAATTACTCGTGATCGTGTGGACACCCAATGCGAACAGATAATGTGGCAATGTCCTCAGTGGTATACGCTTACCGAATAGCGAACTCATGAGAAACCGCCTTGGCTTTAAACGTATTTGAAGACAGCGAGGGAGAGCTATCTGCCGCACATAACAATCGAACGAGGCGGGAAAGGTGTCCGGAGTGAGGGCCGCGTCCGCGCCGCGTGCCGATGGAAACATAAAAGAGATAGGCAATAGGGGCATGTAATTTTACGAGCGCACATCGAGGCGAGAAATGTCGTCACGCACGCGATTCGGGAGTAGGCCCCAGCGGCCGTGCGCTGAGCAGTCGGAGGCGCGTCGCGGACTGCCGCTCGCGCGCCTGATCCACCTGCGACGCCGTCACGCGAATCACCACGCCGAAATCGCACTCGCACGCGGTGACATTTGGCGGGTATTCCATGGCGCCTCAACCATTATTTGTTGGAACGCCCCAACGATATTCCCGAAGGCATCGACAGAAAAGACAAATATGCAAGTACTCCGTACGCGGGGATCAAATCTTACGGAATTTGCCATTACCGCCGGCTTATATTTTAGGAATTTATCAATGATGGCAGCTCATAATACGCAGAATGAACACCTGATTACATTACGTAGCGGGGCGGGTGGTGCGAGGTGAGGGGGGGGGGGGGGGGGGGAGGCAACCGGTCCGGGCGCAGCGGGCGAGCGCTCGAGGCCGAGCTGGCCCTTGCGTCGACGCGTTACAAGCCAATTTGGGGCGGAATTCGGCCGAGGGGATCGCGTCAAAAACCTTTTTATTGGTGTGCGATCGAAGGACAGCAACCCCCCCCCCCCCTACCCGCCCGCGGCTTCCCCCGTCCCGATGGCCCCTCGAAATATTTCGAGCGAGCTTTCATCCGCGCCACACAAAAATCTGTGAAAGTTGAAACACTTTCGGCCACGGGATAACGAGGGTAAGCAGGCAGCTGCCCGCTGCCGATAGATGGATTTACAAACAAACAAGAGGGCGCTTGCGGAGCGGACGTGCGCTATCGTACATGCATTTTACTAGGACATTCACAATCAAGATGAAAATAAAACATAAAAGCAAAAAATGTTCCACATCAATTACTATACGAATACTATTACGAATATGCTATTATATTAATATGCTATTTGAATTTACACAATACATTTTGCATACTATTTTCAATAAACAAATTAATACTTTTATTAATTGATAACAAGTTAGATCGGTTCCCGGTTGCCGCGTTTGGGAGCCATTGGAGGCATTGGTGGCATTCAGCTAAGAGAGGACGTGCAAAAAGTAAATTGGTAAAGTTTAAGGCATGCTTCTGACGGAGGTCGTTCCGGGAACCCTGTCCTTAAAAGCACGTATGTATGTTCGTTTTGTCAGAATCTGTCTATAAACTTGACCAAAAATCTTCATTAACAAATATTTGTTTTAAAGCAATAAACTATAACGATATAGAAGCGTCTGCAAAATTTATTGTTCTGTTAATCTGTTATATGCCTAACACATAAACTCATTGAAACCAGAGAAAGAAAGATAATGCGATGAAGATAGAACGACAGGACATGAGCGCAATGCTGTCTATTTTGATAATGCCACTGAGTAATATGTGACACTTTGGTCTAAGAACGTACAAGTATATATACATATAACATTTAGAAACATGAATAAGAAATTATTTTGAACAAAAATTTTATAAATCGCCTAAAATACCAGTTAAAAAAACCTATAAAAATACCTATACCAGTTTCTCGCTTAATAGTGTCAGATGTTTTTTTTAATTCTTATAAAAATACAGTGTATGTAATAAAAGCCAATGCATCAAGGCAAAGTGATCGCTAATAGTGATGAGCAGAACTAAATACTACTAATAGAATTGCTACTTGTATCGAACTATGAAACCTCACTGAAATATTTGTTAAAATATCAAGGGCAATGTAGAATACGCGTTTGGAAAAGATGCATGTGACGGGTGCATGTGGGGCCAACACTACGTGAGTGATTTCAGGCCCTGTGGGTGGGCAAGAAGCGTCTGCTGCGTCTTCTGATTGCGCTCATGCAATCACAATTTTATGTATTTCATCTAATTAAATTTTTCGCCTAATAAATACGTGGTCTAGATCAGGATTTAATTCCAAATAAATGGATTTAATTTTTATGTTATAGTCTTATATACATTGAAGTTTTTTTTAATATAAAGACAAAAAAGATATTTTGTTCTAATTTGGCAAAAAGTCCGCTTAAGATTGGATCACGAGCAATTAACATATACCTACTTCAATTTTTACTATATATGTGCTTAGCAATACGTTATTAACTAGAGGATGACATTCTGAAATGCAAAAAGAAGCCCCTGTAATTTGAAAATTAAGTCAATTTAATATAGCATGTTTCATATATAATGGTAAATTCATTTTCAAAAACTTTTGTGAAGATTTATAAAAAATTTATAAATTAATTTTCTACAACAATATGATGTTGAAATAAGTTAAAGTCATTATAAATTTCTAAAACCCTTTAAATACTACAGACTTATCAAAACCTGTTAAATAGTTTAAATCATAAATATAGATATTATTGTCGATCATTAGAACATACGTAACTTGCTAAAAAAATTTAAACTTATGATGAGCATAGAACAGACACGGTGAGAGGCCCAGCGGAATGTCGGTGAGTCAGCGAGTGCTGCCGAAGCTTTGGATCGAATCGCTCAATTCAAAGTTCGTAAAGCTACGGTTGACTCAGTGCTTCGAATAGATGACGTCATATTATTGCAGAAATGACAGTTTTTTTTTAATTTGAGAAGCTGGCAAACGAGCTGTTGGTTCACCTGATGTTAAGTGCCCATATACATTTGCAACCGCCGCCCATAGACATTTGCAACACCCGGGTCGCAGATGCGTTGCCATCTTTTAATAAAGTGGGCCGCGGCTACCTCAATCACGAGACGATACGCAGAGGTATAACACTTCCACGGAAGGACCGGCCCATTCGTGCAACAGCCGAAGCTGTTCCTACCACAGATCATGGAAATTAATGTATACATTTCATACTAAAAGTCACTTCATAAAATCCACTGTGGATACAGATCAATAAAAGATGATATTTTTTTGATGATTCATCTGTTAAACTCACTTTAAAGTTAATAATACAGTAACAACCGTAAGATCTCAATTTATGTGATCTGCGTTCAATTAAAATTTTGTAATAAATTTGTTTTGAAATTATAAAATAACTTTCCAGCTCTTTATAATGCAAAAATAATTTTGCAGATTACGAGAAAAATGACTGGCAAACGTAGTGACTGGAAACGAAATTAACGTAGGTGACTGCTCCCAGTTTTTACACAGGGTTACTCGTGTTGTGCTTCCGACAAAAGAGAAATATTTACTAATAAGGCCACACACTATTAATATTCTTGAGAAAGAAAATTCAACGTTAAAGGTTTCGTAATATAACTTGGGCGAACACTGAACACTGTCACTCACTCACACACGTCGTGTAATTTACTAGGATGCTATTTGTTGAATTTATAACAACATATAAAACATTTTTATAAAACGAACGAAAACGATAAACACTTCTCTGATGTATTTCCGGAATTCAAGGTCCAATACCGATGAAATGAATGGATGGAATTGAATTTAACCGAACCTAACGCAAAAAGATTTTTAAACCTGTTCATCAATAACGAAGTCGGAACTCCGAAGTCAGAACCTCCGAATGTAACAAACATTTCCCACCGAATACTTTTTTCTAGCTTATCTTGAATCGCAGGAATAGGTAACGGAGCAGTGCGCTTAAGATTATTCAACAAACGTTATAAACGTTATAAACATGCGATTATCGCTTATTGCGTTAAAATTCTTTATAGTTTCGAGAATATCCACCATTCACGTAACGACGTTTGACTGAATGGAGCTATTTAAATTTCACCAGCTAGCAGCGGAAGCGCGCCATTTCCCCGCCGAGCCTTGGTATGCGCATCGCGTGCGTCGACCAGAGCCTCCGGCGCGTGCTCACGTTTTTGCCGCGGCCCCAGCGCCCAGCCGCCGTATCATCCGCCACCACCCCCCTCCCTGCCCCAATCCTAGGCGCATGCAACGCACTCTTCTCAGCCTGAGGAATGCCATTCCACTTTACTTTGCACGTGCCTCTCGTGCTCTTCATTTTTTATCCCGTTGTTCCTGCGGCGCCTACTACATTAACTTGTTGTCTTTGAATGACATCATTCCAACTGACACAATGTGTCAGCACCCCAGTGGCCTTCAAAGTGTTGCAATCGTTATATAACTACGAATCGTTCGACTAAGGCTTGACTTAATTATAATTTCTTAATTCAAAGGTATCTCGAGCCACAATTATGTTTACAACCACAGCATACATCAATGTTAAATGCTTGATCAGTAGAAGTTAATTATATTAATCAACATTATCAACATTATAATATATAATTGCTTTAACCGCATTACTTTACCTTAAATGATTGAGATTCGAAGTATGGTATATAAAATAATTGTGACGGTCACTTGAGTTACGAGTTCATAGATCTGGTCTTTGTTCAACCCGAGATCACCAGATGTTAAGCAATTATGAATGAATACTTTTTAATCTCTCATATGTAGCCCATTTATGTGGCCCACAGATAATTATTTAGGTACTGGGTGTTTATCCAGTTTGTAAAAGGTCCGTACAACTGAGGATAATATTATCTATAAGACTAAGGGTATGATTGATAAACTTTTTATACTTCAGCAATTATAATACTTCCACTTCATGCTGGTCTTCTGTAAGGCCGTGGTACTTCCTCGGATGAGCCTGTTGCGTGGCCCTACCATAGTCAAACTGCATTAAATTCCACATTAGGATCTTTCGTGATGAATAGTTTGTTTGTACTGCCGTACGAGTTTTGCCACCGTGATAGCTCACTGTTCGGGCGCTCGCCTTTAATTCAATTTACTCGAGCAACCTGAGTGCGATCCCCGGTGCCAGCACCAATGAAAAATGTTAATTTTAGGTGCTGGCTTATCACGTGCTCGGTGGTGAAGGAAAACATCGTGAGGAAACCTGCATATTTTCGAAATAATAACAAAAAAAAATTTCGAAAATACATGAAGTCAGGTGAACATATGAAGTCAGTGAGGTCGCGTGGTAGACTATACCCTGATAGCCTGATAGCCTGATACCCTCTTTACAGAAGAGGCCGAATTAAAGGTTACCATATTTAACGCTTTAAGCTAGGTAAGCTAAATAGCTAATAGCTAATAGCTAATTTGGTTGTATTAATTTTAATAGCTAAATAGCTATTAAAATTAATACAACCAAATTATAATATTCACATACAGCTTACGAATATCGTCGTCTTCTAGTAATAAATCCGAGGAAGTAGCGTCGTCTCTTAAAAGACCGAAAATGGCAGATGTGAAGCACTGCCGGTTAAAGATATTTACAGTTTGTAACCACACATTCAAATGTTATATACTATTTGGGGCGGGGCCTAATACATACATAATAACATTTAAAAAGCCAAAAATCCTCGCAAAGGAACGTCAACTCCTTCCAAGTAAAATACGCGAGGCTATTGAAATTAAATAACACATAAAACGAAAAATTATCTCCGTCAGCTTCGTAACCATGCAAAGGATTCGAATCGTGGAGAATTAAAATAAGAATTCAAGTGAAATAAATCTATAAAATGAATGTACTTTTATTAAACAAGGAATAACAAGTCGAAAGCCGTGTCCAACATATATATGATAATGTAAGCTTGTCGCCAGCAACGAGAGCAGCTGCGATAGAAGTGCTGTGTAATGTCGAAAGGCAAAAACAAGTAATTGCGTCGCGCCGCAAGAAACTCATCAAATGGCAGTTAGAGCCGCGTGCCGACGCTCGGCAGGAGCGGGCCCTATGTGCCGTGTCTGTGGCACACCCACAGAGTGGGCAGAGACTAGCTGCCCGTAAAGTGAGAACAAAAGTAAGCCCTGTCAACTTTTGCAGATGATTAACCATATATTTTTTTGTGTCATATGATTATAGGCGCGATACTAATCTTCCCCACTTTTTAGGCTTCCAGTTACGGAATACAAAAGCCAAAAGGTTTAATGTCTCGCTGGTTTTCTGGAAGCCCATGGAATTTTCTGTATTCAGAACAACCTTTTATGCCGTAGTAGAATGACAATTTTGTTTTTCAAAATAAAGACGGGCCCAGATATTACCATACATTTCAGTAAAAAATTCTGACCTTAAGTAATAAATAATAAAAATAATAAGGCCTTTTCAGGCTATGGGTAAAAGCTTTCAATATATAATATACAGGTTACGAAGTAATAAAACATTTGATTCGTCATCCAGGCCACTGTTAGACAAGTGGCGCGGAATGCAATAGAGGAAAAACTACATATGGCAGTTAATCTGCGCAGAGCAGGCTTCTAACTCCATCGCCTAGCGAGCGCAAAAACTGTGCGCGTGCCTCAAGGGCGGCGGGATAAAGGGGCGCTAGCCTGCATCCATACACCAATAGTGTTTTAATGTTATTTCATACAAAATGTTGTTATGGAGATGAATTTTACGTTAATTAACGTTATCAATAAATAATACATAAATAGCATTCGATAGATGAGGTTACAACCACGAGGTAGAACCACGCAACATTGTTTGCTGTTGCACGAATGGGCAGGTCCGTTCGGGTAAGTACCACGACCTCACAGGAGACCGGCGTGAAGTAGACGTGTTACAATTCTGCGTTTCGTCTGGTGAGAGAAATGTAATTTTTTTTTAATGTGAAAAGTTGTCAGGCGAGCAGGCGGTTCACATGATATTAAGTGAATATCGCTGCCCATGGACATCTGCTTCATCCGAGGGTTTGCAGATGCGTTGAAAACCTTTTTGCAAATTGGGCTGAGGCTACCTCACTCATCGGACGAAACGCGAAGCTTCCACTTCATGCCGGGCTTCTGTGAGGTCGTGGTACTCACCCGGACGAGCCTGCCCATTCGTGCAACAGCCGAGGCTGCTGCGTGGCCCTACCACTGTTGTTGTCTTTGTTGACCCCAAACGACGAATGACAAAGCTTTAAGTTTTGTCAATTATTCCATCAATTTTTGTTTATTAAAATATTGTATAATGAATTAATACGAATTAAGAAATAAATTTACTTTTTTGGATACACACTACATTTTATTCACCGCGCATTATTTTTGATACCATTTTGATACCAAGTACCAAGGTAACGCGACAAGCTAACATACAATTATATAATATGGCTCGGATTGCGCCTGACCGCTTTTGCAATTTCATGGAACGATCGCAATCTCCGAGTTTATGACGCGAGGTTTGGGCCTTTTGGCTTCAGCGCACTCGAGGCGCCGTGGGCTTAGCGTGCTCCCAGCTACGGACGGATATTGTAACGCATCCTTCACGATTTTCTTCAAACTCCGTCTGACTCTAAGGGCGACTTTGCGAAAGCGGCGAATATGAATATTTTAATGACGCGAGATGGAGGCCGGAGCATAGGTGCATGCGGCGGTGGCTACAGCACCATCGTGATATGAGGGACATTGCGCCGTTAAAATGAACTCTAACGTTGCTGGAGCGACAAAGTTAACACGCACTTCCAGTCGCTCTTATTAGCCATGCCTTAAGGTCGACATTGGCCGGTGCGACCGCACGTAGACGGGAGCCGCCTGTCTCGTCGTGCGGCCGATAGCATCGAGCGCGCACCGTCGCGGAGGTCCTCGCCGATTATATTGAATACGTTTCTAAGAAACACTTTCACGGTACTGTTCCGAGGCGGCTCATGCTCTTTGTAATGTTACCGAAGAGAAGCTAAAAACTAGAGTATTGTTGATGGATATTCGACCATTCTCAAATAGTTTAAACTGTTTAGTAAATCAATCAATTTATTACGTTCAGATTTTTTTACAATAAAATACAATGCAGAAAGGCATGTGGACACACGTTTGTTAACGAGATGAGGGGAGTGGGAGTAGCAAGAACCGCCCTTAGGACACGGATGTAACATCTACGTGTATCCGGTGTTTTGGTTTGGCCGTGCTCTAGGCGAGGTTACTCATGTCGAGCATTCCCTTTCGATGTTGTCCCTCCGTCCAGTATTATCTATGATACGATTTTTAAAGTAATTTTTTTAACAATTTTTCTACAAAAATGACGTTTCATCTTCAGTGCAGAATAATAAAATTAATCATAAAGTACCTTCTGTTACGAAGTTTAAATTGAAAGAAAATAAATTCAATAATTGAAAGAAAATATATTCCGTCCATCCACGGCATGTTCACAAAGCCCAACGGCAAGCAGGCTGAAGGATTGAACCATTACCTCTTGTTTTGCTTGCTCTTATTTAGATAGGACAAAGAAACGGTATCGGTACACTTAAAAAAAACGTTAAGCTCAGTAAACAACATACTTAATATTGTTATGGAGGAGGTATTATTTAAGAGAAATACTAGTATTGCAAACACTCGCTGTTTGCAATACTCGTATTTCTCTTCAAGATATGGTTTTTTTTGTGAAAGTTTTCAAACGAAAAAGTGATTATGTGCAACAGTGTTATTAATATTAAAAATGCTTAATTATCTAAAAATCTATATTAATTCATAAAAATATGAATTCATCATCATCATTTCAGCCTTTTTAGTCCACTATACTAAACATAGGTCTCCCCATACACTGGGCATGAAGACACCTGCGTCCATTGACTTTTTTTGTCTAAGAAGATGGTAAGCGAGCTGGCGGTTCACCTGATGTTAAGTGATAACCGCCACCCATTGACATTTGCAACACCCGTAGAATTGCAGATGCATTGCCACCCGAAAGCCACACAGAGTGTGGCTTTGTGGACTAAGTTGCAAAGCCACACCCGGCTACCTCACTCACCAGACGAAACGCAAAGTGTGAGTGCTTGTTCACGTGGGATCACGCGGGCGCGGTGGCGAGTGCGGGCGCGGTAGACGTTCCGATCTCGTGTTCACGTTAGCCGCCAGGCGTTTGCGCGAGTGTCACGCGTTTTCAGAGGTTCAAAACATTGACGACGATCTTTTATTTTTAACCGAAAATTCATACCTAAAGTGGAAGATGCCAAAAATTAGAATTGGTGTGCAAGAAATTAATAAAGAAAGAGAACGGTATGGTTAATTTTTATATAAAGTGTCAAC